ATTTATTTAATATAATCATTCCTAGGGAGAAAATCGGAACATGCACGAAAGATGCCATAATTTGGGTCACATTCATCTTGAACCAAAAACTAGAAAAAGTTAATTTCACGAAATTATTTTTTGGATAAATTTGATCAAGAAAATTGTAATAAAGATTTTGAAATGGAGAATTTTCTATATCATTATATGGCCACATGTTCTAACATAGGATTGGCTATTCATTTGTAATTTAAGTAAATAATGGCATTGATGAAATTATTTTATACACTTAAAAAAAATCTACAGGACCGGGCTGCTCGTCGATTGCTTATGGAGCTTCAGAGGAAATTGGACCGTTTCGTATCAACAAAACCGGTTCCAATCTCTATCTCAACAAGTTCTCTTGGAACAAAGGTAATTACAAGTTTAATTACAATCAAGTTCACTTTATTCTATGTTTCATGTAACGAATAATTTTGAGGCTTCAAATTTGTAGTGTATTTACATTTCCGGCATTATGAGATCGAACTAATTGTAATGAATGTTTTATGAATGTTACAATAACAGACGCAAACCTTTTGTTTCTTGAGTCACCGGCCGGAGTTGGATATTCCTACACGAACACAAGTTCCGATCTTAAATATTCCGGAGATGCACAAACAGGTTCAATTCATTATCTTAATTAATGTTTGATTATTTAGTTATAAACCGGCATGATTAGTTTATATTCTTATGTTTGCTTGAGAAAATTGATTTATGTTTGTGATCATATTCCTCCTAATCACAGCTCAAGACAACTTGATATTTCTTATCAAATGGTTATCGAAATTTCCTCAATACAAATACAGAGACTTCTATATCGCTGGTGAAAGCTACGCCGGTACGTTATTTTTTGACAAAATGGTTCGGTTTAATGGTTCAAGAATTACCTAATTGATAAATTATTTTAACGTAACATTATTATTTTGACAGGGCATTATGTTCCTCAGCTTGCCAAAAAGATCCATGACTACAACAAAGCTTTCTCTAAACCCATCATTAATCTCAAAGGATTCCTGGTAAAAACAAAAGGGTCTATTTAGCTCAAATCAAAACTATTATGTTCAATTCGTGATTAACGAAAGATTACCATTCTTGTTGCTAAAGGTGGGAAACGCAGTGACGGACAATCAGTACGATAGTATAGGAACAGTAACTTACTGGTGGACTCACGCAATTATCTCCGACAAAACCTACAAGTCCATCCTCAAATACTGCAATTTCACGGTGGAGAGAGTTTCCGACGAATGCGACACCGCGGTTAACTATGCCATGAATCATGAGTTTGGTGACATTGATCAGTACAGCATTTACACCCCAACGTGCGTGGCTGCACATCAGAAGAAGAACAACACCGGTTTCTTTGTACGGATGAAGAACACACTCCTGCGTAGACGGTTAGTGTCTGGCTATGATCCTTGTACGGAGAGTTATGCAGAGAAGTATTTCAACCGTCACGATGTTCAGAGAGCTATGCACGCTAATGTTACTGGAATTCGCTATAAATGGACAGCTTGCAGGTAAACAGTTTGCTTCACCACCTAATGATGACTATGTAATGATACTTTGCATAAAAATGATCCTCAAGGAAATGGTTTCTTGTTTGGGTTGGTGCAGTGATGCTCTGATCAAGAACTGGAAAGATTCCGACAAGACGATGTTGCCCATATACAAGGAACTTGCAGCGTCTGGTTTGAGGATCTGGATTTTCAGGTAAACTATGGTTTAATGTAACTCAGGATACTGTCGCATCCTAACTATAAACATAGGCGGATCCCGTAAAACCTGCTTTTAACCGTGGATCAACATATATACCATATTGACTAAATCAGGGTCTAGCTTAATATGGCCAATTAATCTTTAGGCCTAGTTGTAATGAACCTAGCACAACTCAAGACTCACTACTTTAGGCATTGGCTACTTAACCAAACTGTGGTTTACCCTGTCATATGCAGCGGTGATACAGACTCAGTGGTTCCAGTGACCGCAACACGGTTTTCCCTCAGCCATCTCAATCTCCCGGTTAAAACTCGTTGGTATCCTTGGTACTCTGATAACCAGGTACGATATACATACACATACTGCATATATATACGTACATGGATATGTATTATATAAAAGGTATTGATGTTTACCGGTGGTGACAGGTGGGAGGATGGACAGAGGTTTACAAGGGCCTGACCTTTGCAACGGTAAGAGGAGCAGGCCACGAGGTGCCTTTATTTGAACCAAAGCGTGCTCTCATTCTTTTCAGATCATTCTTGGCCGGAAAAGAGCTCCCAAGATCTTATTAGCTACTTTAATAACCTACACATAGAGTAAGAGAAAATGTCCCCCGAAGCACAATTTGGCTACCAGATTAGGAACCTATTCCGAGTAAACTCGGAATTCTTCTACCTTTTTTCTTTCTGTTAAAAGCTCGATTCATTTCCACAATTTGGAAAACAACAAAACAATTTGAGAGCATTTGAGTAATTGTTGATAATCAAAGAAGTGCAAAGGTTCAAATATCTCTCTCTGATTCATTAGAACAGAGCTCTATTTCTCTCTGCCTGATCGATATACAACAAAAAAACTGGACTTCTCATACCTATAAGTTGAGTGAAATCACAAAAAAGATTAGGTTTTGTTACTTTAATCCATCAAGGCCCGGTGGCATCCCTAAGCTCTGCGCAAGATCACTCATTCTTTCTTTCATAGCCTGTGAAATCCAAAAGGTTCCATAGTCAAGAGATAGAAAAAAAAACAGTAAAAGTTTTCTCCTAAAATATGGTATGTGATGTCTTTACCAGTACACTTTTAGCATGTGCGTCCTTGTATGCTTCTGTGACCAGTAGTGAAAGTTTCTGCCAAAGGAATCAAGAAACATAAGGAGCTGAAGGAATATGGATTTGATCATTCCTATGTAGAAGAGAGTGCAAGAGAAAGTAAAGGTGAAGGTTACTCACTTCGGAACCTAATTCCATTGCTGCATCAGTTATATCAGTACGAATTGGTTGCTGATTACCTGATAATGTAACCTGATACAAAGTTCAAAGCTTTTGGTCACATAACTCGTAAGAGATCGAAAAACAAATTAAAAAAAGCATCATTGTGTAGTTATCCACAGTAGTAACGAATCAGACAGCACCCATGATCCAAAGTCTGTAATCTAATACCTTGACAAGCTCGCCTTCACAATAACCATCAAATTCAGCACTGAAAAAAATGGGAATCAAAACAGGCATGAATGAAACTCATAAAAGATAGAAGAAACTTAAAGAATATAGTAATGCAACTGGTTAGGTTAATGGTGGGGGACATACAGAGCAAGCTCCTTCTGCACTCTAACAGCCTCTACTTGAACAACCATTTGAGCTTTCTTCACAGTCTCATACAAATTCTGCATATTACCAAGAATTCCTGCCTTAAGACAAAGACAAGAAACACATCAGTTTCAACGGTTAAACTTGTGTTTCCGAGAAAAACAGAACAAAACTATAGAATTGTCTTGTCTTGTTAAAGACTATTGAACATGAACCCTAAAAACATGTACCTTTGATTGCCCATCTTCTTTATTTTCCTTTTTCCCGCCTCCGAATAATCCATTAACACGAAGAGATCGACTGTGATTATTTCCAGAATTCTTTCGATTTAACCAAACCACGTTCTGTCTACTACTTCGTTGCGCCGTATTCCCTGAATTTGCAATCCCGGAAAATAAAACATCAGAGACGAAGATGATCAAACACTACACGAATCTAGGATAGTGTAATTGAGACAAGCTTGCATGGAAAGCACACTTGTTCTTCTCCAAGTTCAAATTCACACACACACAAACTCAATCACATACATATGGAAAATAACCCGAGAGATTGAGAGAGAGATTTACAGAGAATTATAGAAACTAACCATTGGAGAAAGGAGGAGAAAGCAAAGGCTTGAAGAAATCAGTAGTCGTAGCCGTCGAAGCCATTCTTCTCCTCTGACTGTGAGAGAAGAAACGGAGATGAGAGCAGAGTAGTCTCGAATTCGGCAAGATAAACAAAAAGAACGAGATATTTTTTCTAACCAATAATATAGTGACACGTGGATACCCTAATTGGGTTTACTGGGCTATGATTGATACTTGTATAAGAACCCAAAAAAGAAAAAAGAAGAGATTATTTTCACAAGGTGGGTCCAAAAATAAAGTATGCAAAAACATATATTTGACCAAAAAAATAATAATCATAAATTATAAATATAAAATACATATACATACACACCACACACAAATCATCACTCTATTCAATCTCCATAGTTTCTTCTTCTCCTGTTTCACTGTTTGTCTCAACCCAATTCTTATTTTTTTGATCTCCCTCTCTCTCTAGACCCCAATATCTTTACAATCTCTCTCTAAATAAATTTCACATAACATATCCAACAATATTAACTCTTTACCTCTTCAATAACCCAGATGTGCTTTTTTAATTCAAATTCTCTACCAATTATCAAACCCACCTCACAAAGACATGAACCCAATCATCAACAAACACAATAAAGGAAGAACCTTTTTTTTGGTTAAGTGGTCAGCATTTCAATGCCCCTTCTGCAACTTCCAAAAGGGCACACATAGAAATAAAAGTAAAATGAAAGAAAGAAATCAGAAAAAATCAAAACTTTTTCTTTCCTCTCTTTACCATCTTTGATCACTACTCCTAGTTTTCTGCTACTTGTCTGGTCTGGTCACATAGACTTCTCACACACAAAAAAAAAAAAAGGAAAATCCAAATTTTAATTTTTTCAATTTCAATTTCAATTTGTTGTAATGGGCACCCAAAGGAAAATCAATCAATTATGTGGTTTCTTAAGTCTTTGGTCAGAGAGTTTCATACATGGAATAAGACTCTCACCATTAAACCTAATCCCTTTTGCCTTCTTTCTCATTCTTCTTCTTCTTCACACTTTTCTCTCTCTTTCCTCTTTCTCGCTTGCTTGGTGTCTTTTGCATCTGAGATTCCCCAATTTCACTGAGCGGATCCGATGAAGGAGACTAATTTCGTCTCCTCTGCTTCTTGTGGCGATCCCATGATCAGATTAACCCTTATGCAGGTTCTGGAGTTGGAAAAGGTAATTGCTTTTTTCCTAGGGTTTTATGATTGAAATTTCTGGGTTTCTTATTTGTTTCGATTTCCTCTGGATCTGCTGATTTGGGTGATCATGATGTTTTGTCATGACTTTGGGTTTGGAATTGTTCGGTTGGTTCTAAGTGAAGCATAGGGAAGAAGTAAAGTTTTGAAATTTGTTTCCTTATCTCGTTTTCTCAGGAATTAGAAGTAAAGAGAAAGAGTTTGGAGATGATTAAACAAAAAAGGTTGACCCTCAAGTCAGAAGTTAGGTATAATCTCTGATCATCTTGTGAATTTATGTGTGTAGTGTATAATTTACATGATTCAAGCGTTTATTTGGCTTGTTTTGTACATTCATTAGCATATTGAGAGTGTTTGATGATCAAACGATAGGTTCTTGAGACGTAGATACGAGCACTTGAAGCAAGACCAAACTCTTGAAACATCTCCAAAGATGTTGAGATTGTCAGAATCTGGGGGTTTAGATGTCCCAAGGAAACCAAGTGGCGAAAGGAAGAAGCACTCTGGTGTGAGAGCATCTGTGCCATGTTCTGATTTGAAACTGAAGAATACAATTTGCAATGAGAAGGAAGCATTGGCTAATAATGCAAGTTGTGACTTGGAAAAGAAGCGAAAAAGGAGCAGAGGAAACGAGGTTTTCCCAAATGCCGTTTCACTTCCTGACCTTAACGGAGAGGGAAACACTTCTGTCACCGACAAAGTCCCAGGCTTTGACCTAAACCAGATCTCGGTAAAGCCAAACAACTTTTGTTATTTTAGGGTCTTCCTTTTGGTAGAGTCTTGAGATTGATGGTTTTATTTGTGGGTTTTGCTTTTTGGTTGTAGAGAGAAGAAGATGAGCCGGCAGTGAGTGGTGAACATATGGTCATGGAAGCAATGAAGAATGCAATGCGTGATAACAGAATCAGTGATCTACATGGCGAAAGAAAGTTACCGATTTGCGGAGATGTGGAGAAAGAGTTAAATAGAGCAGTGAAGAGGAAGGTTACATGGCAAGATCCAGTGGCTTTAAGTGTTTAGGGTTTTTAGTATGAAATAGGATTTGAGATAATGATTTGTCGTCCCAATATGCACATATGCTTATACAGGTATATAGATATAAGATTTGATTTGATGACTTAGGTAGTCATTACTTCCATATGTCCAACATAGGAAAACATATGAACAACTGTTGTCATAAGTGACTACATTATCCTATTAATCCAATTTGGTAACTAGGGAATCTCATTTGTTGTTGGATGTTATTACTCAATTCTCATCGATTCGACTGGATATCAGACTTGGAAAGGTTACTGATGACCAATAAAGAAAAGAAAAGCTAAGTTTGAAAAGCTCTGTTTTGTATTTAAGTAAAGAGCATGTTTGATTATAAGCTGAAGAAGTCTCAACATTTTTGTTTCCATTGACTATATAAGCTGAAAACAACTAAAAGTCTAACATTTGAAGTCTATTTCGTACTCGAACGAAAAAGCGTTCTTCAATCTTATGGAAGTCAACGACGGCGAAAGAAAGGTGGAGATGGGATCGGGACTCTGCCCTGACTGGTCTGAGTTGACTCGGGAATGTCTTCTTGACATTTTCTCACGTCTGAGCCAGGAACAAAGATGTATCGGACCGACGCTGGTCTGCAAGAACTGGATGAGCGCATGCTATGACCCGTCACTAAACACCATCTTCGATCTCGAAACTCGGTTTCTGTCGTTCCCGGAGTCGATCAACTGGTGGACTCCCGAGTTTGAGGATAAAGTCGATTCCTTTCTCCGATCTGTTGTTGATCGGAGTGAAGGCGGTCTCACAGAGATTCGGACCAGGCACTGCACAGAACGCTCTCTATCTTACGCCGCCGAGAGGTACGTATCACTGCGTGATATTTCTCTGTTTTAGCTTGAGTCCATAGAGGTTAATCGCAGAGTTTTGATAGAATGAATGAAATGTCTGGTATACATGTCATGTCATGTGGTTTCCATTTGCAGGTGCCCTAATCTAGAGGTACTTTGGATTAAGAGCTGCCCAAATGTTACAGATGCATCAATGGAGAAGATAGCTATGAACTGTCCAAATCTTAGAGAACTTGATATTAGCTACTCTTATGGCATAACTCACGAGTCTCTGAAAATGTTGGGGAGGAATTGCCAAAATTTAAAGATTCTGAAACGTAATTTGTTGCCTCGGCTAGGTCCTAACCTACCTACGATTGTCGTGCCATTAGACTATCTGGCTACATTTCCTAGATACGGCAATATAGAGGCTAAGATAATTGGGAGATACATGCCAGAGCTCAAGCACTTGGAGTTTCGATACTCCACATTGACTGCTAGAGGTCTTGACTCGGTTTGTAAGGGATGTTCGAATTTAGAGTACCTGGACTTATGTGGATGTATATCATTGACCAGAAGTGATATAACCACATATACCTCGGGCTTGAAATATTTGACGGAGATCATTAAGCCGGATTTCAATCCTCCTATTGCTATTTTACGTGTTCCAAGACCGGGTAATCCAAGAGAGGAATGATTGTTGGACGCACGTTTTGATCAACTTGTTGACCGGTTTTTATGCTCTGCTTCCTCTATGACATATTTACTTTGTTTTTACTGTATCTATGTTTGAATTCTTAAAACAGTGTGAAACCCTTCTTCTTTGTGACTTTGTCTTGTCACCAAAACTTTTTGTGTGTGTGTGTGAATTCCATCAAAATACCATTAATAGCACATTATATTCTTCTTTGCTTTAGGTCTGAATCACAGAGTCAAGGAAAATACACATATCGAGTAAAATGAGTTACGTATATGTTTCCCTTTTATAGCTTGCTTGCCATCTAAGCAACACAAGCATCGGACTAATGAAAGTCTTATTGGTACGATAATGTTTTTAACCCAGTCCGGTCCCGGATATGATTGAAGACAGGCCTTTATAGGTCCACTTAGTCACGTGATCCATTAACCATACATACGGTAGGGGCGAGTCAGAGTAATAATACCCAAAAATGATATGAAAATATCTAAAGAGTGGGGGCAAGGTAAGGTAATTTTACGAGATGTCGGCATGTAACCTGAAGCCGTACGATTTAAATACTGAACAATGAACGGTGCAGATCTCGTAGTTGACTTGGTAGCGCCAAAAATAAAAAGCCGTGGATTGCTCTTAATTGGATCTCAGTGCTGACGACTACTTTCAGTATTCTCTCTTCTCCACTAATTCAGATCAAATTCAAGATTCTTCTTCTTCTCATCTCTAAGAAAAATGGCGAGCAATATGGAAGTTTTCTGTGAGATCTTAATCGCTATCCTTCTTCCACCTCTTGGAGTTTGTCTCAAACGTGGCTGTTGCACTGTAAGTTCTCTTCCAAGATCGTCAACGTTAGTTTGGAAACCAAATCTTGAATCTTGAAAGAGTTTTTGAAATTTACACTCTGATTCTTGTTTGCAGGTAGAGTTCTTGATTTGCTTGGTGCTGACAATCTTAGGATACATCCCAGGGATAATTTATGCACTTTACGTGATCGTGTTTCAAAACCGTGAAGGCTCTCACGAACTCGGAGCACCACTCAATTCAGCTTGATCTCTTTACTCGGATCAATATGTTGTTGAAACTGTATTACTTATCCTTTTTATGTACCAAATAAGTTGCTCTTCAATTTTATGTATTGAAGAATTGAGAACATTGTCGTGCTGTTGACACATTGCTTATCTTTTCGTTATATAACTTGGTTGGATTTTGCAAATCAGGTTACGAACTCTGCTAAGTGTTAATGTATCAGATTCTTTGCCAAAATTTGTATTGGCAAGAGTTTAAACTTGGGAAATGCAGAAGCATTTTTGAGTTGTTTATTCTTAGGTTGAATTCATATATTGTGATCCTCTAGGATTATGCCTAGAAAAGATAGCTTTATGTTACTTTGGCAAATAATGGCAATGGTTGTGTGACAATTGTGGAATCAAAGTCTTATCACAACGACACCGTTTTTAGTCAAAACGTTTTTGTCCAATATCAGTCCGGTCCCGGATTAATTAAATAGACAGGCCTTTCTAGGCCCATTTAGTCACATGGATGAGTCAGAGAGACTAAAAATATCTTAAATTGATCTAGTGTGTTACGGTGCACCTTATCATTCGTTGTGATTCACGAGATGTAATCTAAAGCCATACGATATAAATAACGATAAATGAACTGTGCAGATCTCGCAATTGACTTTGTAGTTGGTAACAAAATAAAACGTGGACTGCTCTCTTCATTGGTACTATGTGACAGCAAGTTTCACTGTTTTGTCTTTATAATAAGTCTTCTTCTCCATTTAAAACTCATCTCAAAGCTTCTTCTTCTCTCAATTCTCTGAAAAAATGCCGAGCAACTGTGAGATTCTCTGCGAGATCATTATCGCGATCCTTCTTCCTCCTCTCGGAGTTTGCCTCAGGAAAGGATGTTGCACTGTAAGTTCTCTATCTCTCTCTTTCGAATTCGTCAATTTTGAGGAATATCGGTACTTTTTTATTGAGGTTTATGATAATGTAATCTATGATTGCTAAGTTTTTGATTGGATCAATTTCTATTTGATTTGTTGATTCCTGAAAGCTTGGATAAATCACTATACACTTAAGGGATTGAAGAAAGTTGAAATTTTTATGTCTGATTTGTTTTGCAGGTGGAGTTTTTGATTTGCCTGGTATTGACTATCTTAGGCTATGTCCCTGGGATAATATATGCGATTTACGTGATTGTGTTTCAGAACCGTGAAGAGTACTTTGATGAATACAGACGCCCTCTCTACTCTGCTTGATATCTGTTTAAGAAACTCTTGTTTCTTTGAAACTCTGTTGCTTTGAGTTGTTGTTGTTGTACCAATAAGTTGCTTTGCACTTGTTTACTTATGTACTGAGAGATTTGAAAACCTTTCTGTGTTAATACAATTGGTTTATCATTTTTGGTGTGTATGCATGATTGAAAGTTTCTGTTATCAGGTTATGAGACCTGCTATGTGTTTATGCATCAGGTTGCATTGCTAGAGTTTTTACTTTTGGAAACGAGGTAAGCAGAAATTGGTTAAGGCATGTCAAGTGGTAGGCTATATCAGTTTTTGAGTTGTTTATTCTTAGGTTGAATGCATACACTTGTGTTGGTACTTATGATATCTCTAAGGATCTTTGAAGCAATGGCATCCCTCTCGGCTTCTCTACTCGGTAACGCATGTATCAACACAATTAGATGCATTCAATCTAAGAATAAACAACTCAAAAATGCTCTGTTCTGGTTCCTCTCTAAACAAGTAATCGAAGGTGGACCATGGATGATAGATAATTAACAGATTTGTATGGTACCCTTTAAAGCTGTCTCTAAATTCTGAATCCTTTTGGATCAAAACCAGTTTGCGTATCGGAGTGGAAACCTGATAAGACTTGTATTTCTAGATTTTTAAGAAGTTACATTTTAGTACAAGAAAATATGGACCAGAGTTGCAATTGTCACATGAAGTAGGGCAAGTGAAACAGATCTGGTCATGGATGCTATGGCTTTGTTCTTCTTTCTTTTAGGTCTGATCATGGAATCACCTCCATAAACACCTCTTGCCCTGATCGTCTGCGAACTACCATGGGCTCTCTTGCTATCAGTCACTTTGACGACTGGTCTCTCTGCAACAAAAAAAAAGAGAGTTAAAATGTATGTTTATCTTTTGAAGTAGCTACAGCAAACATTGGAGCAACAACGAATTTGCCTTTGTGAACCATGTTGACTGTTTTGTCTGAACAACATTGAAGTTCTTCGGCAAAAGCAAAGGCGATGAAGAAGATGATGATGGTTAGCAACAAGGATCTCTTCATGGCAGAAGATTATGAAAGCTTCTGCAGAAGAAGATTGATTTCTTACGAAATTGTATGGAGATGTAAGTTAACCACTGAGTATCAGTATATTTATAGGTCTGTATCTCTAAAAGACATTCTTTGCGTGGGATTACACAAAGACACGAGAGAAACAGAACAAAGATTACAACTCAGAAACAGAACAAAGATTGAAGAATCTGATGGGAAAAAAAGGAAACAAAAGCAGCCAATTGTCGGGTAAAATTTGATTCCCACACCTGACCCTGTTTCTTTCACTTTTCATTATTCCTCCAATCAATGGAGAGAACAATAACAAAAAGCTGCTTTGCTTTTGAATGGGGAGGAACATGTCCGTTGAGCAATGGAAAATCTAGTCTGTTCTGGCAAACTCATTCACTTGTGTCCATCTCTTGAAGTAGAATTATCTTAAAAAATTCGTCTATGTATATTGTTTAAAAATGGCTATCTAACTTCAAATTATGTTGTTCCTTCTTCTCATGGAATATAATAATAAATCAGAATTGATTATGTCTAGTAAAAACAGAGGAGAAAGGAGAGTAAATATCGTAAGGAAAAAATGTGAGTCTATGTGGCCTTGGACCAGAAGACAGGAACGAGTAAAGGCTTCGGTTTTGTCAACTTTTTGAGAAGAGAAGACGCGCAGCGAGCAATCAACACAATGGATGGTTAGGGTCGAATGGTCTACTCCTAGACCCAACTAGATATGTTGTCACTTGTCTAAGTTAAATTTATTTCGTTTGCTATAATGAATTGATGAGGAGTATCTCGTATTTGCAATGAACAATCTAATCTGTTTTGGTTAAAAGCTTAGTCACACTACTCTTATTTTCTTCTCTTGAAATTTAACATGATTATTTCTCGTTTATATATTATAAATAGACTACTTCAGATAGAATGATAGATATTTTTTTAAAGAGTGGTTCAATAAGGATAATTAGGTGATTAGTACTATTTGAAAAACTTATTTAACATTCAATTAACCACTTTCAAACTCCTTGCTTGTCCTATGAAAATAGATCATAGGTTTGAAAAGCTATTATTTAATTTATTTATTTTCGTGGCATGTAATTTATGTATCGATATTACCAAAAAAAAGAATATACTCAAACTTTAATATTAAGAATTTAGTTTTACATGATGTTCCAACAATACCTAAAGATTACAATGTCAAGATGTGATGAATAAGGTTTTCTTAAATTATATCATCCTATCAACATTTTATTGGAGAAATTTGGAATGATTTATTAGCTTTCGATTACAACCACGAGTAGAACCAACAATAATATATTCAAAAGAAAAAGGGTTCTCGCAAGATACAAATTAAAAAATACAAGGATAAAAAAAGAGTTCAATTAGAAGGCCAAGAATGTTAACAGAATTGAGTTTGCTACCGTGGAACCGAAAAGCAATGCAATCGAGAGAGAAGGTCGACTAGTAGCGGATGATCCACCGGCAACATGACCACTACTAGGGACACGACGGTGACTACGACCACCACCACGACTACCCCCACCACCAACACGAGCTTTCCTCTTGAAAACTCGAAGAGAGTCATGATGATCCAATGGATTGGAGTCACCGTGTTGTGCAAGTCTTCGTTCACTCTCCTGGTTTTCAGATGAAATTGGCAAAGGCTGAGAGAGTAACATTAGGAATACAATCAATGAACAAGAAAAAGCCAGTGAAGTCCTCATTTGTGTTTTATCAAATAATTTGTGTATATATATATGTATTTGATCGAAAATCAGAGATGTGTGTTTATTTTACAATGATGGGATGCATTATATATGCGTGCAAAAGAATTAGTATTTATAATATCGCTAGACTTAGGTAATGAAACGACGACTATGGCTTAAAAATGGGCTACTTCTTTTTTGAAATCGTGTTTAATATTATTGTATTTAACCATTTGTCTTACACTTATTAGTTATTAGCAAAGAAACCTTCCTTCTTCTTTTTTGCCAGCAACAAGAAAGTTTCCGAGAGGCCAAATCTAATTACTTTAGGGTAGATCATGATTAATTAAGCCTAATGGGTAACAGACCCAAATGTTAGTATTTATTTTTTCTTATTTGAAATGGAATTTAGATTTGATTTCTGCTATTGTTTTTAACAATCTGTTTGTGTGGAGTTCAAAATCTCTGCAGTATATCCCGGATTATGATTCTAATGATTTACTCATGAAACTCCAAAGATGTTTCATTTCAAATGATTTGATATACAAAGATTTTACAAGTCTTTTAGTTTTGAATAACACTGGATTTTAATGAAGCATTTTAAATCTTAGTTGAATAACACCAAACTTTAAAATCTATTAGAGTTAGATTTAAAATCATTAGGTTAATAACACTGGATTAGTGTTGGATTTCAATTCTATTAAAATCCATCATTGAATAACACCACCTTAGTGAATTTTCAACGTAAGGAATTACCTCACCCAAAATGGTCGAAGGGAATTAGTTTTACCATGTTAATTGTCTGAGACAATCAGCAATTATTCATTAAACAAAACAACCGGAATCACAATATTAGACAAACCAGATCAGACAACTTTCAAACATTCGAGAGTTACAAACTTTGCCGGAAAAGAATACAAATCGTTAAACTCAATCGCAAATACAAAATCAAACAAACACGCAAATTCAAGCCATTTGACGACCCCCCCAAAAAAAAAAAAAAATGTCGCAACCTATAATCTTGGAAACAGATTAAAATGCGGCGAGCAATAAAACAAAGGAACTCACAACAGTAGATACATAGGTAAATGGGTTAGAGAGAAGAGTTCGAGTGGCTGATGATTTGTCCTTCTTCTTCTTCTTCTTGGATTTCCTCACGAAGACTCGAAGATGGTCATGGTGATGACCGTGAGACCCATCCGCGTTCTCTTCATGTTCAACTAGTCCCCGTTCCAAGGGAGTGATCTTGGTTCCATGACGTCCGCATGAAATTATGAGGGATTGAGAAAGTAACAAGAGGGAGATGATCAAAAACCAACCAAGAAGAGAAGAAGTTCTCATCTTTTTCCTTCTTCTTCAGTTAAACAAAATTTATGAGTTAAAAAGATATATTTATCTCGTGTTTCTCGAAATTACAAGTGTATGTATTTATAGATTTGTGAGAAAGAAGTTGTGCCTCTTACTCTCTACTTCGTGCACACCAACCAAAAATATATGAGTTCTTCTTCCTTAACAACAACTGGCATTGATATAATCATCAAGACAGCTCATGACTATTTTTTTTTTCTTTTTCTTTTGGAAAACTTCCAACTGACACAAAAGACATTTTGACACGGTCATGTAACTCCGTCAATGTATTACAAACTCACATTTTTTTATGATTTATTACGTATGAAAAATGAGAAATATCCTTAAATGTCATTTTCTATGTATAAATTAGTGTGATTATGTTTTAATAACTTGTGAGTTGTGACAAATCTATTTTGAAATGCAGTTTACTATTAATTAAAGTAAACCAAATAATATCCAACTTGACCAAAAGAAAAAAAATGAATATTTAATTTGACAAAAACTTTATTATTAAATTAACCTTTTCATTAAATTGAACTTTAAAGAGTACAATTCAACATAATATTCCCTTCTTTTTCCTCATCTTGAACTCTTCCAAATCAAAAATGAACTAAGGCACCAAAAAAAAGCACAAAATCAAGAAAAACAAAACAGAGTAACAAGACTGAATCTAATCTCGATTACAAGTATGATATTAACTCTTAACATTTTTCAATAACTGATTTCTCGAAAGATCTCACCTGTTTTTCCCGGCGAGCGTGGGTCTTAAACTGATCAAAACATGTATTGAGAAGAAAGAAACCACACAAACTACACCAAACTACGGCAAGCATCAACCTCGGCTTCTTGCGTAGCCAGTAGAGACTCACTAACACTCCCTATCACAGCTTTCAAGACTGCTTTCTTGAACCACTCGTCTTCCATTTTCATTAGAATCTCTTTCACCAGCTCAAAATCCGATGCTTTGGCCATAACCAAACTACCAAGGATCTCCCCAAAGTTGTTTGGCGCTTTTGGCAGATCGATCCCAATGTCATCGAGCATAGACCCATAGAGCAGACAACCGTTCCCTAAGTCTTTAGGAGTTAGAACATTCTTAGAGACCAGATGTTCCAAGAGTTTCGCCACTGGTTCAACACATGGAGGGTTCTTCTCCAAGCCGAGGGAGATAGCTTCCTTGACGAGCTCGGGATGGTAAGACGGGGTTTTCAGTTCTTCTACGCATTGTAATGCCTCATCCAATAGACGGACATTGAAATATTCCTCCAAAAGCGAGTTAGTCTTTCTACTGAGCTCTCCTGTGTTCAAGCTAGTAGCTGTAGGAGGAGCCACCTCCTGTGGCTGTGGTTGTGGCTTTGGCTTCTCCACAGTTGGTCTCGTCGGGGAAGGAACAGGTTTAGGCAGTTCGGAACCATTACCTTGCACAAGGGCACTTGGTCTACCGTTTATAAGACCACCACTTCCCTGAGGTAGCAGCCTTGAATTAAGCGACAGTGACTTGTCAATGATAACCGGAGACTGAACACGCCCAACGGGATGTGGATTCTGCCTATTGCCTCTGGGCATGGAACGGGACCGTGCCATCTCCCAACCATCATCATCTGTTACAGGCATTCCCGGCATCTTCCTAGCTCCTGGCATTCCAGGCATCATTCCTCCAGTACCAGAACGTCCCAGGAAGTTTCCAGAGCCAAGAATTTCAGCTGCACCAGCATCAGCACCACCACGATTGTTATTATTTCTCATATTCGCCATGGCACCAGGGCGTAACCCAAGATTCTTTTCTGCCTCGGAATGAATCTCAGTGATTTTCTTCGCTTTCATCTGCCATTTTACACAGCAAGAACAAAACGTAAGCACAGATGGATAACTCTGTAAGTAATTACAGATAAGGAGAGGTTTTATAAATTTCTACCTCCTCACGCCTTGGTACCCATTTGTTAGCGCGCAGATCAATAACATTACGGACCATAAATCTCATGCGTGGAGCAAGCATCGGGTTCATTGCTAGTTCATTCAAACGTTGGAAGTACATGTCGTTTATACCCCGTGATCTTGGGCTCTCATCTAGTTGTTTCCCGATGGTGATGAAAAATTGACAGAGAGCCTCTACATCTTCTTCTCCTGGGCAAGCTTTATTGTCCTGTCCTAAAAGCTCCTGTAGCGAGACACAAAGTTACCATGAGCTCTACAGAATAGTATTACATGCAATAGAATTTTAACAGTACCAAAGCAAGAGCAAGTCATAATACTTGGACGATGTGATGAACTATCTTCTCGGGCACCATCTTCTGCTTCAGAAGTTCACCAATCAAACGGATATTTCCTAATGTTCGAAGCTTCGCCATTCTTTCCTTGTCTCTGCGTTCCATTTCTTGCTCTGGATCAGTCATCAGTCTGACTTCTTCCTTCAATTTGTCAGCGCCTTCAAATGCTTCTTGGCAATTGTTCAAAAGCACTCTTTTGAATGTTATTTCTTTCCCACCGGCTTCCTCTGATGGGAACGAAGGGAGCTTTCCATTGATATCAAAACACAAAAGGGCATACATCTGACAAAATGTGGGCTCTAGTACAGCCTTCTCAAAAATCAGCTGTATCACTCCCTGAATTTAAAGATAAGAACATATATCATGGCATGAAGAGAGAACTACAAAGAAGCTACTGCACTCAGAACTAGGAATACCTTTAGGATATCAGCAGTAGTAATCCCAGAGTCAATTAGTTGACCTTTGAGGAGATCGTACTTTTCAGGAGTCAGCTTGTTCAGAATACTGCAGGGAAGAAAAAAATAATACGATTTAAGTCATCTATATAAAGCAAATTAACCCCAACAAAAAGAAAAACACTCATTATAGTCATGAAGAATATAATACCCTTTCACGGTCTTGAGGATTTGGTCCTTTTCTGAAAGAGTTCCTCTTTTAGCTGACCATGGGACCTCTGCTTTCACCAGGGCAGGAGGAGGGCCAGACTGTTTTAGTAAGTTATCATGTTAGTTACAAGCAATAACCACCCAATACCAAACTAAGGTATTGTCAAAATAAAGTGCCAAAAATAGTAAACACTCACTCCTTGAGTATGCGCATCTCTAGGTTGACGTTGGTCTTCTCTTGACCGTTCTTTACTTGGGGAAGCAATTGGTGCACGAGTGTGCCAATCACGATTATCAGGCTCTGAGTAACGATTCTGAAGTTGATTTTCAGGCTGAAAAGAACAAACATTATGAGGAATATATTAAAAAAACTGATACTAATAACATAATAAACAAGTCAACTGTCCTTGGTTTTTCGACAAAGCTAGAAAATTAAATGACTAGCAGAAGGTAAATGAAAACACTCACCTTATTTTCTGAACGGCCCCAGCTCTGCTCTTCTTCACCAAAAAGGTCAGATGCAATTTCCTGATTGAGCTTCAGAATTTCAGCAGAGACTTGGATAGCCTGCACAAGAAAAATGGTGAATGACTAAGTTCAATGACTAAATTAATACCTTTTTGAGTAAAAGCGGAAAAAACCAAAGCAAAGTGACGAGTCTATGCATAGAAAGTAACTAATTACCTCTCTAAGCTGAAGCAGCTGTTCTCGGGTGAACCGCAAAAGCTCACGACCCTCAAATCGCGAGTCTCCTCTCTACAAAACACATACAAGTCATTAAACTTGAACCTCAGAATTCAAAGCGACAGATGAAAAACAAGGTTACAAATCAATAAAATGTATCAGTTATATATGTAGGTCCTTTATGAGCATCAGAAACTGATAGAGTGCCCACCTAAAAGCCTACAAGTATTAATCTTTGTCCATATTTACAGCAAGGTCACATTGCTTAAGCGCCCCACCAAGAATTAGGACATTGCATAATAATGTTCAACAAAGAAAATTTAAACTCTTAACACATAAGAATCAGCAAAAGATCCAAACTTTATCCACAATATCAATTCAATACCAGAAGAACGAATCATACCTCAAATTTTACAGCTCAGAGAACTCACAAGAACGTTATAAACAGAAACAAATCAACACACACAACAAAAAAAAACAGAGGATTTGGATACCTTGACGGCAAAAGAAGGAGCATCTGCGCCATTGGTAAGATCAGAGGAAGAAGATAAGGTAAAGCGTGGGGCAAAGAGTCTACTTCCTCCACGACCACCTCCAGGCCTCAAGCTCAACACTGAGTCACCTTGCTGCATAACTCGAATCTTTCGTTGGCGGTAAAAGGAAAGACAGAAGCAGGGTTCGGTTCTGAGACTGCACAAGACACACTAAATTAGAGTCTCTGCGTCACAGTAATCAACTCAACGCAACAAGTAGATATAACCGATTGAATCACAAGTAATCTAGAGGGTAAAGTTTCTACAAAGACGCACATAAATATAGGTTTATGGCAATCTAAGACAAAGCCTTGAAAAAGGAAGAACAACGCCGTGTAGAAGAAACAAATCTAAGAGGAAAAATTGAAGAAGGTTTACCTGAGAGTTTGAGAGAAAGAGAGAAAGAAAAAAGAGAGAACGCGGCGCAGAGCGTTGCAGCTGTTTTATTGTCTGTTTTAGCTTAGCCTCTGCCCGAAGCATTTTTAGGGTTTGGCCCAAAAAAAACTTAACCATTTTGGAAAACATTATTAGAAAACATTAAACTTGATTATCATTTAATAATAGTATAATACTGAGACATTTTGAATAAAATTAGTATCACTTTTATTTGTATAAATTTGTAAAAACATTAAAATGATCAAAATATGATCTGCGACATTACATTACTCAGTGATTAGTGATACTGTAGTGACAAGTACATTATGTCACTATCACTAAGCTAAAGCTAAATTCACAATTTCCTTGCTTCATTATTAAATAATGAAAAATCTAAAAATTATAGATTTTTAATCTGATGTATATATTATGGATAAGATAGATTTTTTTGTTCTTTTGTATTTAAATCGGATCATTCTAATTGGTGGAGAGACTCTGGACTCGCTCTGAAGCAAATGGCTGGGATCACCAGCACCGTCGGATTCAACGCCATCCTCGCCGGAGCCACCAAAACGGTGTCGCATCCGTCATTCTCTGTTAAATCTAAGCTCTTTCGACTCTATCTACCCGAATTGTCAATTGTTTCTCATCGCCGTTGCCCCACCGTTACTTGCCGTTACGGAGGCGGTGGTGGCGGAGGAGGCGGAGGTTCTAGGTTTCCCGGCGATAGGAGAGGTAGGCAAAAAGAATCTGAGGATGATGATTCGCTTGATATCTCAGCTATTAGGTAATTGTGGAAACTCTTAAAATGATTGAATTTGAAATTTCTGTAGCTCAAGTTATGATTGATTTTGATGTATTTGTTGAATTGAGTAGGTCAGCCACTGTTAGGCTTATTGATGATCAGCAGAACATGGTAAAAATGAAGTGCCTTATTAGTGTTTAAACTTTTGATTTCAGCAAAAATTGAAATTTTCCAGTTTCTTTCTTCTTTAGATTGGTTTAGTTTCTAAAGACGAAGCGGTTCGAAGAGCTGAAGATGCTGAGCTTGATCTGGTTTGTGTTTCTTTCGAAAATTCATAACTTGTAAATACCTTTCTTGAATTATCACTGAGTATCTTGTATGCCGGAATTTGGTTTTCAGGTGATTCTTTCGCCGGATGCAGATCCTCCGGTTGTCAGAATGATGGATTTCAGGTAAATAATGATCATTTGTATCATATGATGGATTGTGTATATGAAAGTTTCAAGGAGATTGATTGTTTTCCTTTTTGCTTCATTATCTATCAGTAAATACAGATATGAGCAGCAAAAGAGGAAAAAGGAACAGCAGAAGAAAAGTATTGATCATTCTTCTCTGTTTAACTGGATATAATGTTAAAACCAGAAGCTCACATACTGTGTAGTATTTACATGAATGGATTGTAACTGAAGCTTTGTTCTTGTGTCAGCTACTCGTATGGACTTGAAGGAGCTTAAAATGGGGTAATTTGAGCCAGTTTCACTCTCTTTTGTTTGTGACTTCTCTAAACCTGTTTTTTCTCAAAAGGTTTCTGTATTTTGTTTCTCTGGTAGTTATAACATCGATCAGCATGATTATTCTGTACGCATGAGAGCAGCCCGGAAGTTCTTGCAAGACGGTGACAAGGTTGTCCCCATTTACTTTGTTTTGTGTTATGGGCGTATTCTGTCACATTTTGCTGATGTGTGACTTGTTATATACTCAGGTTAAAGTGATTGTAAACATGAAAGGCCGAGAAAATGAGTTCAGAAATATTGCTATTGAGCTCCTCAGACGTTTCCAGACTGAAATAGGAGAGGTCTGTATTGTTCGCTATGCTCTTTCCTAATAGAAGTTCAGTATTGGATTTGCATGTGAATTGCACCTTAATGGATCGTTTTTGTTGAGTCACTGAAACTCATCAACGTCTGCAGCTTGCGACTGAGGAGAGCAAGAACTTTCGGGACAGAAATTTGTTTATTACCTTGGTGCCAAACAAGGAAGTTATTCGGAAAGTGCAAGAACCACCCCCAAAAAAGAAGAAAAAGCCTGTGGATGATGAAGTTTCAGCGGCGGGTATAACTGCAACACAAGATATATGATGTGGAATTGTCTGATATAAAATGTTCTGAAGATATATTATCTGGTAAATGTTCAGTGAGTTTGATAAATTTCTGTATAGTTTCTTTTCTAATATGCTTCTTGCATTTCCATGTATCTGTAACCATAGAAATAGATTATTTGAATGAAGGTATTCGTCAACTTTTTTGTATACTATTATAGGTTCTCAACTTTTATGCGTAGTCATATAGATTGTAACAAGTAATCAAAGAGTTATTGAGTCAGAAAAAGAATTATCAATTATGAGTGATGTAATGTTACAGGATGAGTACAGTATGACTTGTGTTGAGGCCAAAAAGGAGTCACTACCAATAATCTCCACATGAACAGACACCGTCTTTGAAGTGATGGAAGCGGTTGGCATCTCTTACAACAATCACTCTCTCTGTGATCTTTGAGATGAGTTTGGTTGCAGTGTGACAGTCTAAACAGACCCTAAGATTCTTTATGATCCGGATTTCAGTTCCTGGCTCAGTAGCTATGAGTCCAAAGGCAATGGCTAGCCTCTCGCTGTGAACCTTCACCATCAGCTCCCTTTCTTCCTCCTCCACATCATGCAGGGCCAACTCAGTCTCGGGTTGGTACCCAGCTTCCCTCATCTTCCCTTCGAGGTTCTCCAGCTTCTCATAGATTGCTTTTACTTGTGGATGTGACTGATCACCTGAGGTAAAGACATGAGGCGTCTCACCTATTTCTATTAAGGTATATCCAGGAGCTTTGGCTAGTTTCCTCTTCTTTGCGGTTTGTCTAACCGTAGCAGCCTGTGGATAGTTTCTATCAGCTGAGTGAATATTCGACAGCAAAACATGGTATCCTACATTGTCTGGATCTAGCTCAAACAGCTTCTCAGAGACTGTTCGGGCAAGGTTTGTGTCTTTGTGAATCCTACAAGCTCCTAGCAATGTTTCCCACACAGAAGGACCAGGCTGAATCGGCATTGCCTCTATAAACTGCAATGCTCTCTGTAAGTGTCCTGCTCGGCCAAGAATATCAACCACACAGGCGTAATGCTTGACTGATGGTTCAAAACCATAGACGTGGATCATGGAGTTGAATATCTCATCACCTTCTTTGACCAGGCCAGCATGACTACAAGCGTAAAGAACGCAGAGGAAAGTGACTGGTGTTGGTGCAATTCCGGAATTCAACATCTCAGAGAAGATAGTCAGAGCTTCTTGTCCATGTCCATGAAGTCCATAACCGGAAATCATCGTGTTCCATGTAACTTCATTCATCTTTGGCATCAAGTCAAACAATCGCCGTGCTTCTGCAATGCTTCCACACTTCGCATACATACCAATCAAAGCAGTCGACACATATATGCTAGACTCAAAATCTGTGCTCCTTACTAAATCATGAACCCATTTCCCCAAACTTAAAGCTCCTAACTGCGCACAAGCTGATAGAATACAAGTTATTGTGACAGGGTTTGGACTGAATTCTGAATTCTGCATTTCTCTGAAGAGAGATATCGCATCCTCTGTCAACCCGTTTTGGGTGTAACCTGAGATCATTGCATTCCAAGATGGCAAGCTTTTTTCCGGAGACTCATCAAAAAGCTTCCGGGCTGATTCTATCTCATTCAATTTACTATAAACCGTAGTTAACGCGGTTGAGACAGAAGTATGAGACAGGAAATTCGATTTCAAGCTGTAACCATGAATGGCATATATAAGCATAAGATGACCAGAGACAGGGACCAGACTCACCAACGTGCTTGACTTCAACTTTGCTCCTGATAACATCAGATCTTTAAACAGGCTTAAAGAGAGCTCGGTCTCTCCATTGGATGTGTACCCATGAATCATTGCATTGTAAGCTACTATATCTGGTCTACGAAACTCACGAAACAGAGTACTTGCCATCTTAATCTTTCCACACTTTGAGTATAGTGAGATGAAACCAGTAAGAACATAATCGTGGGAGTAGCACCCAGTTTTTGTGGCAAGACTATGGATTTGCATGCCGAGTCTCAGCTCCTGCAACTCTGCAACAGCGGGAAGAATATCAAGCAGAGTTGTTGTGTCCAAACGGGTACAGCTCTCATTGATCAAGTCCCTGAAAACCTGAATAGATTCCACATACATTTCATTCTTTCGGTACCCAGATATCATTGTGTTCCACAAAATAGTGTCTTTCTCAGGCATTCTGTCGAACACCTTCTTAGCATCTTCGACTCGCCAAAACTTAAAGTACATCTTAACAATGTTGGACCCAAGCAGCAATTCTGAATCACACCCATCAACGATTGCTTGACCATGAATAACACAGCCAGCTCTGTCGTCACGAAACCCAGAAGCAGCTGAGATAGCGAAGGCGTAGGTGGAGCTGTTGGGCTTGAGATCAGTGGATTTCCTTAAATGAGCGAACACAGAGAGCGCAGAGTGAGGTGATTCGTTGACGGAGAAGCCTCGCATGAGGACGTTGAAAAGGAAAACGTCAGGTCTTTGGACGGAGAGGAAAATGTCGCGCGCGTAATAAATGGCGCCGAGGTCGGAGAGTCGTTGGGTAAGCTTGGTGAGCAATGAGATGTCGTTGCGGAAGCCATGGAGAATGATCTGAGCATGGGTTTGAGCAAGGTGAGATATAGAAGTTGATCTTTTGAAGAGATCGAGAAAATTGTTCTTGCTTATCAATGCGTCGGTTGTCTCGGCGGTGGCGGCCGATACTGTCCGTAGTAGCATTTGGCTTTTTGCCTTTCAGAGAAAACGAAACAACTCATTTTGCATTCTTTCATTTTCATTTAAATATTTTTTACCTTTAATCTAAATTATAACATATCAAATGTTGATTTATATGGGATAATGGGATTCAATGAAGAAAATGTATTTCAACTTACGATGATTACATTTTGATTTTGTTAGTGAATTTTTTTTCCAAAAAGTATAATAGAAGAGCCAAAACAGTTCTATAATTAAATTTTGTAATGAATTCTACACTAAATGATACTAAAGAATAAAACCCCCCAAAAAACCCCACATCAGAGCTTACATGTGAAAAATAAATTTCTTTTTTTGTATCCTAAGACTTTCGAACTCGTGATCTTTCACTTCTTTTTTTCCTAAGCTAATGTTTTATACCAAAAAAAGAAGAAGAAAACTTCAACAAGCAAAGATCAAAAAAGGATCTCGACAAGAGAAATGTGGGGCATCAAAGAGCAATTTACAGGTGATCAGTGTTGAGCGTGTGGGAACTGTAAGCTTTGTTATTTATGGCCATGGAAACTTGCTTAATGGCAACAATGGAGGAGTCTCCTTTGCGTCTTCTCCTTCTTCTCGCCTAGTTTGTATCAGATGAGTCCTGAGGCTACACTCTTCTATCTGTTCATTTTACAAAATCTCCGTTTCAATTCGTTTAAAAAGACTCATTTTTCATTACATTATTGGACTGTTTTTGTTACCTGCATGATCGCAGTTGAGGCCAGAAGATCTTCGCATTTTCCTTGCATAGAACTCTCTTTTGTAACTACAACAGCGAGTTCTGTTACCATTATGTTCATCTCCTCCACCTGCAAATACAAATCATAAAGAGCAGTGCACCAGCTTGAGAGTTATGTCAAGAGGATAAATTTGGAGAACAGATTTATTAAAAAGGTCTCACCTTCGAGAGTAAAGACCAAATGGACGATCCCATAGCCTGCATTACATCGAGAGCCGAGGACATAGCTGCTTTCAAAGATTCAGTGTCCGCCTGTGGGAAGAGAAGTTCTAAATGATAACTATATTCTTGATCTTCTGAGATTTAATTTCCATGAATATTCACAAAAGTAATAATGTATATACCTTTGTTCCTCCAGTTGCTGGAAGGCGGAGAGTGTTTGCTTCTAAATCTGATATGGCTCCAACTAAAGAACTAACATGGTCTCTTTCAAGTGTAGCCCAATCTTCAAGGCTCACCATCTGTGCACATATTTATGCATAAGCATGGCATAATCTGATGAATAAAAAGCCAGTATACAACAGAGAAACAACATACCTGATCGTTTAATAGTGAGTTGAGTTTGATCTCTAGCTTTAGCTGTTGTAGGCCAATCCTTTGCCTGGTCACATGATCCTGAAGTTCTGATATCGCATGCCACACATTAAACAGGGTTTCCTGAAAGTCAGAACTTTGAATTTTCAGACGTCTTTAGATCAATCAGTTAAAGGATCACATTATAGAAGACGAAAGTGTAAATACCTCGGAAGTTAGTCTTTGAATATACATTACAGATTCAGCTCGTGCAATTGCAAACCGCCACTGTAAATATCTATTGTGGAGCAAGCGCAGTTGATGAACATCTTCGATATAGCTTGCTTTTTTGCCTTTCTTGACATCCGTGATGAAGCTGAGAACCGAAGTTGTGGTACTGGATGGTGTGGAAGTGCTGGTTTGTCTTATCCGTGAAGGACTTATTCCTCTTGAAGGTGGAGTTGATGGTCTAGCAAAACAGGAAGTATTTGTGCCACGAGAAGGAGTAGGACTTAACCCTCTTGAAGGACTTAAACCTCTTGTAGGACTCAATCCTCTAGAAGGGCTTAGTCCTCTTGATGGACTCACTCCTCTCGAAGTACTCATGCCTCGGGAAATAGACGATGAAGACGAAAACGATGTTCTACTTGGTGAAGCTGGGCGAGATCCAGGAGCAGACAATGGATGCAACCTAGCTACAGCCGTTGCTAATGTTGCTCTATCTAACGAACCTGCAGACAAAAGTCTTTGAGCCCCAGAAGTTCGAGCTATGTTATTATCTTCCGACTTTGTTGGAGACACTAATCCACCATAACTAGATGTGTTACTAGAAGTTTTATGCAAAGGTCTCGAACTGCTGGACAATGGTAGTGACATTCTCCTAAGAGACGGCCCCATTCCAGGCCCTGAAGTTGGTAAACCCCTTGAAGCCTTTTCACCAAGATCCAAGCTTCTGTTTAAAGAATTCGAAGTGATCTTTCCACCAATTCTACTAGGCCACCGATGCTGTTCTATCAACCGACTGTGAGGACCATCTACAGGTTTCGAATTCTCTGAAAGATCAGACACATTATTCTTCCCTTTCAATGGACTTCTCTTCCTCTCTGGCGTAGGTTTTCTTGATATAGAGGCCGTTTCAGCCTTATGCTTCTGAGCTATATTCGAAGAAGGTCTCAATGTTCGATCAACAGAAGAACTACTAACCGGTTTCTCCTTCTTACTAACAGGGACTGAGACTGAATCCGACTGAAACGAAACACTGAGGCTTCTCATAGTGGAAGGCCATAAACTTTCAGGTAAACGACCTGTAGATAGCCTCCTAGATGAAGCTGGTAAGTCTATAGACAAGTCACGTATCGGTGTGGAGGGACTAGTCGGAGATGGTGGTGTTGAAGGACGCTTCCTCTCTGCCGAAACTGCTCTTTTTGCAGCCACGGATTGAGAGCTTGAAGACACTGTTGGCCTTGTGACGCTTGGGGAAGGGCATCGCCCGGTTTTGGTTGGCGTGGGTGATCTGTACCTTGAACTAACCTCCGTTGTTCGAGGACGGCGAGTGGCAGCAAGTGCATTGTTCTTCTCGGATGGAAGAAGACGCCGCCTTGTAGTATCTGTTGCTACATCCATTCAAGCTAAGGAGACAAACTTGCATTGATTGAATTCAGCAGTTCATGCCTCTCGTCTAATTCTGCATTGAAGCTAAACAATAAAAACAGCTCCAGTTGCTGTAAATGAAGTCCCTTTGTTCTGCAAGAAACCCAAAACCCAGGAGAAAAAGTAAGATACCTCACAGACAGATAGGCCATGCGAAAAAAGAGCAAAGAATATTAGACAGCCCAGATAAAGAAAAGTAAATAAGATTCTACCTTTACAACAAAAAACCATATCAAAGACTCCCACATGTATTATCTAAGGGGAACAAACTAATGACAATTTCATCATCATTATCATGAAGAAAACAAAAAAAAGAACCAAATCCAGACTATAAAATCAAGAAAGAGCTGGGTACTAACAGAAGAAGAGATAAGAAAATTGTGTAGAACTAGGAAAACAGTGGTCAAAGAAGAGAGACAGACATAAAGAGAGAATGGTGGGTTGAGTTCTAACTAGTTAGCTGCTACAGTTTCACAATATCAGGAATATTTTTTTAAAAAACAAGATTTTTCAGAGAAAAAATCTTTTACAGTGTCTCTTTGTCACGGAAGTGCCATGGTCAGATGTGCTGGAAAATTAAATGAAGATTTCGATTCAATCTATAGACCAATCTTCTTCTTCTTTCCATCAACATCACAACACCTCAAAAGATAACTAAAGAAACTTCCTTTATCACCTTGCAAACAGAGTAAACTTACTAAACTAAGCAGCTCGATATTTTGATAATTAGTGTCACAATGTTTGATTTGTAGCAAAAATGGACATTTTTGACAGATTTTTGGTGTTTTGTCCAAAAAATGGGACCACGTGGATTGAAGAATCAAGAACCGGTGCCCACTCTCCGAGGGAAAATCAACGGTTGATGATAGAGAAATCATGAATTGCAGTAACAATGATGACTGATTAAATTTTGATCATTTGAGATATTTTCTCGAGAAAGTGAAGGATCAAGGAAGAAAAATCTGGGATTGAAAAAAAAAACATAAACTTTATTATGTTTCTAAGTGAATGAGATGGTTTCTGACGAAGAATCCAAAAAGGAAATTTTGTCAGTTACTAACACGACTTGTGTCTCTCAATGACACAGACTCTTTTTATCGAATCAAATTTAGTAATATTTTTCCATGAAAATGCAAATCCTCACAAATTTAACGAAATGAGATTCATTTATAGTTTCTATCAATGATCTAGCTCATGAATCTCAGATCGCAGTTATAATACCCAGAAAACTCTAGGGTTCTTCCGATTTTGAATAGAATTAAAATTGGGATTGATGACAATCAAATGTAGAAGCTAAACATTAGAGATCCGATGAATCTGAGGTTGGGAAATAGAGAATCTTACCAGGAAGAAAACCCTAAGAGTGCCAAAAGTAATCAAAGTCTCGTGATTCACCTCGCGAAAGACTTCTCTGTCCCCTTTCGAGATCAAAATTGGGTATATGAAACGTGAATGGAATTGATTAACCAAGCTGGAGAATTGTAAATAAAAAAATGGTTCGCCAGCGATGAAGAATGCTCGACCGCCGGAGATAGAATTGATCGGGCGATTTAAGAGGATGGGTTCGAGGAGATCAAAGAGAGAGAGAGAGAGAGAGAGAGAGAGAGAGAGAGAGGGCGTTATTTTCGCGCCACCTAATTTTGATATTAAAAAGAGTCTTTTTATTTTTCTCTCTAATCGAAATATTAAACCATAAGTTGAGTAAACAAAACCGATTTCACCGGAATAAACCGTGATCGAAATTGAACCGGAATCCTTCCAACTTCGATATTATTCACTAAATTAATGATCAGATTCAACGATTTATGATCCTGAGATTGTAGTTTTTCTTTGGTACTATTGATCTACTTTAAGTATTAATGGAAATTGTTGTTGGAGCTTACTTATATAAAAGAAAATTAAATTATTTGCAATGGATCGAGACAAAACGTGACAAGATTATGGTACTGATGATTGCTTCAAGTTTTTTTTTTTTTTAACACTTTTTTTAATTGAAAATTTGGCATAACGCCGAAAGCTTAATTTTACATTCGGTTACTTTTCCCACCCAACCTTACCTAAATTCATAGGAGTTATGAGGAAACAAGCTCTAAGACAAGGAAATAAATATTGAAAATAAAAAATAATTTAGGAGAAATGGAAATTATGATGGTTACCCATGATATGTGTTTGGTCATTTCTCTTCTTTCTATTTTTTTTTTGTTTTTGTCTTTTCTTCTACTTAAGAAAAGAATATTTACCAAACACTTACGATGGCTAATCCCCAACTAAGTTTCTTTTTCTCATAATTTTCTTGTTTATTTATTCTATTTGATTAAATCTCGTGAATCTTATTCATTTTATGTTTCACTTATATATTAAGATTAGTGGCTAAGTGTATCTATTCTCTTAAACGGGTATGTTGATAAATTTTGTATACGAATTTGTTCTCTAAACATTTATCCAAAAAACAATAACTATGTAGAGTCTAGTCATCGACGAGGATTCTAAAGTCTAAACACCGTAATTAGTAAGAGGTTTAGTACATAAAACACAATAAACTAATCCAATTTTAAAATAGAAAAAAGAATAAACCCATTTTTTATTAAAAGAAAGGTTTGCTCCCACATGAGATGATTTGGACATATCATATGATCTTAAGCTTTCTATAGACCTTTGTCTCTCTTTCTTTTGTGTGTCCCTTACCTTGTGGAGTCTTGTTCCAACTTTACTTCCACTTGGAGTTCTTATGAATTTAATATCAATATATAACAAAATTTATTTTTCTTTCTCACTTTTTCTATTGTTAGAGATGTATTTTGTTTTATGTTCTTTTATATTGGCTACACATGTACGTACTGCCAATTTTTTTAGAATCATTGAACCTAGCATACATTTATGTGTATATATGATGACATATATCTACTCGTCTAGTCTCCCGTGGTCCGTTCAAGGATTCTACTTGGCTAGATATCTTAAGATTAACGTTCAATTCTTTTGTTGAATTATATGATCATATATATGTTATTGGAACCTTTTCCAATTCATTTGTAGTTATTAGTTCATATATAATGTAAAACAACGACACGCTTGTGTTTATATTGTTATCAAACTAAATAATTCTCTATATTAATTATGTCCACCAAAGTTTTTACCTTCTTCAAATGGGTAAAAGAAGATCAATCTATAAAGGATATGTACGTTATGGAGATTCAACTTGTTAATATAGGGATTAAACTTCCGAACAAATATTGACTAGGAAGAGAAACAAAAGTAATTGAATCTAACGTGTTCAATTATTTTGTTTACAAACAAAACAAATAAATATTTTGTTTACGTACCGACATATTTTTTTATGTTTCAGAACAATATTAGTATATGTACAAATGAAATATGCTAGTTAGATAGATATACACATACATCTATCAAATCCTTTTGTACAAGTGTACTCAAGATAGAAAGAAAACAAAGGAAGTCAATTATACCTTTTTGTATAAGTGTACTGATTAAATAACAATATATTTTAATAATTACTATTGTTATAAAGCTATTATAATCCTCGTATTATTAAAGTATGCAAAAATGAAAAGGATAAATCTTTGCGTCTTGGTGTGATTAAGTATAATTAGCAAGAGCCAAATGATGAGTATTCACGTGCTTAGCACAATTATATTGACCACACTAAAAAGAACTAGAGTTATTAATATATGTCATGTCTTCGCAATGTTTCTTTGCTTGTCTAAAGCTTGTCGTTTTCTTGTTTCCTCTTATCTATTAGGCGGTGTAGTTTCCTCGATCACATTATCTTTTTCGTTTTTTTAAAACCATTTGTAAGAAACGTGTGTTTCTTATGAACAAGAGTCACTGCTTTGGTAATGTCTATCAAGATGTAATAAATGAAGTTCCATAAACAATGATGAAGTAAATTTTACTTTCTTAACTACTACTGTTTGGGTTAGTGACATAACTAAGGCAAAATTCTATTCTGGCTGCTGATGATTCCCGCTTCTGATTTGAGCCTTTTTCTGTATAAGTTCTTAAGCTTTGGTACAACAAAACTGGATTCTGGAGGAAGAAGCAGTCTCCATTGATGTTCTTTTACCTCAACAAGGGCCGAAAAAACAGAGATGCAGAAAAGCTATTCCTGTTGTCTTCATCATCATCAGTACTTCACAAGTCCAGCACCTTGAGCCTTTCCAATAACTGACTCTATGCTTCCATCAAAGAGATCAAAGCTTTTCGCAACAGCAAAACCCGAAAACATCCCATCCACTGCAGCACTTACAATGCCACCAGCATAACCAGCTCCTTCACCAACTGGGTATAGACCTTTTAAGCTCGTACTCTCGTACGTCTCATTGCTTCGAGGTATCCGAACAGGAGAGCTTGTTCTTGTCTGGTAAACAAGTTGAGACATTGTTTATCTCTTGACTAAAGAGTAGGCTAATTCAGGACAAGTAATAAAATATACCTCTACGCCGTGGAGGAGTGCTTCCTCTGAGATGAATCCTGGCAACTGAAAGTTCAAGGGTTTAGAGAAAGACAAAGCTATAGGTTTGTTTATGCGGAAATATATAACCAACCTCTTTTTCAAACATAGAGATAGACTGTCGCAGAGACTCTGTAATATGAGTAGGAAACAGTTCATGCAGATTTGCAGACTTCACTCCTAATCTATAGCTTGATGGAGGTAAAGGTGTTTCTGTTTAACAGCACAAGAGTATCCAAAATCACCAATGAACGAACCGATAAAAAATATTTTGAACCATAAAAATGAGAACTGAGAAGGAAAATGTTACTTACCAGATAGCTTGTTTTGCAGAAAATCAGTAACCCTTTGTACAGGAACTGTAAAATCGCCACCACCCATTATAGCCGCTCTTCTTTCAAACTCTCTCTAGAGGAAAACAAAAATCAAAGGAGACATATTGAATATAACTCATGAGTACTAATAGTAATCCACTTCCAGATTTATACCTGAAACTCAATTCCAGCTAAGGGTCCTTTCAGATTGAGAACATCAAAGTCTTTTGCTGAGACTGTGACAACGAGTGCAGCATTGGCCCATTTGGATGAACGGCGAGAAAATGACATGCCATTGATGCAGAGTTCGGTTGGGTTTGTGCTGGTGAGAACAACCTGAAAGTACATGGAAACAGGCTTATTCGTGATAAATCAAATGAAAAAAAAACAGCAAGACACTCTTTACGGAAACTGTTACCTGACCACCAGGACACATGCAGAAGGAGTAGCAACTACGTTTTGATGAAGACTGCGAGAGATCCTCGGCCTTATCATTCACATACTGAACAACCTTATAATCTGCCACTGGTACTTTACCTCGTCCTTTAAGAACTTCACTTGCCAAATCCGAGTACTGGAAAGAAAGACCATCACAAGAACATAGGTGTTTTATATACAAGTCAAGACTTGAATTACGATAAGGTACAACAAAGTCATGGGATCTGATTTATTGAAGATATATGGTATTAAGATAATCGAACCAACCTGTATATTGTTAATTAGCTCCTGCGGATGCTCAATGCGCAAACCAACCTGATCCACACAAACGGATAGAAATCAAATGATAATACCAAGCTAGGGATAATAAAGCATCGAGATATATCGATTCAATATGAACATTTTAAGAAAGAACACACTCAACAACATATATACAAAGAACTTACAGCAAAATCTTTTGGGGTCAATTCAACATTACGAGAATGAAGCATCTCATATGTGTCACGTGCTGAGTGACCAACCGCAAGAACAACTGCATCAAACTTTAAATTCTGAGAGGTACTCTGCAATTGATCTGTTGAATCCGAAACCCTGACTCCAACAACACGAGAATCCTGTACCAGAAGATCATCTACCCGAGTTCCAAACTTGATAGTCACCTAATTAAGCATATGGAATTAAAAAGGATGCTCAGATGAGAAAAAAAAACATCAAAAAGTAATAGAGAGACATAGATCAATCTCTCATTTTAAACTTACTCCCGCACTTTGAAGATAATGTCTGAAATTACGGAGTAATGGAACTAGCTTATCTGTTCCTAGATGAGGCTTTCCGTTGACCAATATATTATCAGGAGCCCCAAAGCGAACCAACGTTTTCAACACCTGTAACAATTAACGCAATGGTCACAATTTTTCCATTTGTACTCAAACATGAAGTGCTTCTATGTAACATTTGGCAGTCTCAAAATACTAACCGCTAAAACGGTGGCACTATTCTTTCCTATTCGAGTAACAAGCTTTCCATCACTCCAAGTACCTGCACCACCCTGCGATGCATAAGTGCTAAAATATGACTTTGACAATAACAAAGAAAACTAGCAAAAGACTGAAGAGAAGGTTTTTAAACCTCGCCAAAGCAGAAATTACTCTCCATATCCAAAATCTTGCGAACTACCAAAGCGCCGATATCACGTCCCCTTTCTTCTACTGCTTGCCCTCTTTCAATCAATGTCACATCTGCACCGAACTCTGCAAGAACAAGAGCTGCAAACAAACCAGATGGACCACCACCAACAACTGCGATTTTCGGTTTGCTTCTTCCTCCTCCATGTTGGTGTGGATCTCCAGAGCCATTGATAATCTGATGTTCATATTCTCCGGATGATGTCTCACTGTTGATCCTTTTACAGTCATTCACCACACTAATTAAATCCCCTGAAACACTCTTCTCGGTAGGCACATGTTCAATAAGCCCAATCTTAGGCTCTAACCGGAAAATGAAATCATGAGCACGAGGCTCTAACTCAAGAAGGGTCTTCACATCCAAATCCACAGTATAAACAAACTTGGCTTCTTTCAGAATCTAAACAAAAGATGAAAACTTCACTCACTTGAACTATAATTTATAAACATATATGTGGAATCAAATTGAATTCTACCTTCCTAGCGTCAAAAGATTTCCTAATCACTGAAAATGCTTCTTCTGGCAGCATTGAAGCAACCTGAAAAATCCAATTTATCAAATCACAGATACCATCAACACATTTGGAAAAAATCGAATTTCATACCCATAAGGTAAAGTTTCCAACTTTTCACCGGAGAACTCACCGGAAACTCGATAACTTTAGCGATGGCTTGAAGCAAACCTTCGGAAATTCCGAGAAAGTCCTTTCCAGGGTCATCTCCGACAGGAACTCCGAGCTTAGAGAGACGCCAAACTCCTTCGAGCTTGTTCTTAACTTTGGCCACAGCTTCCTTCTGCTCTGTCCTCAGCTTCCTCCTCTCAGAAGGATATCTCCGCTTACCGGTTCGCTTCGCAGCACAGAGAATCCGGTGTGTTTGGAGACGGGGATAAGAGAGTACCGCTCTAGAATAAGGAATTCGCAGGTCATGGCTCGATGAGAGAAATGAAGAACTGAGGAAATTCGTTTGCGAGAGAGACATAGTGAGAGCTCAAACTAAAAAGCTCGTCTCTGTGCCCAAGAGTTATCCTTTCATTTCAAATTGTATCGACTCGAGCCCGGTTCTACAAATCATTGATTATAATCCGGTTCGGTTCGGTTCGATTTTGATTTGGTTTTTGTTACTGAATTTCTCGAAGTTTTCATATCATTCTGATGGTACTGAAGTGCTTCAAAGTTTTTTTTTTTTTTTTTTTTTTGCTAAACATGTAAATATCATATTAATGAAAGAAGGTTTTACAATGTAATACCTAAAGAAGAGTAGCTAAGGCAAAAAAATAAAACAAAGCTACAATAGAGAGATGGAAAGATTTGGAAACTGACGGATCCAAAGAAGCATTAAGTTGCGCCAACGCTTCCTTTTTCGCCTAGATGTGATGATATTGCGAAGCTCACGATCGAGCAGCTTGAAAATAATGTGCGGAGATAGACGCTGAGAGTTATGCAGGACGTTGTTTCGCTGGCGCCAAACGCTGAAGATAAGAGCCTGAGTTTGATATCGTTTTGATTTTATAGTAAAGTATATCCTAAAAGTAACCAGATTTCTTATACCGTTTATCTGTACCGGAAATTAAATAGCCAGACTACAAATTATATATATATATATATATATATGCATGTCATTATACTCTCCAAACACAAATTAAAAGGAGTTTTTTTTTTGTATCAAGATGAAAGTGACTATCTCTGTTTCACCATCACCACATCGTTGCGTGAATCAGTGAATTGACCCATTTGCAGATGCCAGCATATTTCAAACTCAACAATCCGATAACTTAGATTGTTTGTCAAGTTAAGGGAACCCTAAAATCAAAGGCTTCACCGCATAACTATATTACCAAACTAGTAATAGATATATACAAATTACATAACCTGAAGAAGTAAACAATACAGAGAAAGATAGAACAAGTAAGCATCGTATATAGCATAAATAGTGTGATTAACAAAGGATGACTTAAGAATTGTATTTCAAAGCGACAGTCTTAAATTAGAGATTTGTCTAGTGATTTTCTTCTGCGCCAAGGAAAAAGAGATTCGATGGCTGTCCGGGGCGTTTTTCACCTCTAACTTCTTTATGATTAGATCTGAAAGCTTCATCATCTTCTTTGGTCCAGTAAGCTAGCTTAAGCGTGTTGTCACTTGCGTTTTGATAGTAAGGTATTGGGGCATAATCTGGCGGCTCTTCAACGGCAGTTTCTTGGTTAATGAGTGTGTCAGGGTGTGCTAAGGCAACAAAGAAACCTTTGTTTTCTAAAGCTTGACGAAATCTGCAAAATTTGGGGTCTTGTTCCATCTTCTCCTTGTTTTCCGAGAGTACCAGCAAATTTATTGGATCATCCAAGATCCATATATGGTAAATTACTTCCGCTAGAATCATGTTTAATCTGGCACGTTTATCCCCTGCAAATAGTATAAATAGATTACTTGCACATAGATTCATCATCGAGTGTTTATATATGAGTTAGAGAAGGACCTTTGTGGAGATAGACTTCAAAGTCGGATTCCCAAAGTTTGTCTCGCGATTCAGTCAACCATGCATTCTCAGCAGAACCGAAAATCCAGATGGACACTTCCGACATCCTTATATGAGGACGCTTGACAATAGCTCTTGTGATTTTCTCGTTGATCAAACAAGGATCGATACTTTCAGGGATTGTGTAGTCCTCAATGTCCCATACGACTAATGTTTCATCATGCACTGCAGATCCAGGTGCTAACAAAACAATTTACGACAAAAACAAATCAAGATCAAAATTAGATCTAATCAAGATCGATCATAGAAAAATATACAGAAAGATATAGATCCAGAGATCAGGTTCTAACAAGACAATTTACGAAAAACAAATCAAGATCAAAATCCAGATCGATCATAGACAAACAAATATACAAGCAACTATACAGAAAGATGATATCATAAACAAACAATTAATTTGGAGAAATCATCTTACTGGATCTCTCGCTGGTGGGCAGCAAAGGGAACAAAGTGGACATGGTTTCGACGTAACAAGTTCTCCAGAGACGCTAGCTTTGAGGGCTGATGAGAGACTTTGTAAATTTAGGGTTACCTCGTTCGCAAGTTTTTTGTTGTTATTCGTGGATCTCTATATTTATTCGGAATAATTGTTTAATCGTTGTCTGTTGGTAGATGGTAAGACATGTGTGTTTTGGGATGTGGAGGATTACCCAATCCCACCTGGTCTCGATCCTGCTTCGATTTACTGGAGAATCAAAGAGGCTATCAAGAATCATGGTTGTGATGCGGAGGTGTCGATTCAGGCTTATGCTGATGATAATACGTTCTCGGATGAATTCCAAAAACGTCAATATTCGGATGCTGGATTCAAATTAGAAGTGTTCACCGAAGGTGAGAATTCCATTACTCTGAATTAAGCTCTTTTCTCTTTCTCTTACAGATATGTATATCTAGATCTCCGTTGTTGATATAATAATTACCTAACTTTGCAGGGGATAAATATGCGAGACATTGTTCCATGTATGCTGACTTTATGTTGTGGTCACTGGAAAATCCTAAATCAAATGTGATTATTATTGCAAAAATAATCGACGACAAATTGGCTCATAGTCTTGGATGTTTGACTAGGGTCTGGTCGTATGGTGTTCTCTTATCCCAAGCTAAGCCAGAATGGCTAGAATGGGACTTTCCTGTTGGAAGCGTACCCTCGTTTTTGACTGCCATATTTGATGGAGGAAACATTAGCAAAAGTAAGGATATTCTGGCTGATTCCGTGGACTAACTATTGTCTATCTCAAAAGGGATGTTCTATGTTATTGTCTTGTGCCGATATATATTAGTTAGATACTTATCACTAAGAGCTATCTCGTTAATCAAATCCGTCTCTACAAAGCACAAGAGACTTTGCATAGAGCAGCTGTAACTTACTATACAAGCCAAAGAAAAGTGACATGGTCTAATTTCTACCTAACATAGATTAGTGAAATCGATATATATATTGCTGCAGCGAATAAATAATTTATCTTTTTTTGATTAATGGTAGCTAATAAACATAGAAACAAGTACTATTCAAATTATATGCATGTTGATACTCTCCAAACCCAAATTAAAAGGAGTTTTTTTTGTATATCAATCACTATGAACAAGATGAAAGTGACTATCTTGATTTCACCAGCACCACATCGTTGCATGAATCAGTGAATTGACCCATTTGCTGTGCTGATGCCAGCATATTTCAAACTCAACAATCCGATAACTTGGATTGTTTGTCAAGTTAAGGACCCTAAAATCAAAGGCATCACCGCAGAATTATATTACCAAACTGAAACTAGTAATAGATATATACAAAATTACATAAAATTCACAAATCTTAGATGTTGATCTACCCTATAAAATCCGCATTACGCAAGTACCACACCAAAAACATCTAAAACTACACCCCTTCGTAACAAACATTCTCTTGATTTTAAAATATAAAATAAAAACCATGTCGATTTTTGAGGGTTAGGGTTTGAGGAAAATTTTTGGTAGTGCTAAAAGGTGTACACTTCTTTTTGTTTGTTTGTTTGTTTGTTTGTTGAATCTACAAATCTATCTGTATAAGATACAAAATAAAAACAGCAAAATTTCCCATGTTTTCAAGAGGCTAAGAATCTGGTTAGCATCTTCATCCTGATGCTATATCTATGGCAAGATCCCTTCATGTGTCAACAAAACATATATGATCATGAGCCCATAGAAATGGCTAGTGGCATCTCACTTTCATGCGAACCGATAGTAGAATTGCTGGAGGTTGACATTCGTTTCTTCGATTGATTCCCTTCAATCGACACTAGAACTTGGCCTTGTGGGTGAGCTATTGTCTCTGGATCATCATCATTCGGAGACTCTAAAGATTGATCAGGAGGGTCAAGATCACGCGGCATGGATTCTCCACTCGCGTTGTTATTGTTACCACCGGATCCAACGACCATCCTAAATCCAAAAGTGCGTGAGACGATGCGGTATGCAAAGGTTAGGATCCAAAAGAACCAAGGGAGACAAACAAAGACAATGCCGAGGTAGGAGAGCCAAACTGGAGGGTAAGGAAGGATTGTGTATGCAATTAGACAACCGCCTCCAACCGCAATTGATAGGAAAAGAAATAATGTAATGAGACAGATGAACGCCTGCCCCGCCCGTGGATCTGGCACAGGCATTATTATGATTCTAAGGAAGGATCGATCTCAAAGATGAAGAAGGATCTCACGGGACGCTTAAGGGTACTATATCATCCTCCATTTACAAATTGCTCTTTCTTCTTATTCCTCCAATCTTTTTTCTTTGTTTTTATTATAATGATGTTGATAGGTTGAGGATGGATCAGATTTGAAACAAGAATTAAACAGAATAAATCCCACGCATAAAAAAATGAGCGATGATGGAAAAGAAAACACAAGAGGGTATTTCTGTTTTGTTTTGTTTGTGTGTGACTTATAATTTGACAAGAATAGCCAATAGTCATTTTGTTTTCCTCCATTTGCCATTCCATAGGAGAGGGACGTCCGTAGATACAGGACCTATAATATTGAATATTGTTTGATCAAAGTCATCTTAACGTTTTGCAATCTTAGTTGAATATGCTCATGTATTTGAAACTTATTATACCAAAGTAATTTTTGAAAAACGTATATAATGTGTATATATATATATATGTTTGAAATAATTTTTGTCAAAGAAGCTGTACCAATATATAATTACATATGATCGCATTTAAATATAAATTTGTTAAGATATATCCAATTATATATGATTGGAACCAATTTGATGGTACGTCATCATTTTTCCGTACTCTCATGAAGGCGTGTATGCCAAGTTACTCCAACATAAATAAATAAAATGCATACGTAGAAGTTTTCATATGTAAATAGAAACCCAAATATTTTTTTTTTAAAAAACCTGTAATTGGCAAGAAAAAATGGTTGGGGTAGCTCTTTAGATGTCGGCAAATCAAAATTTGGGACATAAATGTACGAAAACCAAACAAAACAAAATTCATAACATGTTTTCATAATAAAATACGCATAATACGAAAATTATTAAGACGAAATCATGCATCTATATGGGGTTTTAGACTTTTAATTAAATGATAACTATGTCAATCTATGTTCTGAATGCAAATACACAAAAAAGAAAAATAAAAAAACAGTAGTATTAAATATGGGACGTGGCAAAAGACTTTAACTCTTGCAATAAAACCATTGTAAATGTTTCAAATTCAGATCAACCACATGTTCCAGTTTTACAGATTTGTAATATTGATATGATTTTAAATTTATCATTGACTTACTATATGATTTTAATTTTAGTCGCATGTTCCAATTTTACATACTGAAATTCAAGGATTCTCATTCCATTTCTGTTTGTTGTTGTTCTATAAATTCTCAACCACCATTAATATGAGAATTCAAAATCAAAGACTGTTGTTCATTGAACAAGTGTTTATATATATATGATTACATGTAAGTCTTGTTCAACTTTTTGACAATTGTTAGTTTACAAAAAAAGTAGATTTCATTTGTGTAGGATTATAAGATAAGGTTGAATGTATAAATTTTTATGTTTGATTACCAAAAGTGGCAAAAGAAAACATTAGTTGACTAGTGACTGACTATACACAACACAAAAAAAAAGTAATTAATTAAGGCAAAAGGAGGACGAGTAACACGTGGCAAATACTCTATCTATAGCCGTCATAAGAAAAGAAAATAAGTAAATATGTAACCCCACCCTATATATCAAGAACTACTGGTTGTTCGCCAGCGAATTAACTAAATTATTTAATGAAAATAGAAATGACAAGATTAGCCCTCTTTCCATAGGCATAACGTGGTGGCTAATTTGGGAATTTCAATAGCACTCGGAGTCAAAATAACGATGGCGCGTGTCGGTACAATCACGGTATACGCGCGTCGATAGCCGCCAGGAGAATCCTTTTTTACACAATCAAATTTATAGAGAGAGAGAGAGAGATCCCGTAAATGTTTTATACTCTGATTTCTAGGGTTTGCTTTTGATTCTCTTTCGTGTTCCAGATAAAATCCTTTTTGTGAAATAATTTCGTTTGTGGGTTATCCGAATTTTGTCTGAATTTGGGTTGTTATTTGAGGAAGAAAGGTTTGTTTTTTTTCTGGGGAATGGTGGAAATGAGGAAATCTGGAGGTTTAAGACGAACGGAGTCTGAATTGGCGGCCAAGTGCCGAGATGAGCTACCGGTGAAATTGGAGATTGCTGAGGATGATTTAGAAGAAGAGCATGCTCCTCTCACCAAACGATCTAGGGTTTGTTTCTTTCTCTCTCTTTTTTTTTTTTCAGATTAGCTGATCTAATTCAGTTTCTGCGATCAATTCAATAGCAATTCTTAGTTTTTTTTAATAAAAGATTTGGCTTTTAACGATTCCTACGGTGATGATTTTATATTTAGCTGGTTGTGAATTGTTTGGTGATGTATCTTTTATATTGATTCTTGCATTGAATTAGTTATGGAGTCCTGGGACAAGCTCATCGACAATGGCACCAGCTAAGTATAACCCGCTTGATGAGCCGAGTCCTCTTGGGTTGAATCTTAGGAAGAGTCCATCTTTGTTGGAGTTGATTCAGATGACGATAACGCATTGTGGTGACCCTAAAGCAGCTGAAACGCTGAAAGCTGGTGCACTTGGCTCTGGTCTTAAGAAAGAAAGTAAAAGCATTGCTGCTGCTGCATCACTTGGACCGACTTTGGCGCCAGGAAGTATTGAGAAGCTGAAAGCTTCCAACTTTCCTGCTTCGCTTTTGAAGATCGGACAGTGGGAGGTGAGTCTTGGGAAATGTTTCATTTTGATATATTTTTCATGGTGCTTTCAAAATCTAAGTGGACATGGTTTCCTTTTGATAGTATAAATCGAGGTATGAAGGTGATTTGGTGGCAAAGTGTTACTTTGCAAAACACAAACTTGTTTGGGAAGTATTGGAACAAGGTCTTAAGAGTAAAATCGAGATCCAATGGTCAGATATTATGGCTTTGAAGGCAAACTGTCCTGAAGACGGACCTGGAACATTGACTCTAGTGGTATACGATTCACTCATGTTCTTTTCTTTTGCTCAACCTATTACTCTTGTTCAACTTTAATCACTCGTCTCTTTATGTTTCAGCTTGCTAGACAGCCCTTATTTTTCCGGGAAACAAACCCACAGCCTAGAAAACATACTTTGTGGCAGGCGACATCAGATTTTACTGATGGCCAAGCCAGCATGAACAGGTACAGGCATTTCATATTTTTTGCCTGAATAAATTGGTGATGTCCTAGCTTCTGCTAACGATACGCTCCCTGTGATCTGTTAGGCATCATTTTCTGCAATGTGCTCAAGGGATAATGAACAAACATTTTGAAAAGCTCGTTCAATGTGATCATCGTCTGTTCCATCTAAGCCGACAGCCGGAGATAGCTATTGACTCTCCCTACTTTGATGCGCGGCAATCTATTTTTGAGGATCCAAGTGAATCGAAAGGCCATCCTTTTGGGAATTTGAATCTTAGCACAGGTCCTTCGATTTCTGGGACTCAGAATTTAGCATCTCCTGTTGGGGCTCAGTCATCATCTGAGCATATGTATCTGTCTCATGAAGCACCATCACCCAGCTCAGGTATTATGATGACTGCTCGCTCATTCTGGTTGCTTTCATAACTCCTTATTTGAATATAGTTTTTCATTTTCACTTTTGTTGAACCTGATTAAGATTGTGGATTTATTTTTCTGTTTGTTTGCTTCATTCATCTCTAGTGATAGATGCTCGTGCAAATGAAGGAATTGGGGGTTCTGAAGCAGTCAATTCAAGAAACAGAACGGATTGTGGTCAGATCGAAGCACCTGGACTACACCAATCTATGTCACTGAGTGATTTCCTTGCAGTTCTCTGTGATTCAAAAAACACAACGGATTTGAATCTGGCTGAAGACGTAGCTGGACTACACCAATCTATGTCAGTTAGTGATTTCGTTGCATATTTATCTGATTCAAGAAACATAACTGATTCAGATCAGATAAAAGTACCTGGACTACACCAATCTATGTCGGTGAGCGATTTCGTTGGACTTCTCTCTGATTCTGCTGGTGGAAATCATCCGGAACATATGGAGAAATTTGAGATCATGAAACAGCAGTTGCTAAGTGATAATATCCAGTTCGAGGCACCAGATGAGAAGTCTCTCATGCCAAGGGTTAACTCTTTATTCAACCTCTTGTACAAGGATCCCAATGTCGCTGCAAACTCACAGCTCAATACCGAAATGTCGGTTGGATTGAAGTCTGAACCCAAGGGAATTGTTTCTGACAACAACAACAACAACAACAACCGAGTTCTTGATCCAGCTTCTAGCAGCAAACCACAAGGTATGTTAAGGAAAGACTCATTCAGCGATTTGCTATTACACCTCCCCCGGATCACATCCTTGCCAAAGTTCTTGTCCAACATTTCAGAAGAAGATGGTGATGCATATAATAGATAATTTATAGATACCGCCTCTCTTTTCTGGATTTGGCAAGTATAGGAACCTGGACTAGTAGCTTTTCTGTTTTTTTTTCTTGTAAATCAAAATTATCTCTTGGTAACTACAACCCCCACAGGGATTTGAAGAAACATGTTTTGATGATTAATTTCTGTATATTATTCCCAATATAAACCAAAGTTTGCAGAGGCGTAAGATTCCATTATTTATCCTAAACTTTTACCTTTTCGCTTAATATATATATCTTTTTATTACAGCATTCAAATTATAGCAGAGTATGTACAATACAAGGAGAAAAGATTAAACTAAGATCAGTGATCATCAGCTGTACATGTACATAAAGAAGAAAGATATGAAATAAAAGAAAATTAAAGAAGAGACAAATGAAACCCACAAATCATATAAGGGGCTATCTGGTTTTAGATTGTGTTATTTGAATTCAAAGTATTTACATTTTTTGTTTTTTTTTGGGGGGAGGGGGTTTCTTCCATCACGTCTATCTGCCTTAGGAACAAGCAAAAGGATCAGGAAGCTTGTTGATGAATAGCAGTGTCAGGAAGCATTGCTATCGTCACTATGAAGTATTCACATCCTGAAGAGAGACCATAAGGGTTTGATGTTGTTGTTGCTGAAGTTGATGTTGAGATTGAACTTGATGCCAGAGTTCTCGAGCCCTGGTCTGAGCCGAGATGATGTGTCTTACCCGCCTCAGGAGAAGCAGAAGCTGAAAGTGGTGATGGCAGTTTAACTATTTGGCGCTCTATGTGCACAATCTGTCCAACAATGTATGTAGGCCGGTTTGGGAGATGATCTGTGAACAATGCCTCGGATTCAGAGGATAAGTAATAATTTGGGCAGTTCCTGTTGATTGCCTCGTAATGTCCTGCTTGGTTTAGCACAAATGCTGCGATCTCATGGACTTCAAGACGACCAAATGATATCTTTTCCTTATTTGCCTGTCATCACAAGAAGTTCACCAATTTTCTCATTCAGAACCGAGGACACTCCAAATTATGAATGTGTAGCAAAAAGAGAGAAAATTTGCTGCAAGAAACCATGACTGTTACTAGAGATAACACGAGTCTACCTGCTTCCCAAGTTGGTGCTTAGTGTACAATGTTTTCACCAGCTCTTTCTTTTCCTCCAAGTCCTTTCTTGTCTGTTCACTTGTGGCTTCAAGATTTTGGCACTTCTCCAGTAATTCCTCCCGGTGTTTGGAGAGGAAGCTAACTTTGTCTGCCAGGACTCGGATGCATTTCCGGAACTCAGTAGTACCATCATCTTCATTTTCATTAACGGAGCTGTGAAATTCCCAAGTAGGAGAAATGCAAATTCAGAGAAACATTTTCAGAACAAGAGCTTGAAAGTGGATAAGTACAAGAGAGAAAGGACTAATACAGATGGGAACTTACTTGGCTAAAGCTTGAGCCAAAGTTCGCAAGGAGTCGGCAAAATCAGCAATCCCACTGCCAGCACAGACAGAGCTCCGGAATCTTTCAAAGAGACCTCGCATCTTCACAGCCGATGCACGAAGTGCAGTATACTGAGAAGCTCTACGATCAGCAGCACAAAGATGGGTCTGGGCTTCTTCTCTTGCTTCATGTAAGCAGTTCTCCAAATGTGCACAATTCATCTAAAACCAAAATAGTAATACATACCACATCAAAGGTAAAAATTTAAGGGGAACAGGGTCTTATAATGTGCAGATACACAAGCTATCTGGTGACGCAGAAACAGCAGAACCATGCTTATTGTATCTCTACATATTTCTAATTGAAATGTCTGCCAAATCACAAACATTAAACTGTTCATAGCCCTCTCGTTAGAGTGTACTAGTAAACTAACTGAGAGAAACGAAGAAATTTCACAATTTGAATGATTGTCAACCAGGTGTAATCCAAGATCTCATGAAAGCCTTGATCTATGGCTCCTGGAACTGGTTAGCTTCAAATGGTTTAGGCATTACGCAAAAGCATATTGAACCTTCCTAGTCCAGATGATTGACATCATTACCAGTAAAAGACACAGAAAATAGAACTGATACTAGCCCCTTAGATACTAGAATTTAGACGTCTATGACAAAGCGAATACCAGCAACCAAAAGAGTAACAGAAAATGGTGTAAAGATAGATAACATACTAAAAAGTAAAGACTAGCTCCTAGGCTAACAATGCAATGAATAGATTTCAGAGTGGGAAAGAATAGGGAAATTCTGCCAAACCTGGGATTCTTCAAGAAGCTTCTGATTCGTTTCCAACTCTGTGCTCAAATTGGATACCTCTTCCATAGCACCATTTAGCTTGGACTCTATTTCACTCAGTTTATTGGACTTTTCCATCAGCTCATTTCTAAGTTCCAAGATAATATCATCACTGTGTTTGGCATCTAAACCTCTGCCAGTTGCCACATTATCATCTAAAGATTTTTGTGGGCTCTCGGCTGTCGAACTGTTACTTAGAAACACACCCATTTCCCCAGCCTCACTATCCTTTCCACCTTTCTCATTGTTTTGCTGGCTTTCCAGCATCGATGAGTCAAGCGGATGACTGAGTACCTGAGAGGAATCCACCATATTCTCATCCATACCTTCCCGAGCTTTACATGGCTGCTTGCTAGTAAGATTTGAAACACAAGAGACCTCATCCATTGGTTCTGAACCAGATACATGAGTTTTGTTGCCTTCCACGTCACCTGAAGCTTCTGCTTTGTATTCACTAACTTTTTCATCCATAAGGTTTAAGCCAGATACATCCTTATTATTATGTCTCTGTCCCTGTAGATACTCATCAGAGAGACGTTGTTCCAGTTCACGGATGCGCTTCTCATATGAATCACAGTGCATTTGTTTTTCCTTGAGCATAAGTAGAAGATGTTTCTCGTACTCATCTTTGGCCTGCAATGCCTCTGCTGTCTTCTCAGCAGCATTTTTCAACACATTTTCTACTTCACTTTCATCCAGTACCTCATATTCAAATTGTGGGCCTAATGAACAGATCCGAGAGATTGCAGAAGCAAGGTCAGCTTTTAGTTTTGCATTCTCAACTTCCATCTTGCTGGTTCCAGCTATCTCTATTAATTCAGAGGCTGCTAGGATATCATCAAAATTGTCTTTGTCAAAAGTGTCTATACCTATCTCCTCAGGCTCAGCGGAAAGCGAGCTATCACTAGACATGGTCAGTGAACTCCTTGAGGATGCAACCTTCGAATGTAACCCAACTAGAAACTCAGGAGCATATCGATCAACGTCTGCAATTTCAATATTGAGTAGACTAGTATCATACGGAGCAACATTGACATCACACTGAGTGGGAGTATCATATAAACCCATTGAAGCCAACACGTCTCGAGGTACGAAGGGACCATGTGTTTTAAGAAACTCCTCACGTTTCCTGACCTCTGTTTCCCTCTTCATAGCAAGCTTCTCTGCCAATTGCCCAGCCATGCCCATGTAAAGCTTCATAGAGGCTTTTCTTCTCACCACCTCTGCAAGACAGGCCCTATAAGCGGGGCCAACACCACGGACTAACTTCAAGTCTGCAAATAAGTCATCCTGGCGAACCATGGCCTCTCTAAAAACGGGAAACTGTAATTTAGCATCTTTGATGATATATGTGACGTATGTTATCTTTTGCATGTAACTATGCACAAAGTTGTTCATCTCATTCTTCTTGCTCTTGCAGAAATCCAGCAATTCTGAAATCGAGTTATAGCAAGCTTGCATTTTGGGAAGGTGATTCTTGTCATGCACTTCGTACATAGGACCCAGGGCTGAAACAGCATCGTGGGGACGAAGAGATGATGACAATTGGCTAGACATGCAATCATCCACAAGTTTCTTAACCGTATTGACATCTTTGCTGTTTCAAGATTTATAAAACACCGTCAGATAACAGAAATTTTCATTGTGTAAGAAGGTAAAAATTTCATCAATTAAATTGACCGCTAAACAACATAAAATTTCCAACAGAGACAAATAAAAAGGTGTTTAACGAAATGAACAAACCTGAGAGACTGCATTATGCTCTTTTCCTCATCAATGAACCGTTCGTGATCCTTAACAGTCACTTCTAAGTTCTTCATTGATAAGGAAGCCCTGCAGGCAAACAACTCTTCTACCTTGCGCTTGACCTCGACAAACATCTGCTGGAACTGTGCAATCTTATTCTCAAATTGCCTGTGAGAGCTTGCACAATTCTCCACAGCCTTTTTGAGGTTATCTTCCTTGACAAAGTCCAATAAGCATTTCCTTGAATCAGTTTGAAGATAAGGGTGAATCTTGGCTGACCTCAATTTCTCAATATCCCTTCCAAAATTCATCAGCAAATCAGAGTGGAGGCGGTGTTGATGCTTATAACGCTTCATAAATTCAAGAAAGTTCTGATAGATCACCCTGTAATACTGTTCCAGATTCCGAGTAGCAACTTCAACAGCCCGCTGTTGTACCTTTTGCTCTCTCGTTAACCTCTCGCAGTTCTCATGCTTCACAACCGTACAATTGTAGATGGTGCGGCCTTTATGGAAATGGTAACGAAATTGCCTTTCATACAAAGGTAAAGCCTTTAAAGCTGGATCAGATGCATCATCCAAGGGATGATGTTCATGTAATGAAGCCGGTGGTAAAGCGTCAGCAACGTCTTGTAAATCTACATCTTCTGGTGATGGCGGATGAGAGTTACTTTGCAGCATAGCCTTGTTGAAAATAAACACTTCCCTGTCACTTGCAGGAAGTCCAAAAGCAGAAAGCAGCTTTTGTGGCTCAAGCTTCATGTCTAGCGAGAGAAGAAGCTGATCAGATAAGCCAATACCAGAAACAGATTCAACGAAACGCATCACAGATTCAACTGAAGTAGTCTCGCTGCATTGAAATTCAAACGAGTGGCCATTCTCAGCCACACAAAGAAGAAGCTTGCCATCATCGGCGAAACTCTCAGTGAAGCTTCCGCTCATCGTACCCACCCAAAGGACCCAAAAATCCTCAACCGCAGAATCCCCTTAGCCCACAGCCAAATTAAGAAAGGTGACTCACCTAATCAAAATTAGGAACGAAAATAGGCAAGGCTGCCAAAATCAAAAGCCCTCCAACACAAAATCCCAACCACGAATCTGTAAAAGAACAAAGCTTTTCTATATCCTCGATCCTTGACCAAAATCCAGATTCAGCAAAAACCCTCGTCGAATCTCGGAGCTTTTGGTATGTTTGACAGAAGACCTTTAAACCCCAAGGGTCAAGACCTGATCACGACCAGGATACACACAAATTCAGAATCCAGCGTTAGCTAATGTTATCCCAAAGTACCCACCACGAAATTTTCTCAAAATTCTCGAAATTTAAGCAAAATTCACCAAATCAAATATTCAACCAAATCAATATCCCCCTTCTTTCGCCTTCGTCGTACCCAGAAGAATTTATCCTCTCTCTTTTTGTTTTTTTTTCTATTTTAAAGGAACAAAAAAAATTAAGCTAACCCTAGACGACGCAAAAGCAGACGTGATACGACAAAGTAACGCGATTGCGTGAAGAGACGAGTGTCAAAGTCGAAGAATTTATCCGAAGCCGCAACAAAAAGGATCAAACTTCTCTTCACGAAAACCTCTTTCACCACTAAACTTAAACAATTAATATTCTCAATTTTCTTCTTCTTCTTCTTCCTCTTCCACTTCGCTTCTACAACGATATTTTTTTTTCTAATAAATTTTTGACCTTTTCATTAATGGAAAGTTACGAAGAAGCTTCTGATGTAAGTTTACTCTCTCACGCAAACACCAGAGTCGAAGAACCCTTTCGCTCTTCTCCCCTCTGTTGAAGACAAGACAAGATAAAGCCTGATTTTTTATAAAAGGTAATTTATTTTAATTTAATATTTTTATGGGGGGAACAGTAATTCTATAAGTTTTTCGGTTTCACCCCAATAGTTTTGTAAAGGATTCATTTATCCATACCAGATTTAGAATCTAATTAACCGGTTACATTTGGTTCGGTTTGCAAAAAAAATTTAACATACTAAAAGTAAAACCGAATTGATTGGCTTGGGCTTCTTTTACAAAAACACATAAGCAACCAAAAAGTACTGTATATGGTTTTGAGCTAACGGTATTAACATGAATCCCAAACGTAAAATCATATTCGAAATTGATATTTAGAAGGAATAAAAAAATCAACAAGCAATAAACAAAAAAAAGACTTAAAGAACACACAAAATAACAACGTAAAAGAAACACAAATTTATCTTTTTGGTTCCTAAAAAAAATATGAATCTCGGTCATTACACAAACTCCTTCAATAAGCAAAAAAAAATGATAGAGCCAACAAGTTACATTCATTTCGTTTGATACCAAAACTTATAACCAACCTCCAACACCAGCATAACTATTAATCTTGTTATTTCCTAGATTTGAACCATTGTGGCCATATAACTGAAGACAATATTCATTGTTCAGATAACGTATGATATGATAATAATATGTATAAACTGGTGGAAACATGTGTATATAAAGTAAATTCAGCATTTCCTATCATATGATAAGCTTGATTGGCATGTGATGTAGATTGGACCACATACACACACACAAAATGTCTATTGGCCATAGACGGTCCATTATTATTGGAAGAAATGATTAAATTAAGTATGCAAACAACTTGACATTGAAAATGATCTTCCGAAAGTGATATTTCAATGTTTCTACACAATTTTTGCCGTAAAATGGTTGCATTTTATAAGGAAAATCTTTTAGAGAAAAAGTGAGTTGCATTTAATTGTTACTAAATAGAAAGAAAGAAAACTAAATTGATTCTTTTTTTAATCTTTTTCTTAGTTATGTTTTGTAAATCCACCCAAATACATTTATATATATCTCTATTCCGTGTATTCTTCTCAATACTACGATTAGGACCCTTTGTCTTTGTAAGAATAACTGTGTTTTGCTTTAATTTTATATTTTCGAGATTCAAAATGATTATATTATATTTCTCTGTATCGTTCCAATTTTTGTGAAGGTGACTCAAAATGATTATATGCTGCTCTATAGATTTGTTAGAGTTATCTACTACACCCATAAGATACAAGAAGACCACATTTTGTATATCTGAATATCTGTGGACAAAAAGGTAACACTTCACATAATTCCAAAGGCTACGTAACATCAGATTGGTTGAGCTTCCACATGGGAATACTGCAAATCTGTAATCTTCTGTATATGCCAAATATGTAATTCTTAGTATCTTTTTGGTCATCTATTCGAGTTATAATACTTGTAAATGGTCCTCACTTAATTAAGGTTACAACCCACATCTCCTAAAGCAATGTTTAGTCAATCTTCTTCATGTTTTTTCTAAGAAAATTTGAAGATTTATAAACAAATAGATTTTGTTACATACCAAAGTAAAAGTATAACCAAATATGCATGCGCCAAATTTCAGGATCGTTAGTATGTAGCTATATAGGATCTGAACAATCGGAAACAAGATGTGCTGCCACCTGAAACAAACATACTAATATATGATTATATTGACATGACTTAAAAGAGAATCTTGTGAGATTCGTTTTGGACAACTTAGCTTTGGATCCGGAACCAAACATAGCCCCTCTCGTAACCCCACACAAAGGAGAACATGGATTCCACAAACTCTTCACAGTTCACACTTTATATTATATATAGTACTTGTGATTTTAATATATGCCAAAATATATCAATGATATTAGATATTTGATTCGCGTTGAACACGGATATACCAAGAACAATAACGATAATAGTCAAGACTTTGATACATTAAATTGATTCAACTATATATATTCAGTGGAATTTGTAAAGGTGTCTTTGTCTTATCTATAAGGCTTTAAGTGTTTCATGGAATGTTTAATTATTTTTGAAAACAATCATAAATAAATTAATATCAATCATACAATATCTATTTGTAATTTAATTGAGAGCTCTAAAAAATGATTAGAATCTTCTGCCTTACAAAAATATGTTTGTTCACTCTTATGTTTGTTCACTTTTAATCTCATTTCTATTATAATAGTGTCAAAACGTCATATTACTTTATGGATTACTTTTTCATTCATAAAGTAATCCTTTCATTTTCTCTGTATTTTGATTATTAATGGTTTCAGAAAATTAAGAATTTGATCACATTATCTAACTCTGAGAGTACTGTCCTTGTGTTTGCCAATAAGTGGTTGAATATGTGGTAAAGTATAAAAGCTCCCATCATGTTGGACCTACTAGCTTAGCTATAAAATGTCCTGTCATCACATAAGGTACCATTTTTTGAATTTGTTTTACGTGCCCATCAATGATATGTGTTTAACACTACTAATATTTTACGATTAAGTTGAAGTGCCTTAATTTTCTAAGTAAATAAAGTCATTATATGCCAAATGATCCTTTAAGGGGACTAGAAAGAAAACTAAAATTTAAATCAAGCATTTCAATTCGCATTGATAGATATATACTATTCACCGGTCCAGTTTGGTTAGAAACCAAAATGATTTATTTTATCTCTGGGTCAGCTTTCAGATCGGTTTTATAACACTCTTTTGGTTTGGTTCGTATCGGTTCAACCGGATTGCGCAATGTTGTTAAATTTTTTAACCCACATGCCAAGAGAATTTGAAGTTCTTATTTAAGAAGCCCAAAACAAGTAGAGCCCATATATATATCCTAACAAAGCCGTGACGCGTGATTAGGGTTTTGGTTTTCGTCAGGAGATTTCAAGGTTTAGGGTGTCTGCAATTTAACCATGGCGGAGCAGGTTTCGATCCACATACATTGTCTTTAGTACTATATATGTTACAATTGGGGATTGCTAATTATCCTTTGTTAGATTCTCGTTTTCTGATTCCTCTGAGTTCGGGTTTTAATGTTGGATTGGTGTGTTTGCAGACGGAGAAGGCGTTTCTTAAGCAACCAAAAGTTTTCTTAAGGTAAATGTCACATCTCACAAATTCAATTGCTTTGTATTTTTGGTATTATTGTCTCTTATGCGTATGATTCAAATGTTTTTATCAGCTCAAAGAAATCTGGTAAGGGAAAGAGGCCTGGTAAAGGTGGTAATCGTTTCTGGAAGAACATTGGCCTTGGTTTCAAAACTCCTAGAGAGGCTATTGAAGGTACTATTTTTATGTCTCACCTGTGAATTTTGCTATAACCATGTCTAGAAGAAGCTTCATTTTTTTAAAAGTTGGATTCTTTAGAGAACTAGTCCCATTGATCTAAGACTTGGGTTAGTAGATTAGTGAAATTTTCCCAATTTTAGGGGCTAAATTGTTTGACATATCTATGTGTTACATGATTTTATTTGCAGGAGCATACATTGACAAGAAATGTCCCTTTACTGGTACGGTTTCAATCAGGGGTCGCATCTTGTCAGGCACTTGTCACAGTGCAAAGATGCAGAGGACGATCATTGTTCGTAGAGATTACCTTCACTTTGTGAAGAAGTATCAAAGGTAAAAGAATCCGTCTTGTTATTGTTTTCGAATTCCCTCAGCTTATTTGAAACCCTCCAGCTAATGCTTAATCTTACCATTGTGGACTGTTCCCAGATATGAGAAAAGACACTCAAACATTCCTGCTCATGTTTCCCCGTGCTTCCGTGTCAAAGAAGGAGATCATGTTACCATTGGGCAATGCAGGTTAGGGGCAGTAATATCTATTCTTGGTTTCGCTAATGCCTGAACTTTGATTCCATCCTTATTTATCACGCAAGTTTCTAAACTTGTCAAGTTAATGATTCAGGCCACTGTCAAAGACGGTGAGGTTCAATGTCTTGAAGGTCATTCCGGCTGGAAGCTCTTCTATTGGGAAGAAAGCATTCACTGGAATGTAAAGGATTTGTTGGAAAAAGGTGCGAGCTATTCTTAGAGCTTAGAATTTTGCTACTAGAGTTATGACTTGCTTTATTAGATTTGTTTCCTATGATCTTTGATCAAAGGAAACCGGATTTTCTCTGTTTCATTTTGTTTTAGTTGCAAGAGTGTGTCTCAAAAGCCTCATCTCTTTCTATATTAGGACAATTCATGTATTAAAGAAAGTGATTCAAGTATCAAGATAAGTCTATTAGTGGTGATAAATTATCTTGGCAATGTTTGGAGTAGAGTTGGATTCGATGAAAAGTGGGATTAGGCTTTTGCTATCTTGATATTTATCTTTTTCTAATCCATATTTCTTGCTCTAATGCTCCATTATATTAATTTCTGAAAATGATATTTAAGAGGAAACAAAACAAAAATTGCATAACTCGAGGGAATGCTATGAACGTGGACCCTCATTTGACGCCATACTTTTATGTAAAAGCTCCGATCATGTTGGACCCCTCAAGCTTTATCGAGTCATCTTCACAATCAGAGAGAGGTGCTTAAATCAAGGCAAAAAATTAGTCAAATTAAAACGACACGAAAGGTTCTTCATGTATACTAATAAAAAATATATGACCCCGTATTTCACATGGTATAGTTTTAATACATTACTTTTCTTGTAAACTAAATAATAATATCCGTTGAGAAAATGTGATGTTGCTTGCTTGGTAACAACAGCTCAATTCTCGAAAACACGTGAAACCTGGCACTTGCTTCTGTTTCACATCTACCACTCACACGCAACCATCTCCTAACGCAGGGCAGCGTTTATACGCGTTTGCGTTACCAACGACAGCGACTGACAAACAAACACACACTCCAATAACAAAGTTTTAGATAAGGTGTTCGTAATCATTGAAACCTGTGTTTGGATTTTGTTCAATTGCATCAAACAGAAATCTAACCAAACACGATCTTAAGTTTTGTCACGGTTCGACCAACCGCATTGAGAAGAGGCAGGTTGTTGTTAGTTGAGGACCACGCACGATGAGTGAAATAAAAAGAAAGTCCGAATCTTTTGGGTTCGTTGATTAGTTTGTGACGTCAACACGCACATGCTCATTCTAATCTTTAAATGCTTTAAGGAAGGATCTTCTTCATTGTACTGTGAAGTTAGTTTCTGGGGTCAACATAGCAACAACAATGGCAAAAACCAGAGGGTCTTGTTGTCTCGTCAACGCTCTCATCGCTATTGCTTTTTTGGCGACAGCCCATTTGTGTGAAGCTGGCTTGTCTCAGAAAGAACAGGACAAGGTCTCGAAATTGCCTGGTCAGAATTTCAATGTTAGCTTTGCTCACTACTCTGGGTTTGTTACTACTAATGAGAAATTGGGAAGAGCTCTCTTTTACTGGCTCTTTGAAGCCGTCGAAGATGCTAAGTCTAAGCCTCTTGTTCTCTGGCTCAATGGAGGTTTGTTAGACAAAATTTCAATCCCTAAGATTTCTCCATTTTGTAATTTCATTCGAAAGTCCTCTCATTTTCAGCTTAATTAATAGTGCCTCAATGGATTTAACTCATATACTCTGTTTCGATCACTCTGAGCTACTGTCATATGATATGGATCTTGAATTTTACTCCTGAGGATTGTCTGGTAGATTTCTTTAGTTTGGATTTGATTACTTATTGCTTGTTTCTGATTTTGTTGTTGCTTTTAGCATAAACGTGATTTTTTTTTGCGTGATTCCTAAAATGGAATCTTTTCTAGGATTGATCCAATTCTTTTCTTATTATGTAGAGTATGAATGGATCTCCATAGTAATGTGGTATGGATTAGTCTGCGTTAAGATGGAGTTTTTTTTCTCTCTCTATAGGACCAGGATGTTCATCTGTTGCATTTGGTGAAGCAGAAGAGATAGGGCCATTCCACATTAAGGCAGATGGGAAGACTCTTTACCTTAATCAATATTCTTGGAACCAAGGTAGTGAAATAATATGTGCTGTGTGTATGTTGGCGAGAGAGCTATGATTCAAAAAAGCTTAAAACTTTTGTGCAACCTTTTTGTTTGCAGCTGCAAATATTTTGTTCCTTGATGCACCTGTTGGAGTTGGGTATTCTTACTCAAACACCTCTTCTGATTTGAAGACCAATGGTGATAAAAGAACTGGTAATGATTTAGCTGTTTATGTTCGTAAACTTTTAGATCCCCATGTTGGTGGGTGGATTTAAAGTTGCAGTGTTATAAACTTCACAGCCGAAGACTCACTGAAATTTCTGCTGAAATGGGTTGAGCGGTTTCCGGAGTACAAAGGAAGGGACTTTTATATAGTAGGGGAGAGCTATGCAGGTAAATTGAAAGCTCCTCTCATTTTTTAGTCATTTCATTTGGTCCTTAATTCCTCATGTGTTTCTTCTGGTTTGTTTTAGGACATTACATTCCTCAGCTGAGTGAAGCCATTGTAAAGCATAACCAAGGTTCTGAGAAAAATAGTATAAATCTGAAGGGTTACATGGTGAGCCTGTCCTCTTATCGATCCCTGTATGATTCATTTTCTAAAAGGTTATAAAACTCTTAAAACAATTTTGGTGAATGTGTGGATGCAGGTAGGAAATGGGCTGATGGACGATTTCCATGACCGGCTTGGTCTTTTCCAATATATTTGGTCGTTGGGTTTTATCTCTGACCAAACATACAGCTTACTGAAACTTCAATGTGGTTTTGAATCGTTTATTCACTCCTCCAAACCGTGTAATAAGATTTTGGAGATAGCGGACAAAGAAATCGGTAACATAGACCAATACAGTGTCTTCACCCCAGCCTGTGTTGCGAATGCTTCCCAGTCAAATATGTTGCTAAAGAAAAGACCAGTAAGTGGCCTTAAACATTCTTTTTTCAATGTTACACTCTTTAGTGTGCTTAAATTCTCTGTTTGCTTTGCTTAGATGACTAGCCGCGTGAGCGAACAGTATGATCCTTGTACGGAGAAACACACTACAGTTTATTTCAATCTTCCAGAGGTTCAGAAAGCCCTCCACGTCCCAGCAGGACTTGCACCATCCAAATGGGATACTTGCAGGTAAAATTACTTTAGAACTTGATATATGGAGGAAATGAGACTATGAAAGCTTAAACTGTTGTAACAATTCTGACCCGGACAGCTTTGGTTTTGCAGTGATGTCGTGAATGAACACTGGAATGACTCTCCTTCCTCGGTTTTAAACATTTACCACGAGCTTATAGCTGCTGGGCTTCGTATCTGGGTTTTCAGGTCTCTTTTGCTATATATTATCTTTTCTTCAAGTTTTTTTGGTGAATTAAAAAGTTTTGTTCTTTGGTAACAGTGGGGACGCAGATGCTGTTGTACCAGTCACATCAACCCGGTACAGTATAGATGCACTAAACCTTCGTCCTTTGAGTGCCTATGGTCCTTGGTACTTAGATGGACAGGTAAAAACAAACTCAACTGAGAAAATGAGAATCCTTTTCTTATGTTAAAAGAAAACCTTTTAAACGGTCATGATTTGAAACAGGTGGGAGGCTGGAGTCAGCAGTATGCTGGCCTGAACTTTGTGACGGTGAGAGGTGCAGGCCATGAAGTTCCTTTGCACAGACCGAAGCAAGCTCTTGCGCTATTCAAGGCTTTTATATCTGGAACTCCATTGTCCACACCTGAGAACAACATCAGCCGCGACATGTCTGAACTCGTTAGTGACTCATAATGAGTTCTGATTTGATGTAATGTGTAATTTGGATTCTCAATCAAAAACTTTCCACAGAGGCCATTGAAAGAAGAAGAGGGAAAGAGAATAAATTAGTGTTTTAAGTGAATCGTTCGTTGCTTCTTCTTATTCTTCTGGTTGTTTGTTTGTTTGGTGAAACATTTGATGTTTGGGATCTAATAAAATAAGTTTCTACCATACAATCCTTGAATAACAACAACATAATGTGATCACTGATCAATGTGTAGGACAAGGATTAATCTGATAACGAATATAATATTTGTGTGAAAATATAATTTAGACTTAGTATGGGGTCTAAACGAAATTATATAGAATCGTTGGGCTTAACTTGGCCCACGAGACCTAAGCCCATATTTAAAAGAATTAGGGGTTTCTTCTTCCTTTGTCTGTTCAAATTGAAGAAACCAGTTTTATTCTGGAAGTGAATTGTCTGAACTTCATTATGTTTGCTATTTCTGAATTGGTCGGAATCTGCAGTTTCTGAGGTAAAGGTTTCGTTTTTAACTTTGATTTTCTTGCTGACGATGAGATCTACGACGATTTGATTGAGGATTCGGACGTTTGGGTCTTTCAGGTTTGGCTCTTAAGTTGAGATTTCTCAGTGTCTTCTATCTCGTCCCTCTTCACCTTCTTATTTCTTCCCGTGAGTTGCAGTTTTCTTCTCTCCGGTCTGTAGCATTCTATTGAATAGTTGAATTATAGAACGCCTATGTATAGCTCTGATCGATAGGATTTCACTTTCCTTAGATTGTGTTGTAGGCGTAGTTGCAAATTTCTGTTCTGGCTTGCTTAACATTGTGCTTCTGTGTCGATTATGTTCGGAACTGTTCTCTGAGCACCGAATTCATATCCTACACATCAATTTAGATATACATTTTAGGCTAAACAAAATAACATTTTCTGCTTTATGCTTGCTTCTTAGTTCCTCAGATATTCTTGAAAAATCCGCAGATTGCGTGATGGAAATGGTATTTTGAAACTTTCGGTTCTGTTTAGATTTGTGGAACTCATGTCGAAAACCTTGTAGGTAGAGGACAGGACAAGAAGCCCAGGCAGCAGCAGCCATGGTGATGGTGTCTAATTCTAGTCATCACAATAAGGAAATACATGTCAGAAGGAGAATCTCTGAGATGTATTCTTCGTTCCGGTCTTTTTCTCTCGTTGCATATCATGCTTGCCTGTGCAACTGGTGTGATATTAGTCATCCCCTTGATGAATCTACTGCGTATTGATCAGTATAGACTGTTAGCATGTGTAGTGCAAAAATTTCACATTCTTTAGAAACTTAAGGTAATACAGAAAATATTTTGTACACTGCATACACTTGATGAAGCAATTCCACCAATCTATGGCAGGAGTGACAGGCTCTATTGTTTCCTAGTATATCTTAGCATAAAAATGGAGATCTTTAGTCACATTTTTGAACAGTTGAGAATTAGAATTAGGTATCAGTTTTGTCATTCTGTAGAAGCAGAGTATGTACAGCCTCTTGAGTATCATGTTTTTTTCTTTCTGGTGATGCAGATACAATAGACGGGAAGAGGATTTTCCATCACTTAAAGACTACAATGACTACTTGGAAGAAGTGGAGTGCATGGGTTAGTTTCACTTGTGCTCCTTATTTTCTTTATTCATGCGAGTCAAGACCAATGTATATATTATCTTCTATTCCACCAGTATTCGACTTGATAGATGGAATCAATGTTGAGGCGATTGAGGAGAAGATTAAGAGATATTCTCAGGAGAATGCTGAACAGATCATGATTAATCGAGCTCGCAAGGTAGTGCCTACGATAACCTTACTTTTTCTTATCTTGGTTAGATGAATGAGTAGAGGAAAAGTAAAGAAGATTAAAAGCATGTTTGATTAGATTTCACTGTGTCATTTTGATTTCCGAATTTAATGCGTTTTGACATTATGAACTTATCAGACCTCAAGAAAAGCTGTAGAAATAGAAATAGTCTTTGTTTCATTCTCTATTCTACAACTACAGCCTAACTCTGCAATTTGCTCCAACAGGCTGAAGAATTGACTGCAGCATTGGCAGCTTGCAAGGCCCAACCCCCACAGACAGATGCTGACACGGTAAATTGGGTTTTGATTTTCATATCAGCAAGAAGATGGAGACTCCTGACAAATCTTTTTGCTTGTTTATGCATTGTAGTCGTCAAACCATGGTGTTACTGCTGGAACTGCATACGGTCAGGCTCCACGACCAACGGGAATGGGCCCACAACCGGTACCTATAGTAGGAGGAGCAGAGCGTCGACAATACTCTATGGAAGAAGAAGCGAAGAAGAGGCTCCTCAAAGCAGAGAGAGCTCCATGGGCTGGAGGATTTTCCATAGAGATAAGTAAGAGGAGGGCTTTGGAAGAAGCATTTGCCAGCATTTGGGTTTGATTCCTCTTGAGAGATATTAGTTTTATCCTTTTAAAACAGTGACGAGGAGGTCTTAATTGGTTGTTTGGCTTCGAGTATGGAAGTAATTAGAGTTTCCATTGTTGTCTCAAGTTCTTTGTCTGTTACTCTTATTTATGGTCTCTGTTTGTATAGTTGACAAGACTCAATCACACAGATTTCTCCAACACCATTTCTTCTTGAGACTATACTCTATAAAAGTGGTATTTTTTTTTAGCTGGTCCGACCAAAAGCTGGTTCAACAATGAATATGATTCGATTTCCGGTTTACTAAGAATAGTCGAGCAATCCCAGAAAGAAAGAAGCTATCTTGCTGCAGCAAGAAGCTCTTCTTCTATCCTCTCATTATCCCTCTCATCTTCCACTTAATCGTCAAGTTTGAATCTTCACCAGTTGATTTTGAATTCATTTGTTGTATACAGATGTGCTGGTAGCGACTGCTGATGGGTTCCTTAAGATTGTCCATTCCATTGGACCCATTCGACTCAAAAAGGTTTCACTTTTCTGCGAACCCATTTCAGTTTCCTGATCAAGTTCCAATTTTTTCAGTTAGCACTAGTGTTCCCGCCACTAGAATCGGTTCTCTGATTAGGGTCAAGAAAATTCGAGTATCTCGTCTCGATATTGAAGCAAAGGAGGCCGAGAATGCTATTGATTCTGATTCCGTTAATGTGGAGAGAAGCTCGAATTCTAAACTGAAAGGTAGTAATACGGTCACGAGTGGTAATCAGAGAGGGACAAAGAAAGATGTGGCTCGAAAGTTCAGTTTCCGAAGAGAAAGCAATGATCTTGAGCTTGAGAATTTGTTTGTGAACAATGGGGAAATGGATGTTAATTACTCTGCTATTAAACCTGGTTTGAGTTTAGAGCATTACAATGCTATATTGAAACGGCTTGAGAGTTGCAGTGATACTAATGCCATCAAGTTCTTTGATTGGATGAGATGTAAAGGAAAACTGGAAGGTAACTTTGTTGCTTACAGTTTGATTCTTAGAGTTTTAGGAAGGAGGGAAGAATGGAACCGAGCCGAGGATCTGATCCAAGAGTTGTGTGGATTTCAGGGCTTTCAGCGGAGTTTTCAGGTCTTCAACACAGTTATATACGCCTGTACCAAAAAGGGGAATGTGAAATTAGGTTCAAAGTGGTTTCAGATGATGTTGGAGCTCGGTGTTCGACCAAATGTGGCTACAATAGGTATGCTCATGGGTCTTTACCAAAAGAACTGGAATGTTGATGAAGCCGAATTCGCATTTTGTCATATGAGAAAATTTGGGATTGTGTGTGAATCTGCTTACTCTGCGATGATAACGATTTACACACGTTTGAGATTATATGATAAAGCAGAGGAAGTTATACACTTGATGAAACAAGATAGAGTGAGGCTGAAGTTAGAGAATTGGTTAGTGATGCTTAATGCTTATAGTCAGCAAGGCAAAATGGAGCAAGCTGAATCTGTTTTGATCTCTATGGAAGCCGCGGGTTTTGCTCCGAATATTATTGCATACAATACTCTGATAACTGGTTATGGTAAGGTTTCTAAAATGGAGGCTGCACAGAGTTTATTCCACCGCCTCTATGATATTGGGCTGGAACCAGATGAAACAAGTTACAGGTCAATGATTGAAGGTTGGGGCCACGCTGACAATTACGAGGAGGCAAATCATTACTATCAAGAGCTGAAGCGGTTTGGATATAAACCCAATTCATCCAATCTTTCTACTTTAATAAATTTGCAGGCTAAATATGGAGACAGAGATGGTGCTATTAAGACAATCGAAGATATGACTAGTATCGGATGCCAATACTCCTCGATCCTTGGCATCATTCTGAAGGTTTATGAGAAGGTGGGGAAGATCGATGTGGTGCCTTATGTTCTCAAAGGCTCTTTTCATAATCATATCCGTTTAGACCAGACTTCTTTCTCGATTCTAGTGATGGCATATATCAAACATGGTATGGTTGATGATTGCTTGGCGTTGTTGCGAGAAAAAAAGTGGAGAGACTCAGCATTTGAGTCCCACTTGTATCATCTGTTGATTTGCTCTTGCAAAGAATCTGGCCAGCTTACTGATGCTGTGACAATATACAACCATACAATGGAATCAGATGAAGAGATAAATCTGCACATTACGTCCACAATGATTGACATTTATACTGTGATGGGTGAATTTGGTGAAGCAGAGAAGCTTTATTTAAATTTGAAATCTTCTGGAGTTGTGCTGGACAGGATCGGATTCAGCATCGTGGTGCGGATGTACGTGAAAGCCAGATCCTTGGAAGAAGCCTGTTCTGTCTTAGAAATCATGGATGAGCAGAAAGACATTGTTCCGGATGTGTACTTGTTTCGCGATATGCTTCGGATATATCAGAAGTGTGACCTTCAGGATAAACTCCAGCATTTGTACTACAGGATTCGAAAGAGCGGGATCCATTGGGATCAGGAGATGTACAATTGTGTTATAAACTGTTGTGCGCGTGCTCTTCCGCTTGATGAACTCTCAAGAACTTTTGAGGAAATGATTCGATATGGATTCACTCCTAATACAGTCACATTCAATGTCCTCCTTGATGTTTATGGTAAAGCCAAGCTCTTCAAAAAGGTTAACGAGCTTTTCTTGTTGGCGAAAAGACACGGAGTTGTGGATGTAATATCCTACAACACCATTATAGCTGCCTATGGAAAGAACAAGGACTTTACAAACATGTCATCAGCGATTAAGAATATGCAATTTGACGGGTTTTCTGTGTCACTTGAAGCTTATAATACTTTGCTGGATGCATATGGGAAAGATAAACAGATGGAGAAATTCAGAAGCATCTTGAAGAGAATGAAGAAGTCTACAAGTGGACCGGATCATTATACATACAACATCATGATCAATATTTATGGAGAGCAAGGATGGATCGATGAAGTCGCTGGTGTTCTGAAAGAATTGAAAGAATCGGGACTTGGTCCTGACTTGTGTAGCTATAACACGCTGATAAAGGCGTATGGTATAGGTGGAATGGTTGAAGAAGCTGTTGGGTTGGTGAAGGAGATGAGGGGAAAGAACATAACACCTGATAAAGTAACTTACACCAATCTGGTCACAGCTTTGCGCAGGAATGATGAATTTCTTGAGGCTATTAAATGGTCTTTGTGGATGAAACAAATGGGTATATAGAATAGCTTGATTTTATTTTCTGTGTTTTTTTTTTGTCTATAATGGCTGCTTCTTTTGATAAGAATCCAAATGAGGCATGCGTGAATATTTTGAACAGTGACAAAAATGTTAATGTATAAGTCTCAATGCAAGATTCTTCTAGTCTCTTTCTATCTTTCAGAAAGTAAAGTTCCTTGCTCTTTTTTGTTCTTCAAAGAAAGGTTATGTCCAGGCTTACGGTGGTTATAGATATATTTACCTTGTTTAAAGAGAGCCATCAATGTTTTGGTTAGAACCAGCGCAATCATGTAATGTGTTCTTAGGTTTCTTCTATTAGGAATAAAAGATGGACTGTAGTTCATCCCCAACGGAAGAATAGATTACTTGCATTCCAAATCAACCTTTAGTTCTCGTCTTTATAACTTGTTGACCAAGAAAACAGTCTGATCAAAATCAACTGTGAGTCTTTTGTATTTCTCTTCAATAGATATACACACACAAACAAGTAATCCACAAGATGATGTTTTTGCTAATTGTCACTCATAAGACATCTACAATTGTGAGGCTTTATACAAAGATTTACACATTTCTACTTTAGGCAAACAAAAACAGTACACAATGATGATATACACTCAAAATAAACACCAAAATTTGCTTGTACCTTTTTTTTTTCTTTGTCTCATAGCCAGAAGTAAAGCATTGCCTGTTTCAATAACATGCCAAATGTTTATTAGTTGTAATGATACAGTGACTAAATTTTACCAGTCAAAAATCCGAATGCATATACCTCTTGAACAGAAATAATGGTTGGGTCGACCCAAGGTTGTAAATTCTCCATTGTATTCAAGCTCTTCTTTACTTCAGATGATTGCACAAAACTTTGCTCCTCCTTCACTTCCTTCAGTAGACTTATTATCTCTTCTTGCTTAATCGCTCCACTAGTTTCAGGCTCTGTGTTAGTTTTTCCTCGCTCAAGCCGCTCTACTCTCTGTCTCAACCGCTGCAATTCAGCTTGATACTCTGCACGGTTTCTCTTACCGCTTCTGTCTCTTGTCTGTTTAGATGATTTCTTCTCCATCTTTGTCTGCTTTGACACCTTTATCATCATTGTGTCATCAGTTTTATACAAATCCTTTGCTTCCTTTTTTCTTTCTTTTGTATCTTCTTGAAAGTTTGATGAGCTTGCAAAATCTTCTTCTCCCTTGTTTAAATCAGATTCAGACACTAAATTCATGTGCTGATCTCGCATCGAATCTCTAAAACCTGTAAGCTCTTTCACTTGCTCATTCAGTTTCTTGATCTGCTCCCAATACACATCTAATGAACTCTTCTGTGATTCCAAGCTCTGCTCAATAACTTCCTTCTCCTCGGGAATCGAAAAATCTGTAACCAATTCAGAAGAGGGTGTTTGAGATCTATCACTCAATGACAAATCATTCATCTTCATAATATTCTCATCATCATGATCATCATTCTCTTGAAGCTTAACATCTAAGCTATTCAAATCACTAAACCCCAAGCTCAAAAGCTGGCTTCTATAAACTTCCACTTGATAAGCAAGAGCAGTGACTTCAATCTCTTTCTGGTAAATCACATCCTCCAATAGCGCAAACGACATTTCAGCGTGAGACATTTGCTCTTCAACCATTCTCTTGTACTGACCAGCTTCCATTGCTAGCTCAGCTTTCTCTCCTTGCAGCCTAAGAATCATGGACATGGCCTCGTTCGCTGACGTTTCAGATGCTTCTCTCTCTGCATTCAACTCATCTTGGAGCCTCTCAATTACTTCTTTGCGCTCATAAAGAGCGATTCTTAGATCAATTGTCTCAGCTCCGGGTAGTTTGAAGCTGCGGCTTCGTTCAACCATGTCTCTGCAAACACAAATGGAAGATAGATTTATAGATACATAATGATCTGTAGTTGTTACTTCATACAAAACAAGAAACAAATCAAAAGATGAAGCTGAATCTTGATAAGCAAAGAAAGAATATCATTGTACCAGGAGAGTTGCAGAAGAGGAATTGATTGATTGCAGATTTTGGTATGAGAACTAATTTAATCTCTTGGACAGAGGAAATGCTTCAGATAGAAGAGATGATAAACATTTTCTGATGAATTAACAAAAAAAAAAATTAGATAATCAAAGAGGAAATTATCCAAAAGGGGAATATAATCAAATCACAAAAGGCACGCCGGACCAAAACCATTATGATTATGTGCCAAAATCAAAGTAGACAAAAACTACAAAATATCTCAGATCATAAACAGGACAAAGTTGTTCAACTTTTCTCAGCATAAAAAAGAATCAATTTGAGAGTTGGAATGAGAAATTCTCATGAACAAAACTCCTACAGGAAAACAAAAATGAAAAAGAAAGGGTCTTTTATCAAAAACAGTAAAAAATCAAGTAAAATAATGATGATATTCTGGAATATCTTAAGAAAAGAGCTGGAACATATTTGGTGACTTAATCTTTGAATGATTAAAGCTTAGTGAGACCTTTAATTTTTGTTGCGTGGGACATGTCTTACTTCTCTTTGTTTTGTGGTTTGAAAAGTTCTTGCTGCCAAATTCTAACCTCTTAAAGAAAACAAAAAGAAAACAAAAAGAGAGAGATTCAGGATTTTCAACGGCTCATTACAGGGCCAAGTATTAGCTCCGGTGGGTCCTACTGTGGCCGACTTCTTTTCTGCCACGTGTCATAGTCGGGTTTGAGGTCTAACTTGGTGTCGGTATATACACTACAGCGACAGAGATTCAGAAGTACAATTGAAGCGAGAATAGCAAATCTTCAAGATCACACTAACTTTCAGATGAATACAAAACTCTGTTTCAGCAGATCGTTATTACGATCTAGTGTTATAATGAAACTTATAAACACATTCAACTTTTGATGCCATCATCCTCTTTCTTAAACTTGTCTCTCATCATCTATCACCACCTTCCTCATTTTCTTCGTTGTAGCCCACATAATAAACCCGAAAGCATATCATGCACGGTATACACTTATACTTTACTAAGGCCTCGAGAAAACTGCAATCGATTCCCACTCTAAGCTACAGATCACATCCTGCAGAATACAATGTACCAGCTTGAGAAAACACACTTGATCGAAGTAAACTAGAAGGTTGCAAGAGAGAGTTAGATAATGTTTTCACCTGTGGATTTTGTCTGTCGATGTCAAAACTGTTAATGGCACAAGGTTCAGCTAGAAGCTCGATCGGTTCTTCCCCTGAGCAAAAATAGTCAGGACAGAAAAAATAGAGGAACTATCAGTTTGGTAAAGCATACAAGAAAGAAGAAATAAGGTGGTAAAACGGCCTAAGTACCTTGTTCGATGACACCAAGGATTCCATCTTCAGAGCAGGTCATAACAGGGAGAATTCTTGATGAAGAGATGTTGGATTTTGTGTACGAGTCATATTGAACCTCCCACACTTCACTTTCAGACAGAGGATTGTTTATATTCTCACTTGCTCCAACACCAGAAAGAACGATGGGCTGCTGCGGCCATCGAAGATCCCAAGCAAATACAGTACCTGAAGAACCTCCGGCCTAAACACACAACAGCATCAAGATAAAGTTATCCAATAATGCTTATAACTTGTGGGGATACTAACAGCTACACTGAACTTTTGTTTGTGATGTGAGCAATAAGTAAATGTTCGTGAAAATAGTGAAGGACTAATTTTAAGGTATCAAGAAGATATCTGCCTGGCACAAAGTGTGGCTTCTTATTCTAACACCAAAACAAAATGATTCACTTTCATCTCAGAAGAAAGACATGTAAAATTGTTTTCCCGACATTAGTAATATGGGCAATATGAATACCCAAAATTTGGCAAAGATTGAGGTTCACGCTAGAAATTCTCATATTTATCAATTTATGGTGAAAGAGGTTGGTCAACTTCAAACATATAAGAGCTTAAATCAGACTTCTAACGCATGCCAGAAAAAGAATACTCACAATGCAAGTGTGCTTCCGAGATGGATGAATGTCAATGGAGTGGACGATTGCAGAAGTTTTTCCTTGAAACCTGCAATTTTACCATCAAATGAAACACAGGAAATGCATACTTTTAAAAAACCATTAAATCAAAGGATTCGTATTTCCCGCTCTTAGTTTTGCTTGCTAAGCAGTAAGCAACTCACTCACAAAATCAAATGATAAGAGTGTGTTTCAAAGTTATAAACTCAAACAAACAAACTTTCAAATTCCACATCATTGAAGAGCAAACATGCCAAGAATTCAAAACTAAATTGACGAAGCATTTATTCAACCACTAAACAAACCAGAGCTCAGAACTCACCAATTCCCTTTGAGCTGTGAGACAGCTTCACCAGACTTCCTCTGATCCCACAATTGCAAACCAAAACCATATCCTCCAGTAACAAACTCAGTCGGAGACGCCCATTTCACAGCTCTATAAGCCACCAATCCATTCCCATCAAAGACCTTTCTATATCTTAAACCTTCACCATTCACAATCTTCACTACAGTCACTCTCCCATCTTCACCAACAGTCACACATTCTCCTCCCTCTCTCCAATCCACACCTTCCACGCGTCCGACATGAAACCTCTCCCCTTCCGCCACGTAAACCTCTTCAATCGCAGCTCCTTCCACCAAATCAACCATCAGCACGTGAAGAGAACCAGAAGACGTGGCTGCTGACACCATAGGTTTGAATGAACCGCCTCCACCGCCATTTCCGGCGACTTCCAGTGAAGAAACGCGAGAAGGTGAAGTCCATGAAGATAAAGACTCGATTAACGGGTTTGGGTTCTGATTCCCTCTAGGGTTTGGGTCGAGCGATTGGATCTCGATTGATGAAGAATCACAATCCGGGTCATAGAACGATGTTGCGAAGAAACGATTCAAAGCAGAAGCTTGTGGAAGCCATCTAACTCCATCGACATACTTCGATTGTGGAATCCTATGGACCTGGAACGAATCCTGCATCATCTCCATAGCTCCAGAGGTTTTCTAGGGTTTTAGCGGAGCTAAACGAGAACAATGGTGGGAAAATTAGAAGCTTCAGAAATGTAAGGTAAATTACCTAAGTACCCTCAATCTTTAGCTGTTATCACAAAAACAACATTGCCCTTATCATCATGAGTCTGATGATCTTATTCCGGGAAAAGTGAAAATGCTGACCTTACAACAGAGTAGCTTCATCTCATTCTGTCCTAACGACAACAAACTCCGAGGTTTTGCTAATGGCTTCACGGTAATGTCGAAAAGGAGAGACTTTTCAGAGAAATCAAACGAAGAACGACCCGTCTTGCGAATCAAAGTCCCCAACACTATCCTCGCTCGATCTGCGATCGCTGTTCTGGGTTTGGGATTCATCGATGCTGGGTAAGATTTTTTAACACTCAAAGCACGAAAATTGCAGAGTATATATAATGCTTATCATAGTTTTTCTTTAAATCTCTTCAGGTATAGTGGTGATTGGTCAAGAATAAGTGTGATCTCCAAAGAAACAGAGGAATTGTTGAAGATTGCTGCTTTTCTTGTTGTTCCTCTCTGTATCTTTCTTGCTCTTTCATTTTCCGATGAATCAACTGATTAGAGGTTCCTTCGTTCCTTCTATACACTCGATATATAGATCTTTGTATCATGAATTTGCTTATGTAATCTAGGAGCTTGAACAATACTTGCAAGAGAAAGTGAGTTTTTGTTTACTTTTGAGTAACTTGGATAGTACATTGCGTCTTCTATGGGGACACACATACATTGATTGATACATTGAATGAAGTATCATTAAATGTTTTACAATGTTTTTTCGAGTTAAAAGGCACAAGAAGGAGAAGCCCGTCGAAAATCCATGATAAGAAGACTGGCAACACTATGAGCAAGAGCTCCTAAGACTACAAACACATGGAATATCTGATGGCTATGTCCTGCAATATCGAAAGCCCCAGGCTTCCATCTTTCAGGTATGCGGGTAACATAAAACGCTGCTCCTGTTGCATACAACACAGCCATCGCAAGTTCATATACGAGAGCGATAAGCACGTTTGGGTGATCTTTATGAAGGTAAAGCACATGTGAGGCCGGTATTACGCCAGAGAATCCCATTGTTAGGAAAAGAGCTGCTCTGAAAGATCTGAAACGTGGAGCTGAAAGTGATGGAGAGAGGAGAGTGAAGATGGCGAGGACACCGAGGATTGAGATCGAGGAGAGGTAGAAGAGTCGCCAGTAAGTGTGGCATGAGAATGCATAGTAGATAGGTGCGAAGAATGAACAGACAATCATGAGGGAGATTCCGGCATAGTCTAGACGCCAGAAAAAGAGGTTGAATCGTCTGGAGTGGCAGGCGAAGAGGTGAGACATGGAACTGCAGATCAAACATCCCATTGCTCCGGATAAGAACACGAGCCATGGCCATTTAGGAACGGCTTCGTAGTTAACATCTCCTTGAGAATTCAGGAGTGAGCGAGTGTGTGTCACATTCAAATCCTGCAAGTAGACACCACCAAATACAAATAATAAGTTTAATTTGACAAAAGACCAGCTTTTTTTTTCTTAAACCCGTTGAAAAAATCATGTTAGTTGGAAAGTTAGGTGAGCACAAAGAAAATCTACAGAAAACTAAAGTGAGAGAAACATCAAATAGTTGCGGCAGGTTATAAGAACGTTGCAAGATTTATGCCAAAAAAAAAAACAAATCCAGGCATAAACTTCTTCCTTAATTTCCGTAGAAAATCACGTGATTTCAAAGTAGGTGGGGCATAAAAGGAAGTCTACAGAAACTGAAGTATCCATTAACCAAAGTTAAAAACAGAAAGATAGAAAAAATCCAAAGAAAACAACATCACATGGTGGGTGAAAGTTACCATTTAGCACTACTACAAATTGCAATCAGCATTTTATATGAGCACACAACAAAAATGACATTTGTTATTGGAAAGCACTTATGTTGCATGTCTACTACTTTTAAATTAGAATAGACAATGTCACAGAATATAAAAGGAAGAATCTTTACGTGATGCAGAGTTTGATCGCTGGAGAAGTAAACATCTTTTGCGATTGCCATTGACGGCCATGGCCAGCGAATTGTTGCTCTGTCATTAGGACCCACACAAAGCCCACAAAGATTGGGAATTGTTTAATTTTCTTTCTCAAAAAAACAAACAAAAACGAAATGACGACTTTGACCTCGAGATTTCTTACCCGGAGAGAAGGCTAACGAAGCCGGCGAGGCCAAGCTCTGTCGTCTCCATGGAACTCACAACCATCATCCAAGCAAATATCACAAACCCACACAAATGCCTGCCAATTTTCAAAACCCCGAGGATAAATTTTCAAAATTCAAATCCCAAATTTCAAAAAAGAACCAATAGAATTCACAAAAAAAAACGCAAACATACGTCCAGATGTTGAGAGTCTCATTGTGCCATGAGAAAGCGCTGAGGAAAGTTTCTTTGATTGACCACTCACATCGATAATGATTGTGTATGAACTCGTTATCTTTCAAATACCTAGGTAACTCCTCAAACTTCATCAATCTCTTCTCAGATCTCTTCTTTTCGCCGGAATCCAAACCTTTACCATTTCTCACCGTTATCTTCGGAGATTCCTTCACCGTTCTCCGTTTCTGCATGATTCCCCTCCCTCTCGCACAGCTCGTCGGGGAAAAGGAGGAGAAATCGAGCTACGAAATTGAACTCCGGCGAATCAACCACCACCGTCGATTTCTCTCTTTTTATCAATATTTCAGAATCTGATTTGGTTTTTCCGATCTTCGTGGTATGCTTCGTCGCCTACTTATACGGAGAAGAAACCTCTTTGAATTTTAAAAACGAGCAAGCTTCGTGATTTTTATCTACGTGGCGTCTTTGACCGGTCTTTTTGACACGTGTTGTTGTTTCATTAGTTTATTGGTTTCAGCTTAGTGTGAGGGAAGATACAGGTGATTATTTTTACCCGCCGTGTCAATTTGAAACAAATATTAAAGTTACGGTTGGAAGGTGAGAAATGCAGAATTTGTGGTCTCTTTAAAGTTTAAAGTTTAAAGTTTAAACTATAGTCTATAATTATTAAAATCGAAAACTTTGTTTTTACCCCTCAAGGTTTTTTTTGGGCCTGACCTCATACGTTTCTCGAAACCAGACATGTGATTTAATCACATACTTAAATTACTCATAGACTTGCGAGTTCACGTTCGGACCAATACTGAGATAGAAAATACACTTGGTGTTTTGTAAAGTATAAATCATTATCTTAATAAGATTATTGAGTAAATAAAACATATATTTTCGTTTCATTTATACGTTTCCTAAATGATTTGATAATATGTGGAGTGTTGATCAAAACAGATTAAACGATGGGCCACAACGAGGTAAATTGAAAGAGTAGGTAACTTTTAATTGGCTTTGTGGCATAAGATTCTTCAAGGAGAGTTGATTCATAAGACAAGGCACCACGTACATCTCTATATTCAATTGGTATGAACATGGATTATGTTATTAATTTAGTTTAAAACGCGTCAACATTTGGATATTAAAAATTAAAACTGAAATGAATGGTTCGCTTACCAAAGAAAAATATAGTTGGCCCAGAATTCGATGTTGGCATGTTAGTATGTTACTACTACATTGCTACATAGTTATCATCAAATGTTCCAGATTATTTTTAATTTCTACTTTCATAGTATCACCAAAATGAACGGTGAGGAACAATCGAATCGGACTTAACGAGGATAACAAATCAGGGAACAAAAATCGAATGGTATCAACATAAGCTCAGATCACCGTACGAAACTACGAATATAGTAATAAGTATTGTTGTTCGCCTGCTGAATCACAAATGATAACCTTAGCATCTTTTTAACAAATGGTAATCTTTTTTTTTTTTTTTTTTTTTTTTTTTTTTTTTTTTTATTGGTAATCATTTTGTAATCTAGATTTATTTGGATTTCTTGAATTGGATACATATATTTTGATTTTTGAGTTTAAAATCAAGATAACGTGGATCCGGTTTGATCCGGTCTAATTCAAATTTCATAATATAAATAGAAGAATATCTCAACATAGCTAGCCTAAAACAAACATTAAAGAAAAGAGTGTAGTATTTTCAAAAGATTTGTTGTATATCACACAATTTGTATGTATATTGTTTTTCTGTAAAGTATATACAAAGTTGTCGTGAAGTGAACATATCTTCTAGTTTGCTTAGTTGGTCCGTTTTTCATCTAAATCGATTCTTAGACGCCATAATTTCCTGCTACTAGGATTTAAGAATAAACTATACACGGATGAGTAAATTCTTTGGATTATTTAACGATTACTCATTATCTTTGTAATTAAAGTGTATAAAACAAAGGTGAGTATTGCGTGGTAAACTGTGGAAACCTAGACACAATATCATACTTTACTAGATTTTGTTGCTAAATATAGTTTAACAAAACAATTTACGCCAAGTTTTGTTTGAGTATAGTAATCAAATGAAAACTGAATTATGTATATTGTTCAAGTTCATATATTTTTTGTTTTGTCTTAAATTTTTCTGATGTTGAAACGTTATATACATGATCTTATCAAAATTTAGACAATGAAAAGTAACGAAATTAATGTTATACAAACCTGATTAATCCGTTTATCTTTCACTATATGTAGTTTATTAAACACACATAATTTGATTTAAGTTGACATAACGAAACTAAAATGACATGTAAACACATCCAAAAACGAAAACCAAATATCTTGTTTATAACTAACAAACCGAACACTGATCAATCAGATATACTTCCAAATCATGATTTGATTAATTTTAGCTATTTGTTCAATTCTGTTTTACCAACATTAATCATTGCGTGTAGCATGTTATTGGTAGATGTGAATGTGGGGTTTTTAGTTGGTAGAGAAATTTAACAAGTAAAAAAAAAACGTTTGGGGCAATTACGAAAACGTTTGGAAATACAAGGACCTTTTTAAAAATTTGGACAAAACTCCCGCCTTAAATTCCCTCCATATTTTTTCATGTCTCTTCGCTTTTGCCTACCCAACAAAGACAAAAAGTAACTGTCTTCCTCTTAATCTTCCATCTTTTGTACTTACGAGTTTCAGATGTTAGATCTGGGAAACATGTCTATGTCTGCATCTGTGGCTCTCACTTGTTGCCCTTCTTTTCTTCCGGCGGCTTCAGGCCCGGAATTAGCCAAATCTATCGATTCCCCGAAAAATCTAGTCGGAGAATGCAATGGGAAACATTTACCGATGATTCCACCGGAGGAAGAAGTCAGAGACATTAAAACTGCTAATGGAGTCACTGCTTTTACTGGGAAACAGAATACGTCTGACAGAGTCAAGAAAGGGTTGATTTTGGAAGATCATGTGAAGGATTGGGTCAAGAGAAGAGTGGCTTCTGGTGTTTCAGAGACGAGATGTTTCCTCCCTTTTCTTGTTGGTGCCAAGAAAATGGTATTTTGTGTGTTTCTGTTTATTTAGTTATCTATCGGTTTGGTGTTTTCCACTTTTTTTTGGTGGTGAAATTATGAATTCTGCAATGGATTCTTAGGATATACATGGTCTCTTGAGTTATGAAGTGTGTGTGAAGTATAGAATAGTATTGGATCGGTGATTTTGAAATGACCCTTTTTGGCTTTAGTTATGTCTGTGTAAGATTTCATATGATCTCTCATATTCATTTAGATATTATTTGACTACTAGTTTACTATTTAAGTCATTCGAATCTTGAAGTCAATAAGTGACTTGGAAGTATTTAGATTTATTGACATAATGACTATATTGGATTTGGTGTCAGGTTGATTGTCTTGTTTGCCATAAGCCGGTGTACCCGGGGGAAGAATTATCGTGTTCTGTTCGCGGCTGCCAAGGCGCTTATCACTCGCTTTGTGCGAAAGAAAGTCTCGGTTTTTCTAAGTCAAGCAAATTTAGATGCCCTCAACATGTAAGATCCTCATTCATTGTTTAGATCTACGGAAGATTTCTCTTCATTTTTATTGGCTTGCTTTGTATTCAACGAAGCATATCATATTTTGTTGCTCTTATTTTGGTAGAAATGCTCAGAGAAAAGATAGGCCATCAAATAGGATACTTAACAGTTAGTTCTAAGTAACAGTGATAGGTAGGGAATTGAAATGATTAGTTTGAATGTGCGGTATCATTTATTTCATCTGATAGAATGGAGTATGCAGGACTGTTTTGTCTGCAAGCAAAGAACACAATGGCGGTGTGTTAAGTGTCCAATGGCGCTCATGATAAACATTCTCCATGGTCAAAAGAAATACTTCACTTGAAGACCAACCAGGAAGAGCAGTTTGTTGGAGGCATCCAACTAATTGGCGGCTAGACACAAAGGTCGATTTTCCAGTTTACCGCTTTCATAAGATCCTATCTGAAGCTTCTTACGATTGTATTTTCATACAGACTTACTCACATGACTGATAAATTATCTGTTGATTGAGCAGCATGCAGTTGCGCAGAGTGAGATGGAGGTCAGTGTTTCTTTGCCACGTACCAATGTGACTGAAATTAGGTAGTCTAGTGAAGGAAACTAATTCTTACATAGACTTGTCGCTCGAAAATCAAAAGAGGGAAGAGATTTGAAAGCTGGATATTTGTTTTTTTCTTACACAATTTCAAGTGCTAGGCACTAATGTTTATCTACTTTCTTATTCAGGAAGTCTTTTGCCAGTTGCCTTTGCCATATGTGGAAGAGGAGTTTAAGATTGACTTAACATGGAAAGATTCTGTGTGAAAGATGATCCGCCTCCTTATGTGCACATTAGACGCAGTATCCTTATAGTTTCCACACATCTTTCTTTCGATACATTATTACTTCCTTATGAAGACATAATTCTCATTTATTACTACAGTGGTGTGTCTTTCCTTGACTGAGTTAAGATATTTACTTTGTGAAGAAAAAGCGTGATAATGCTAATGATGGTGTTGGGTGCACAAATTGTGGCCCTACTTGCTGTAGAAGCTGTGTTTGCCGGTATGTGTACATGTTGATTAACCAACAAATCTTCTCTGTTAACAAGAAATGAAATTTTGTTTGAGTAGTTTCCGTTTTTGAAAAATTTCCTCAGGGTTCAATGCATAAGCTGTTCAAAAGGATGCGGATGTCCTGAAACTTGTGGAAACAGACCATTCCGCAAAGAGAAAAAGATCAAAATTGTTAAGGTAAAAGTAGTCTCTATTTTATGATTCCTGCATTACACTCTTTTTGTCTTTTCTTGACATGTCATGTTATTGTTTTTACAGACTGAACATTGCGGTTGGGGAGTAGAGGCAGCAGATCAATCAACAAAGAGGACTTCATTGTCGAATACATTGGTGAAGGTAAACTATCTTGATTTGGTCTTTGAGCCATATGGTTGTGGTGGAAAGGGACATAGTTTTTAGTGACTGTTTTCACTCGATCCACAGTGATTAGTGATGCTCAATGTGAGCAAAGGCTTTGGGATATGAAACACAAAGGCATGAAAGACTTTTACATGTGTGAGATTCAGAAAGACTTCACGATTGATGCCACCTTCAAAGGGAACGCCTCTCGGTTTCTGAATCACAGTTGCAGCCCAACTGGTTTATTGGAAAGTGGTAAAGCATACATTGTTCATATAAATTATGTCGATGATGTCTAGTAAGAGAGAATGAGTCAGTTTTAATACTTGTAAATGTGTGGTTTTTAACAGGCAAGTTGAAGGGGAGACCCGTGTAGGTGTCTTTGCAGCTCGTCAAATAGAAGCAGGAGAGCCACTTACATATGACTAAAGTCAACTTCGGGACCATTGATATGAGCTTAATATTCTGAAATTCTGATATATTAGGTTTTTTTTGCAGATTTGTGCAGTTTGGTTCTGAAGTAAAGTGGCAAGTGTGGTTCTGAAAGCTGTCAAGGTTATCTTGGGACAAAGAGGAAAGAGCCAAACTGGTTGGGCTGTATCTTGGGAGCAAAACGCAGAAGAGTGTTTCACCGACCTTTAGCCCATAATGCAGCAGATTAGCTTCAACAAACCTTTGGAGATAGGTGAGGCGGCGTGCTTGATACTTCTCTGTTGCAGTCTTGTAGTAATATGTTTGGAGTTTGTCTTTTGTATCTTTAATTTCCCTTACGCACACATCCAGTCTACAGTACAAACCAATGAGCAAAAACTTGATTCTTTATGCATTGATGTTATGTGGTTACATCACATTCGGTATAACCGTTTTGTAGATTGTATGTAGGGATCGCCGGAGCGGATGAGCCTTTAAACTTACATTTAACATTAAGACTAAGACTAAAATGGTAACTTACCTTTAGTCTTTACCACTTTTAACATTACTTTTAAAGTTTAAACTTACCTTTAAACTTATTTTTCTCAATAAAAAACCACTAAGACTAAGTACATGGGTTATAATATTACAACAACTCTTTTTTTACTTTTAACATTCCACATCATCTTTTCTCTTCCACATCATAATTCAACACATACTTAATTTTTACTATCTACAATGGTTGTGTTTAATAAAATTACAACACTTTATCTTATTATTTATTTTCTTTGTGTTTTTTGTTTTTTAATTACAAATTATTAATAACAATTAAAAAAAGTAGGAGTTAAATAATTTTATAAAATAATTAGAAAGTATAGTAGAAAAATGCAGATTTTTTTTATGTGTTTAAAATAAATTAGCCAAGTCTCATTTTATAGAATATGAAAAATGATGAATTTTGATATAAAAATATATATATATATAATTAAAATTATAATAAACTAATTGATGTTAAATAATTGAATTGAAAAAATCAAGAATGTGAGCGACCAATCAATGCAATCCATCTGTCCCAATAATTTATCAATTCTTGTTTTTTTTTTATCCTTTGCCACATGTCAAATAAGATAACACCCACAAATTTTCAAAACCAATTTTGCAACATCATCTTTTTGTTATGTCAACAAAATATTCAACAGTTGAAATAATTTTTCAAATGTTGAAAAAATTGAAATAGACTTGGATTTCCCCAAAATATTCACATGTTCAAACTGATGGCCTTAGTCAATATAGACATCACTGGTCACAAGTACACAAACACATTCTAAATCACTTGGCCGTAAGTACCTTTGAGCACTGTGTCCTCACTTCACCTAGAGGAGCAGTCAAGACTTTAGGCTTGATAGCTTGGTCATGACCTTCTATGGTTTTATATATTTTCAAGGAAGAATAATCATAATTTAGGCAAAAATATACGTTCATGTATCTCACTTTGTTTAATCAGATTCAAATATGTTTTCAATAAAAAGAGTACCACAACAATCATATATTAACTTTTATGTTTTTCTATATTTTCAAAAAGAATAATCAACTTATCACGATCAGAGATATCACATAGGGGTTTCAGTAAACTAAACAAGCAATTCTTGCCATCAGTTCCTCTTTAAACCTCAACACTTTGTGCTCAACTAATAAAATGTAAAGATTCTTTGCACCTAAAACTCTCAAAAGAAAATATTTCTTGCATTTTCTTAAGTATTCTTCTGTTATTACTTCTTTGTTTTCACTCTAATCATTCAACACTATCTTCCTTACATAATATGCAATGCGTATGTAAAGTACTTCACATAAAACAAAAATGGCGATTTACTTTACACCTTCTCGCTCTCTATGTCTCTAGTTCTTTTGTCAGCATCACCAACTCTTGTTTCCAATCTCATTCACCCCAATCAAATCTATTCCTTAGAACCTCCACATGTCTACCGTATTGACGAAGCCTCTTTTGCACGTCTAGACTACTTACAAGCCAAGGCAACTGGAGACATCATTGCGAAACCTTCACTTAACATGGCAAACACTTTCTTGGTGAATATATCAATAGGCAGCCCACCAATCATGCAACTTCTCAACAGTATGATCTCAAAGCAATGAAGGTTTCTTTGGAGAGAATTGATTGTGGCGTCCTCTTTGATTATTGATTAAAAATAATATCATTATGTTCCAATTATCTGATTAAATCATTGACCAGATCATGCAAAATCTATTTATCACAGTCGCTACTTTTAACAAGCGGATTCTTTGATTGTGTGAAAATAAAAATACAACTATGAATTATTGAGCTGTTGTTGGAATGCAGAAGAATAGACTGAAAAGATAACTTAGTAAAGAATAAAGAGAAACAAATAAAGCATGTTTCAGGTCTCTCTCTAGACAACAAAAGCTCAAAAGAACACATAATAGAGTAATAATTCATTCACCCCAGACTAACTTGAATATATTCTTACTAGCTGATGCACAGATTACATTGTTACTTCTATTTCTCAACATCTCTTCTTGCGCAGAGACATTCCCTTCCTTCAAAACAATGGAGAGATTGTTTTCGTTAGTTCAAGAGAGACTAGAAGTCATCGGTTTTCTTCAAGAAATACAATATTTCGAGATCATAGGTAAAAGGCTTACTAGATGAGAATACGCAGAAGCAAGAGACAAAAGCGTTGGGTAACTATCAAGAACCGCTATGGCAATTTCCTCCGTCACCTGCGGGATCTGCAACATATACTTATCAATGGAATTGGATTCGTAGAACCATTCACATATAAAAGAACCGAAAAAGGCTTAGCCAGACAAAGTACCTGCATAAGCTGAATGGCAAATACATCGCTGATTGTCATTTTATCAAGGTCTTGACACCTTTTGACAAAACTATCAAAAGAAGGACACGAGGCTGCGACTTTGCTCTGGTCATTATCATTCACCCGTAACTTGTAGTATTGATATATTGATTTCGTGAGGTAGCCGTATTTCCTTAGCGTCTCACCCAGCCCTTGTGTCCTCAGCACATCAAATCCCTCCAGAATCTCTGTCGTGAAACAACTAGAAGCATATACAAAGGAAAAAGGTTTGGTTCCAAATCTCAAAGAAAAATGTACAACCATTCAAAATCTTGTGTTAAAAAGATAATCTTACGCTGTTTTAATGCTTTCTGCTGCATCAGAATGGTTTGGATCCCCTTCAAGAATATATATGAGCTTCTTGAATCCCGATCTCTATTTAGAATTTCAATTTAAGAAGACAATAAGAAACAACCATCAACAAAAGATGGAGCAAGTCAAAAACTTAGGAGTTGAGAGTACACACACCTGAAGTCTAAGTTTTTGGTCTCTGTAGCGATTATCTCTAATTGATGAGCGCATATCATCCACGTTCTTCCTCTCAGCAATAAAGTCCAGAACATATTCAGTCTCAAAGTACTTATGCCGAGCAATCCAGATACAATCCCCGACTGGTAATCGTCTAACCTACAGATACAACAACAATTTTTCCAGTTAATTTCAGTAATTTCGAATCTGTTGACATCTATCCAAGAAATCAAATGCAAACCTCAATCTTGATATTGAATTCAGAGCATATGTTATCAACTATATTCCTGGATCGTGATCTGTGAAATAAGAAGGTATGATTAGTGTTCATTAAGAATAACGTAGCTAGGCTACTATCACGCTCTCATAACCAAACCATAAGAAACCTCAAATAAATAAAGAAAAGATTAAATTAAATGTCCTACAAACCCCTTAGTGGCAAACTTTTCTCGATCATCCAATATCAAGATCACATCATATGCTTCCTCAAACGTTTCTCCAAATTGAAGAGGAGGGAGGCGTGGAACATTTGTTATTCCTTTGGTTCCATCTGATACCAACTTTGTAACCAGGACACAATAAAGAACAATTCACGCTGATTAGCAATCCAGTTTCTGCTGATCATTCAAAAATGTAGCTAATAATCTACTTAACTCAAATGGTTACATACAGAAGATGAGCAGGCTTTCACAGCATGACTCGATCCGGATGTACATGGATTTAAGGTGGGTCCATCATTGCAGAGCGGAACTTCTTAGCACGAGATCCCTCAAGATCAACTTGACCTGAATTTGTAGCTAAGACATCATAAGATGAAACATACAACTTTTCTCAAACACAGCACTAAGCATATTATATCATATGCTTGATAAAGACCGTACGAGTTGTGATTTAGAAGGTCCTGATGATCTTTTCTTCTATTTCTTGAGTCCGGACAGGAATTATAAACCTCTGCTTGACGAAGATGGCAACATTACGAGAGCCAGAGAGTTGATGGATCTTTGTCCCAGATCCATCTGAAACCTCTCTGAATGCAGCAACGACTTGTTCCTTTGAATAACCAAACGTGTAAACTGTTGAAGAAAACCAATAATTTAAACAAAAAATTAATACTGGAGAAAAATATGTCACCTCACCCCCAATCAACACTATATAATAAGAAATTAAAGGTCCAAATACATTATGATGGAGTACCTTTTCAAGAATATCGCTTGGAATGGCTGATTGTGCCCTAGATCTGGGATCGACATATGGCTGTTCTTCTCTCATGGTAAAAGAACAGGTAGGATTTTGGTTAGGTGTTTTCTGTGCTTGCGGTGTAGGATAAATTCCATCATCAGATAAGATGTCAACTGAATTAGGTAATCCAGATCGCACGATACATTCATTTGCAACTTCCCGACCTTCTACTGTCAGCATGTACCTAAGAAAAGAAACAATGAAGTCTCAAGATAAGGTCTACTTCTCCACAAAAAATACAAGTCAAGGGCACCATAAGGCAGAGTTTCAGATATGAGTTACTTTGCTGGGTTGCTAGATTTCACCACTAATCCCTTCTGTATAAGTGTGGTCATGCAGCTCCATCCACTATACCACTCCCTCTTAGAGTGTCCAAGTCCTGCTTTCCCTTTTCCTTTCTCTGGCCTAGGCACAAGAATGGAAGAATAAGAGATACAGCAGAGGTTGGGTACAAAACCAACAGATTAGAGATTGGGAACATCATGATTGATTATACCCAACAGGAGAGTGTGAGAGCCCACTCGCGTCAGCAGCATCAATAAGCTCTTGTTTACGCATGAATTCTTTCCCATTTGTAGTCCTCCTGGTAACAAAAAAAAGATAACGGTCCTGAAGAAGGGTTTACAAAGGGGAAAGAAAGAGTATTTTGTGAGTAACATAAACATGTAACTAACCTGTGCAACGTTATTAGTAATGCATAGCCCACAGAATTTCTTTGCGGAATGTACCGTTTTTTTTCCATTAGCCTTTTTCCCTGGACAGATTAAAAATCAGCATAGATAAAGACATTACATTGATAATACATGTGAACAATGTGATACAGCCAACAGCCCAACACAATTACCAGCACGCCTATCAGGTAAATCTTCTTGCTCAGAACTTTGAGCACCAGTATCAAAATATCCTTTCATGAGCTTAACCATCCACTTGCCAAAGCCCCTATGCAGTCACCCAAAAAATTAAAACCATTCACAATCAGATCTGATTTGCATTTGAAAAGGCTTAGAGAAACTAAAATGAATATAAACAAACACTTCCCCTTGAAACAAAGAAACCACTCACTGTCAGATTCACTGATTTCACAACGATAAGAAACACACAGATTGTCTGATTTTATCTAAATGACTTCAACTTCAGATTAAACAAACACAAACCCTTAGCCAAAGATTAAATTAACAGGAACCAAAAATGTATGTGAACTGAAGTTAATAAAGATAAAATTGATATACCGAGGAGCATCTTATTACTTTCTTAGTCCTAATTTCGTGGAAATTCCACCATTCACTCAATACTGACAAAATGGGAGAATTTCGAACCAGAAACACAAAAAGATCACTTCTTTTCCAGTAAAATTGAACACAAAGGCACCTCAAACAAGAAAACTCTAATGACCCATTAACCCATATCCCAATAAGAACAGTAGAAAACCTAGGAAATGAACATTTCCCCTAAACTCAAATTCCAGAGGACAAAGAGGAGAGAAAGAAAGCAAGAAACATACTTGATCTGCGACAAGTCTTTGAGTGTGTTAATGGATCCTTGGCGTCGCAGACATTCCTATACGCCTTAACAAATGTCCTCTCCAGATTTTCCGACAAACCTTTGGGTTTTTCTGCGTGTTCTTGCTTCTTCTGCAACACATAAGCCGCTAAATCTTGGTTCTCAGGACACAGTACCCGTCTCTCGTCATCCATCACTACCCACTCCAAAGAGTTTCAATTTATCAAACGATCATCAAATTCCTTGATGATTGGATAAACTCGTTGCCTAGAAAGAGAGAAATTTTCTCGCAAAGGTTTGATCTTTGGTTCGACAAAACAAAAACTTTTAGGCGTTTTGTCGAGAATTTTCAAAATTTGGGGGATTTTGACTTAACCACGCCGGGGTAAAGGTCTAGCCTAAGCCTCCGTCTAGATCAGAGGGCTTTACTTTGAAACAGCATGCACTTTTCAATCCAAAAACCAAGATAAAAATTCCAAAAAACCAAAAACTATTTACCCACAAGTACAACCATTCATGGCCTTTTTTTTAATCTCATGCGCTATTTTCTTTGTTGGGAATGGAGAATAAAAATAAAGGAACAAAAATTCAAGGTACTCTAAAATTATGGCTAGGTGTATCATATGTCTAATTAGTCAAAATCTAGTAATCTATTGTTAAAATTCAATACAAATCACTAAAATATATAAATTGGTTTACCAAAAAAGATAGAAGAAAATAGTCTTCTTGCATATGCGTACGAGTGAGTCACCTTGTTATTAATATGGTATTTTATCAAACCAATTTTTAAAAATATTTGTAGTGATGAACTTATATCTGACATTTATCATGTCTTTAAGTTGTAGTCTAAACAACAATTTTGTCATTTTTAAAAATATTTAAGTATGTAAATGAACTAATTTTTCCGTAACAAATCGCCGAGTGATGACATGGCAACTAATCATATCACAATTGTATTTTTTTCATTTTTTCATTAGTCCACCACTTATGATCATAGATAGCAAGCTCACACATCACAGTTTGATGGTCTTAACTGGTTATAATCCGCAAAAAAATATTGTTATATTATATAAACCAAAATTTCAAAATTTTCTAACTTATTGTTGAAAACAGTTTAGTTTATTATGAATTTTCAAGTATTTTAACAAAATATCTGTAAGTACAAAAAATATACATTCAGATCTAGAAATCCGAAAGTAAGGAATGCGATTTTGAATCCTCCAAGATTCTTCATCTTCTTGCTCTCTCTTTCTTCGTTTTTACTTGTTAATTTCTGGTTCGTCGTCTTCGAGTATGATTTGTGAACTCTGCAGGTGTAATTGGAGACGGAGCCAAACTACAGTTATGCCCTTCCTCAAATGTGGTGGGCCGCTAAAGCAGAAAAAAAAATTGGCCCATTAAAGTAAAATAAAGTGATAACCAGCGGTTGCGGGATTTCGAACTTGCAACCGTAGGGCATTTTATCACAAACCTTAACCACTGCACTACGAGCACATTCCTGTCGCATTATTCTCTCTAAAGTATAATACATTTTTACCAATTTGTTGCGGTTACGCACCAATGCCAATTGTAAACAAAATCATCTGTACTCTTGACATATTTTGAAGATTGAAAAATTATTTGTTTTGATAACTTTATAATCGTATAGGCTTGTTAAATAATGTGATTAAGCAATTGGTTAAAATTTTTGGAACAAATTGTTTAGTCAGAAAAAATGCCAAAAGCTTATTCAAAACTAAACCTTTTCTTGATATAGTGATGATTTTATATCAATTACTACTCCCTCGGTTCCTAATTAATCCAAGTTTTAGAAGATAAAAAATTGTATCAAAATTTAGAGTTTTTAAGATTTTTACGCATTTTTAAATTGAATGTAAACAAAAATCATTTGTACCCTTGAAATATTTTAGACAGAAAATTTATTTGTTTAATGTTAAAAAAAATTATTTTATTTGTTTTTATACGTAAATTTTCATAAGATTCTCGGTAGAAGTTGTCACTAAGCAGTTATGTAATAGACATGTGATCGTATTGGTTTCAGCAGGCGTTTTTTGGATAAGCTCAGATTTTCGGTGTTACGGAGTAGGCTAATGTCAAATTCGAGAGAGAAAATCGCGATGTAGACGCTGAAAGCAACATCGATGCAAGTAAGAAAATCGAATTAATAAAAAAAATATGTGTATATCCTCGATTAATAAAAAAAAGAGGTAATAAGGTCTCTCCTCCTAGATATTACTCTAGATCATGGAATTTAGAGATCGGATAAATACTATGCATCATGGTTTAGTGATCCAGTTAATTATTCTAGATCATCGTTAGAGATCCGGTTAATTAATCTAAATCATGGTTTGGAAATCTGGTTATTTACTCCAAATCATGGTTTAGTGATCCATTTTCGTCTTTCGATCGAATCTTAAACAAGGAAAATAAATTTATTTCATTCAATATATTAGAGATTACAAGAGTACTTTTTAGTGGGGAATAGTAAACAATTCAATCCATAAACCCTTAGCTCTCAAGTTCTGGTCCCAAATCTCATGGCACAACGTAACCTGCCACATAATGAACATCAAAACATTACGACCATCATGTCAATACAAATAAATTCTATTTTTAATAAAAAATTTCGCAAAATACAAACAATCACAAGATAGCTCTAGCGATACCTTCAATTTTTACAAGATTAAAACTATAAAGATTTATATATAGACTTACTTCCACACTTGGTACCATGAGCGAGAGGCTTCCCACAAAAGGCAGTGACATGAACAACCTTATCCATGTCTATCATTTTCTGCACTGAAGCTGTGATACGGCCACAAGCGCAAAGGATATCTGATCTCTTAACGACTCTACAGCATGCTTCGGACGGGTTCACCTTTGGGCCTGGACGCTGCACGTAGACCGCGCATTCTTTCATCAGACCTTCGATGTCTCCTTGGCACGTTCCTTGCCCTGGAACTAGAAGTGTTCCTGAGATCACAAGGATCATTATTAGACCAATCAAAGCACGAGAACCGATCACCATTTTAGTTTGAATCTTGTGAGTGTATCTTTGAGTTTTTGGTTAAATAAAAGTTGTTTAGGGGTCTTTTATAGTGGCTTTGGAGGTTTAAGGGTTTGTGTTGCATGTGAGGTTATCTTCTTCTTTTTTTTTTTTTTTTTTTTTTTGTGGTTAGACTGTAGACTTAATTAATTAGTTTGATCTTTTCCTATTGGGTTCATGTGACAAAAGACTTGAAATTTTCTGTGAGATTCTAATGAGTTTCCTCGTAACTACAACTATATGGCAGCCAATGCATGTAACTTACATATGAGGACAGATTATAATGATATGTAAGTAAATGGCAAAATAGTATTAAAACCAAAGATGAACCAAAGTGAAAAATTGTGACAAGCTATCTTAATTATCAAAACATAAATTTTCTCCAGAAATCTCTATAGAACCAAGTGAAAGATATGTTTCAAACTGAAAGACTCTGAATCCAATGGAGCCTCTTGCTCTTAATTCGTGTAACGTCATGATGTCATTGAATGGTAACCTTACTCTCTTGATGCTGCCTTTTCTTTTTTTTTTTTTTTTTTTTTTTTTTTTTTTTTTTTTTTTTAATTAATATTATATTAAACATTCCCAAAACTGGGCTTTAGGCTAAAGGGCCTAATAAGAAACTAGGTTACAAAATAACAAAGCCCAAAAACAGGTAGCCGCCGGAGAAGAGATCTGCAACTTGACGGTGACCGGAAACAGGAACCCTAATCTACCATGACCGGCGCTAACAAGAACTCCTCTTTTGCAGCTACGATGTCGACGCACGACTCTCGAGCGGAGTTAGCGAATCCCATCTCAAACCGAAGTCGACATCAAGCCAAGCCCAGAAGTTTTCTCCCGAAATAGATAGAGGCACAGACAACCGGAACCCCATCTCTCAAGAAGAGAGAACACCGAAGCGAACCCTCACCGCCAGCAACCACCCTCCAGAAACTTCGTCCGTGACCTAACCCACTTCGATCCGGTAAGGCGAATGCAAGATCTCGAAAGCTAGAAAAGGATTTGAGGCTCAAACAGATCCAAATTAGCCGGAAAACGAGAGGATAGCCCTCTAGGATCCACAGGATCCACAATTAATCGCCTTGACTAGCAGAGTAAACCCACCGATCCGCTCCTCAACTTCCGCCGCATGTCGCAGCAACCACCAAAAAACAGACGAGCCGTGAGAATAACCGCCGCGAAGTCTCCAAGCGTCCTTAACCAGGAGAAGAATCGACCGGGAACAAACTCACTCCGCCGTGATTTCGCCACAACCGCATCGAGAAACGGATATCCACAACCCAAACCCTGCCGGAGAAGAAGACGTCACACTCCCACATCTCCGATTAAGTACCAATAGCCTCCATGAAGATCCACAAGCAAAGGAAAAAAAAAGATAAAACCTAGATCTACTTTTTGTTGCGAAGAGAGAGAAGAGAGAAAAAGGGTTTCTAGGAACGATTGTCCTTTCCTGCTATTTTAATTCAATGCTGCCTTTTCTCATCTAGAGAGTTTGTGCTTATTACGACGGTCAGTACCTGATAACTTGACAGTCTCCTCATCGACATGGCGAAATCTCGGCAGAACAACCAATGTCGGTTTTGGACGTATGCAGGAGGTGATGAAACACATGGTCCAAGGATCTTTTTTTTTTACATATTTAGTTTTTTCGTTCAAGTTTTTTTGATTATGGTTAAAAAAAATTATTTAGGCGCCGGATCTAACCAATGTTTGAGCCGGGCCTCAGAACAAGTATGACAATCTACATATACATTTTTACAGGGGATTTTTGCATAAAGTCTTTTGGATCCGGGTTGACCCGGTTTTAGTCTATTCGGATCTTGGATAAGCAATTTTAGGGATGTTGTCTTAAAACCCACATTAATTCTTAAATAACACCTAAATTGGAAATATATTATATATATCTAAACTAACCATATTTGTTATTTACCTTAACTACTCCAACCATAATTATTTAACTATTTATTTCTATATAGAAAGAATATGTGATTAAAATAAATATTTTGTAAAATATTGATTTGGGAAAAATTGTTCTTACGAAAATAATTTGTTTTGTTATAAAAATTAATATTTGTTATTTGTAATTAAATTACATAAATAATAATAATAATTTGTCTACACCATCAAATGAAAATAGTTAGTTATTTTATTTTTTTTATTTAATATTACGTAATTTAAAAAAAAAATTCAACAATATAATGTCAATGGGTTTAATTTCTAAAGATTTGAAAATATTAAAAAGATACTAACCAAAAATTATCTATCCTAATTTGTTTCTAACCAATTTGGACACAAATCTTTCAAATCTTTCAAATCTTTCAAATCTTTAATGTGATCACATTTGTTACTAAAATCTCGATTATATTCCTAAAATCTTGAGAAGATCTTCCTTTAAATCCGCAAATTATAATTTTTGAATAAATAAACTAACAATACGAATATTCCTAATATATTCGAGTACTATAATCCTTATTATAGTATATTCCTTATCTAAATACTAAATCTTTTATTTTTAATTCTAATCAAAATTTATGAAATCGGAAATCAATCATGATTTCTTAAACATCCTTAAATTTCGAAATAATCAACAATTCGAATATGCTGAAAAATCATAACGAAATATCTTTATTTACTTAAATGTTTTAGTAATCGTTTATAGCAAAAAAATCAATTCCAGCGCTATTGGTTCTTTAAACTTTTTGATGTACATAGATATTTTGTATTCCATAATTAACTCATTAAAATCTTTGATTTAAATAACTACAATGTGAAAATTAGTATATGTAATAAATATAACATATAATATTTACGAGATTTTCATATACTTGATCCCCAACCCAAATTGGCGAATATATTATTCCTCATAAAATATCTTTAAAAGATTTTTTTTTGTTTCGTTTAGATATTATTCAACAAACTTCCTAAAAAAAATGGAAATATCTTTAATTAGCTTTCCTCATTCATAAATCCCACCATGCATATAGACGTTATTCAGTTGATAATACAAAATCGAATATATTAGGAATCAAATATTTAATTTTCGAATATTTGCAAAATTGTTTTAATTTGTAGGTCAAACCTAAACTTCTCGAGTACTTTTCATTCATCTATATAAAGAAGATCTTTTCAACCATTGATCCACAATACTAAACGTTTTCGTAATAGAGATTTATATGGCTTCTTTTAAACAATGTTCTTAGTACATTTTATATTTCACGTTTGTTTTCTTTTAAAAAATTAATTGTCACCTACTTTTCTTATGTTGCAGCTTTCGATTTTAAGATCTTTGGAAACTATGGACATCATCAACTCCGTCTCCAAAGAAACTATCAAATAAGGTATGCATTAAAAGGTTAGTTAGTCCTTCTTCTTATCTTCAGATACGAATTTTTTAATGTCCAGTATTTTTTTACATTTTCAGAATTTCATGTTTCCTCATAATGTTTGTAAATGATTTTCTTTTATAGGCTAACATAACAAGTCCATTCTATTAATTCATTTTCTTTAACGTAAAAAGGAAATGAATTTGTTAATAAAATAAAGTTCTTATTCTTGGTTAGTATTATTCTAATGTTATGTATTTTAATTGTTTTTATGATATATACTTTTACAAAAAACCTGTGGATCCGAGTTTTGGTTGGTAAGTGTAATTTTTCTAATCTTTTAAAACCTTTTATAACAATTACATGTTTTATATGGTTAAAAATCACATCATATATATTTTATTTTCTTATCCAATGTATTTCATGTTTAATGTTTTCTAATACTTTTTTATATATATTTTGGTTTTGACTAATTTTATATATAAGTTCTTAATTTAATCTATTAAAGTTTCCAAAGAAAACATTTTAAATATAAGTTCTTAATTTAATCTATTAACCTTTATTAAAAGTAAAATATTATAATTATTTAAACTTTTTAAAAATTTAATTTTATAAAACGTTTTAAATATTTATAATATTAGGAATTTTCTAAAGTTTCAAATATTAAATAGTTGAATTTTATAATAATTTGTAAGAAATTTAAACATTATAAATATTTACAAAAGATACGGGACGGTATATTACGGGTGAAATCCTAGATATAACAATCAAAATACTATTATGAATTTTGGGTCGATATTAAATGAAGTTTCAAATATTAGAAATATTTGAATTTTATTGGAAAATGACAAAATGATGTAGATTTCACGGGACAGAGTTATATGGTCGGACGGGTTTGTGGTCGATATTAATACAGTATGATATACTACGGGTTAAAATCCTATAATTAACAATCAAAATATAACTATACAATCTTAAACGCTAAACAAAACTAAACAAATAATATTAACAAAACAACTAAACTTCAAATTTTAAATCTTTAGTTATAAATATCGTCATACAGTGTACCATACATTTAAATCAAACAAAACAATAGCATATATCTATAGATCATCTTAAAAAAAAAATTTTATTATTATTTAATAAAATTATAGACCCGCGGTGTACCGCGGGTTAATATCTAGTCATTAGTATATTTTATTTACTTACCATCTACTTAATTTAATTGACAATCATTGGCGACTTAATTTTATTCTTACATTAAGCCTAAATGTTAATAGAATTTGATGCCTAATCACATATTTCGGTGTGTAATGCGAGTATTGAATTTTTAACTCTTTCGGATTGATCTGAATGTATATTTTTTGTACATAAAAAAAAACTCGTTACAGATATTTTGTGAAAATACTTTAAAAGGCATAATAAACTAAACTGTATTCAACAATAAGTTAGAAATTTTTGAAATTCTGGTTTATATAAGATAAACCAATATTTTTTTGCGGATATAACCAGTAAAGGCTATCAAACTGTGATGTGTGAGCTTGCTATCTATGATTATAAGTGGTGGACTAATCACATAAAGAAAAATGGAAAAAAAAAAACTATTTCTTCACAAACAAATCTCCATCTCTTACACCATAAACCCTAACGACGACTCTCTGTCTCTTTTGATTCACAAAGTATGGCGAAAGCTTCAGCAACAATTATCATTCTTTTGATCTTGTTCTGTTCTTTGGCTTGTGAGGCACGTGTTCGTCTCACTAGTCCTGATCTTCCGACTGATGAGACCGTTCACAAAGTCGAGAAACTTCAACAAGAACAGAAACGTTTCCCGAAATCTGATCCTCACTTTTACCCCAAAAAAAAAAAATCTGATCCTCACACCATTAAAGCACATCTCGAGTGCTTGGAATCTTATGAAACCTTCTTCCCATATTCCACGATGATCCATAACGTCGAAGCTTCTCTCATGAGGATGTAATAACCGTCGTTGTATACTTTGTAATCGTTGTATACTTTGTAACTTTTGTTTAATCTGTAATCAAAACTAAAGGGGACTAGGCCGACCCTTAAAAAAAACAACTGGTCGTGATCTGAAACCGATCACGAGCTCAAGGTAGAGCGAAACCAGTGGCATGATGAAACTTGACACTTACATTTTTTTAAGAATATAATCGATATATTTTCCGACCATCATGAATCTACTTCTTATTTAATTGCATATTTTTAAGCAGTGCGTGGTTCACCTAAAACAAAAACGAGATTGTTGTTGCTTCGATTTCTCAACATCTCTTCTTGCGCAGAGACATCCATTCCTTCAAAACAGGACTGTTTTAGTTTATCGGATATCTAAACCATGATCTAGAAATAACCAAATATTAAAAACCAGCTTATCATTTCATCGCCATAACTTGATTGATTGAACCATGAAAACGAAGATCAGGCCAATGACAAGAAGACATGTAGCATAAGCATGAATTTTCGAATAATAAGTCTATCAAGTAGTAAAATCAGATTAAAACACCCATCTCAAGGAATCATAACAAAACTTCCAGTGTAAACCAGGTACTCTAAAACTATTTACCTATTGAGATTCCCTCCTTCAAAGTTATAATATGAGAACCAGAGTATAGCATCGTGACTTAAACTCAGAAGACCGTACACAAGCCGAGATAAATTTTACTCTCCTTTCTCCGACCATGGAAATCTGCTGCCTTTGAATCACTTACACTTGCTTGTAGAAGAGGACATAAGCTTGGTCGTGCAACACCTGTTTTGTCCCTATGGCAGTCACAGAGGCATCATCAAACCTTAGCCATTGACCATTCTTTCGTCGAGCGTCTGTGGTGTAGTGCCCTTTTGAGGGATCCCATCCATGGTGGGTAATTGTTGCCACAAGTTCATATCTCAAACTCTACAAGAAGAAATTTGAGTAGTTCACAACAGAGGGATATCACATAGAGAGTAAGAGAAATGTGAAGCATAGACAGTTCTGCTTCGGCTTTATACCTCATTGGATAGAGAAACAAGATGGTTGCGGTTTAAGTTGAGTTCAAGGGGAAATTTAACGCCTTTATGCAGCTTAGTACTCCCTTGGCTTCCGTAGCTAAAACGCATTAGGTGCAGTATCATTATCTTTGAGAGTTTCTGAATCTTTATCGACTTACTAGCACTCACTACACCAGTCTGAAATGAGAGAATTCAAACAAGCAAAGAGGTAATTATGGTCCTAAAATCCATAAGAAATATTTTACTACCAGTATCGTATTATGGTCCTAAAATCCCACAGCTTCAATATAGTAAAAAGAGAAATAGTTTACCTTCCCAGTAACCGAGGCTCTATATCCTTCAAGATCTTCTTGGGCAGAAAACAAATGCAACGCGTCTTCTATTCCTTTCACGCCGTCCGGATGAATATCAAGGTGTAGCAAGAGATATGGCTGTACAGTAGCCGAAGCTTTAGTCCCTGTACAATAAATGACATATGAGTGCTTAATGAAACAAAAATTCTATCATGAAAGAAATTTAAAATGATTACAAAAAGTACAAATACCTTTTGCCTTCACTACGCTTTTGAGCTGCCCACCAAATATCTCACTAAGCTCAGACGGGACAAAGCTTTGTGTTCTTGTCACAGCTGATTTGTTTTTGGGTCCAACGGTTTTCCCATTCATCATCATCATCGTTGGCAGAAGAAAATAACCGATGACTTAGAAGCAGTAACTTTGGGGGGACTGTTCCTTGAGTTTCAACAACTCATCATGCATTTGGTCCATTATAAACTCAAAAACTCCTGAGCATCTTCCTGCCTGCCAATACATGCACACAAAGTTAGAATTAGGAACATATAGATTAACTATTTAAAACAGAGGAACATCAAAATTTTAGACTGTGTAAGGGAGTCACTAACCTTGGCCTACCAGACATGTTGTTGAGTACATCTGGGGTAAAATTTCTAAGCACTCCTTCGAACATGGCAGGTCTAAAAGGTCTACCAGCCTCAACAACAGTAACGTTATTTCTGATGCTGGAACTGCTTGGCACATCCAATTCGGAGATGAACTCGGAAAATGCAGCTAAGGTTGGAGAGTCAGCCTGAGATCAAAGAAAATGGAACAATAACGATAAGAAAAAAAATATTATAGGAAATACAATCAAAAGCAGAAAAAGACCAATGCACGTTAGAAACCTTTGGAATATCTTGGAGTTGAATTCTCTGGAGGAGCTGCACAAAAGGGAACAGGAAAGCAACGCTTGCAGAGTTGCATTAAGGAAGCACAAGTTTCCAGCGTTTATTAATCCTCTTGGTGTAAAGTCTTTAACAGGTGGAACAGATTCAGTAGGAACCTTCTGGTTTTTCTTTCTTTGAATGCTGCCAGATGAAGAGTCACTTGAGAAATCTTCATTGTCCAGCGCTTGAAATTTAGAGCTCGAAGCTTTATACACAGGATCACTTTCACCATCTGACATACACAACTTATCCAAACCAATAGGATCTGTCTTCACCGCCACACCATTGTTGAGAGATTTGTTTTCAGAGATCTCTTTTATGATTCCATTTTCTACCACATGCTCTGGAACTCTTGAAGAGAGTTTTCTTGGGAGTTTAGCATCACTATCATCGATCTTAATCCGAGCTGGCAGGTCTAGAAGCATCAAGTCTCTCTTGAGAACACAGCAGAATTAACTGTCCCATCAGCCTGACCTTTCTTCAACTCGCCATTAGTATTTACCGAAGAATTTTCCGCAACAAGATTCAAGGAGCCGAATTGTATACTTCCCACACACTTGTCTTTATGATTCTGAGGATCCTTAGTGGGTTTCTGCTCAAGAAATGACCTAGTTTCATGTTCTGTAAAGGATCCAAACACAAATAGCTGCCATGAATAAAAGAAGAATAGCAAATGTCAGTTTTAAAGGAGAATCATTTACAGAACAATTAAGAAACCAAATGATTAGGAAAGATAACTATAGTCTATCGGATATGCATAGACCTCAGAGAGCAACAATAATATCAACTACAAAATGATCAAAACGAAGCTATAAAAAGATACTATCTCCATGAAACTAAACCACCTAAAACTAGTCTCTTTTTAATTTAGTGAGCTCCAAATGCAACTCTGCATCGTTCTCTAGACCATGAGAACTAAACCTTAAGGGAAGAAACTGAGAGGCTAACAACAAGTAGTAGGAAATTACCTTCTTTTCACTCATATTTGGCACATAGAACGCAACGAGAAGAGATTGGAGAGCAGCACAACAACAACAATAGCCCAAAAGACGTAATCTGATTCAGAGAGAGATCCGAAACGAAAGAAGCATGAGAAATTTCAAAAGCGAAATCAAAAACTAGGGTTTGATGCACCAACAACCCTGGATGAGAGTCGTAGACTTGAGAAGACATGAAAGGGGTAGAGAGACGGAGGAAGAAGAAAGAGAGGATTTGTCTTCTCTGCAAATTCGAAATGGGTAATCATCCGAATTTGGAGGGTGCTAAGTAAGAGAGAGATAGAGAGAGACGGACCTTTCGGGGATTTTGAGAAAAAGAATTAGGGTTAGGTTTCCGCTTCTGTCTTTTGTCGGATAGTTTTGAGGAGGAGGACGGAGCTTAGCGCCGGTGTTTTGGATCTTCTTCGTCTCCTTTTTCGTCAAACGCGTCGTCGTATCTTTTACAATAAAAATCTCGGTTTGATTTTTATTTCACTTTGGTTTAATTCGGTTATTCGACAAAACCATCAAACACTTGTTGTTTACTCCAGTTTGGTCTGAACGGTTGACGATTTGGTGTGACTTCTAAAACCTCACGTGCCTATAATGGTTCCATGTCTCGGGTTCGAAGCTTGTCTGAACCTAGATTTTAATTTATCAAAACATTAGAGAGAGACCAAAAAGCCGACGATTAGTCCACCGTGTGACTTCACCGGTCCGTCATCCTCCTCCTCCGATTAGTTACTCTTCTTCTTCTCCCGTTTCTGATGTTGCTGATTTACAATTTCTATCAGGAAGATGGATTTAAGAGACTTTAGCTAATCAAAGGGCATGACTTTCCCAGATTTTCCGGCAAAAGTCGTCAAATGTGCAAGACTCATTTTCTCCACTGTTGTTGATAAGAGTCTGAAACAACAAGGTTAGTATTGGATTCCTCAATAATATAATATAATAAAGTATGTTGATTGGTTTCTTTCTTCGAATCCTGAGCTCTTATCACATAAAATTGATAAGCTTTTGACTTATTATTGAAAATCATGTAGGTCACGACGACGATGAGCTGCTGCTGATGTGAGAGACCTTTGTTTTTATTAGTCTACCAAACATTAAGAAATAAGAGAGAAAAATAGAGGAAGAAGAAGAAGGAGACAAAACAATGAGTGTGTCTTTGAGTGTGATGTCATTCAATCTTCACGATGATCAACCTGAAGAAAGCCCTAATTCATGGCTCAAAAGGAAGGATTTGTGTCTCACTGTCATCACCAGTTACTCCCCCATTGTTCTCTGTACCCAACAAGGTATTTAGCCACAACGGATCAATGCTTGTTAGATCTTGTTTCCTTCTTCGTATTGGTGATTCAATGCTAGTTAGATCTTGCTTCCTTCTTCATATTGGTGATCTGGGTTCTCCAAGAAGGCTTCTTTTTCCTGAATGCTGGAGATTGGTTCTTGTGCTTTTGCCTTTTGAAGTATTCAACAGAGATGTGATTTTCTTTTTGATCTTTTGTTATCATGTTTACATTGGTTAGGTGTGAAGTCTCAATTGGATTATCTTCAGCAGGGGTTGCCAGGTATAATTGAACTCTCTTGGATTTATGGAAGTCTAATTTCTGCATAAATGGTGTTTGAGTTAGGTGGAATTGAACTCTGTTTGTTTACAGCAGTGTATCAAATGATTTGATTTTTGCTTCTTCTTAAGTTCACAGACTAGTGTCAATCTTGTTATCAATCGTAGACCACTCTTCTTGTTCTCAATCTACTATGTAAATCTATTTGAGATCTAGATCAATTCTATTTTTAGTATATGTTGGTATTGCTTAAATTTTGACAGTCAATTTGTCGATCCGTATCCTTCTTTGCATCAAGTTCAAGTTAGTGTTTTAAGCTACAAAAAAACCAGAGTCTAGTGCACTTAATGCATCTGTTATATGGCAATGGTATGCATGATATTCCACATTTTCACGTGCTTTCTTTGAAATGATGGTGGCTTTGTTTATCTGGTTTTTGTTATTGCGAACGATGGAGCTAGCTTCTAGTTTCACAGGCCTTAATAATACTTCGGTTTGCATTGTTTCCTTGAACTTAAATAGATGGTAGTACTCTTTGCTTGCAGCCTATGATCAATTTGGCATATCAAGAAAAGGACCTGAGGATGCTAATGATGAACACTGCACCATCTTCTTCAACAAGGAAAAAGTATTAATTCGGTTGATAAAACAAAACAATAACACCTTCTTAATAATTAATTTCCCTACTTGACACTATACTTTATGCTAATTGAAGGTAGAGCTGCTAGAGGGTGGAACTTTTTGGCTGTCGGAGTCTCCCTCGGTCCCTGGAAGCACAGCATGGGGTTCCGCAGTTCCTTGTATAGCGACATGGGCCATATCCTGATTACTAGTTCGGTTCATTTTATCTAAACTGTAGTTAGATTAGTTTACGAGTTTGGTGTTTTTGTCCTATATATCAGTATTTTGGTTTTCTTTGACAAGCTGCCTACACATTCCAACTGAAAGGAGCGGAGCCACCGGGATTTTCGTTCCAGATAGTCAACACAAACTTGGATGAAATCAGCCCTCGTGCCCGTAGGCGAAGTGCTTTACTCACATGGCAACACATAGCATCATTACCTCCCACTTTGCCGGTTGTGTACTGTGGAGGATTCAACACACAGAAGGAATCAACAACAGGGCGATTTCTGTTGGGCAGATCTAGGTACCTTAATATCACATTCACAATTTTTCTTTTTACCAATCTTCTAGAGTTTTCTTTCAGGGCTCCTAGGTAATGCAATAATAGCTAAACTACTCTTCACACACTGATCAACTAGTTTCAAATTAAAGCATTTTTACTTATTTGACTGGTGATAAATGGGCGTTTGGGGTTTCATTCAACTTGCAGAGAGCACGGTGTGGTAGGGGACATGAGAGACGCATGGCCAAGTGCCCGAGTAAGAAAAAACGTCGCTCTCGTAAGAACATACCATGATTTTAAAGGTGTGAAACATTTCACCCTCTCATGAGCCATAAAATCATTTATCTCCAAAGCTTCTATATATCACAACATCTTGGGCCTTTGTTCAGGTGACAAGCAGGGAACTGTCGAGTTCTTGAAGCTGATATTCAGAGCGTTATGCCTATGCTGGGACCGACAGACACAAGATCTACATACGGATTGGATACTTTACAGAGGTAGATCTATAGTTCCTGTAATGTGCGAGATCGTAAATGATAAGATTGACGACTTGTATCCTTCATCTCACTACCCTGTGTTTGCTGAGTTTATGCTTCCTCGTTCTGTAAGAATGCTTGAACCTACTCCTCCTGTTTCTGCTCCTGCTCAAGCGGAAAGCTAGAACACATGTCCTCTCTTGCTTAAGGTTTGGACAATGCTGATTGTTGTTGTGCAAATGAGCTCTGTTTTTTCTCGGAGCCTTTATTTATTGGTTTGAGGCTTTGAGCTAAAACTTATTCAAAAGATATTTGAAGAAATTGTTTTGTTTTGCTCCTATTAGTTTGTGTTTTATTTGGTAGGAATTGGGGACAAAGATCCAAGACGAAGTGAAGCGATTTACCACCAACAAGATGCTGAAACATTTAGCTTAGTTAGTTAACTTTTAATTTAGGTTAGCGTTGTTACCGAACACAAGAACATCTAAAAATACCATCAAATGGGTAACTAATCTTTTGACTAATTTAACTCGTTATATTCAAGCGTCACACTTACACAACAAGCAAAACAAAACCTTTACTAAAACCTCTGAGAATGCTAAACTTTTATTTGTTTTTCAGCGATGAGAACGTTAAATAAGAACATCCATCAATTTTAAAACAAGTAAATCACTGAGAGCACAAAGATCACCAGCCTTCATCTTAAGAAGAATTGTTCTGTACCCACTCAACGAGTGTCGCAACTCCAAAACCAGTAGCAGCTTTCTTCTTCTCGTTCCACACTGGTCCAGCCATATCTATGTGCATCCACTCAACATTCTCGCTCACAAACTGCAACCATTAACCAAACCCGGTTCTTCGTTAGAGAACAATAGTGTCAGTATTGAAGTGTGTTTTTTTGTTTCCACTCTTATGATATCCTCACCTGTTTCAAGAAGAGAGCCGCGGTGATGGAATCACCTGCATGGCCTCCCAAGTTAACCATATCTGCCACACTTGACTTCATCATCTCCCAGTACCTCTCTTCCATAGGCATTCTCCATAACTTCTCGCCACTCCTCTCTGATGCAGCAATTACCTCCTTTGCAAGCTCATCACTAGCTGTATACATGCCTGCAGAAATCAAAATCCAAACCAATATTCAATCATCACGAAAGAATGTTATTCTGTCTATTATAAACATAAGACTATGTACCTGCCATTGATGGTCCAAGAGCAACAATAATAGCCCCAGTCAATGTTGCAAGGTCAACAATCTGCAAATATATATAATTCACAAGTTGAGAGAAAAACAAACAGAAAAAATGTATTAATAAGGGAAAGAATCTTTCAATCAATACCTTATCGACACCCTGGTTGCAAGCATAAACTAGAGCATCTGCAAGTGTTAGTCGACCTTCAGCATCGGTATTGTTGACCTGCAATACCGCCAACAATTTGTTTGGCGTAAAAATAACAACGGAAAGCTCAAATCTTTTGAAGCTGAATTCATATGGAAACAGTTACGATACCTCAATTGTCTTTCCGTTTGAGGCTGTGATGACATCTCCAGGTCTCATTCCGGTACCACTTATCATATTCTCACAAGCTGCGACAATAAAGTGCACCTGATTGTGCAAAGAGGCATTTGTTCAGGTATATTCACTTAACTCAGAAACTCAAGCTCCGTGTGATAAACTTACCTCAACACCGGGAGGCTTAATTTGACCAATGGCTTTTGCAGCGCCAAGAACAGCAGCTGAACCTCCCACATCGATTTTCATGAGCTCAATTATCAACTCAGGCCCAATCTTAATGTTGTAGCCACCGCTGTGAACAAAAACCAATAACCAATAAGTATAAAAAGAAAGAGACTGATGCGGCTAACAGATGACAACAGCTCTTGCGAGTACCTGTCAAATGTCAATCCTTTCCCAACAAGAGCAAGTTTGGTTTTAACAGGGCCACTCGAAGGTCTGTAGATAAGGTGGATGAAATGAGGTGGATTAGCTGAAGCAGCAGCTACAGCAAGATATGAACCCATCTTCAGCTCTTTGCATTGTTCCTCGTTCAAGATGTTTGCAGTCATGACATCACTGTACATGGAAGCCAGATTCGAGGCCTCCTCAGCTAGTACGGCTGTAAGATACAAAACAGAATAGAGACAAATGTTTGAAATAAACTTCAACATACAAGATGCTCACATTATAAAAAACATGAAAAGTCTAGACTATGATGCTCAAGAAACAATCGATACCAGGGGTGAGAACATTGGCTGGAGAATTAACAAGTTCTTTCCCGAAAATTACGCCATTAGAAACATGTTCAGCATACTTAAGCTTCTTCTCTAGTTCAGGTCCAGTGCCAAAGCCAATGATATCCACAGTTTTGAGAGATGGTTTCTTTGACTCAGACTTATACCGACTGTCTTCAAACAAACCAAGCACTGTGCCTGTCAAAAGTAAACAACGATTCCAGAAAAAGATCAGTTCCAAAATGGTAATGAAACAAGCCATTCTCAAGTTTTACTAGAAGAAATCACAACCTGAAGCTATAGCTGAAGCAGAACTGAGCTTGGATTCATCAGAAACACTCTCAGAGGAGGCGAGAACAACGGCAACACTGGTAGCTTGAGAAGCTTTAGCAGCTGCAGCCACAGCCTCACCAAGACTTTGAAAAGCCGAAGGAGATGAAGCAGATTTTCCTAAACCAATCAAACCGACCCGCTTTGACCCGAGACCTGGAAGCCTAAGAACTGTAGACTGGCCAGGTTTCCCGGAAAAATCTTCCTCAGACGATACATCAGCTAGAAGTCCACCCAAGTGAGCATCAAGCTTCTTCAGTATCGGGTTTTCGAACTTGGAGTTGGCATCCTTAGTCATATCTTTCTCCGTCACTCCAACCGCGAGTATATCACCTTTCCATTCCGTCACGTCGATCTCCTTCCCGGAAAATGAGATCTGATACAACAAATTCGGCTAATCAGAATCCAGTTAACCACAAAAATTCAAACTCGAAAGCTAATATCTGACTATGCTTTACCATAATCGAATCTATGACTATACTTGACCACAATCCGATAAAACAACACATTGCAAATCAGTGGATCAGGAACAAACCTTAGGATGATCAACGGAGTTAGCCTGAGTGAGGCCGAGAGTAGCGTGTGCGATTGTATGAGACATGGCTTTAGAAGAACAGTAGAGAGGCGTAACCGCGAAAGCGACTTTAAGGCGAGACGGCGACTGGAATCGAACGAAACAAGAGGAGAGAGACGACGGAGAAGAGGAGAAGGAGCGGAAATGGAAGCGAGAAGAAGAAGAAGAAGAAGAAGAAGAAGCAAAGGACGTTACCAAAGTGACCGCCATTTGAGAAGTGTACTGAGTTTCTTTATATTTATTTATAAGGAGAAGAATAGAGGCGGGGATGCAGATATATATTTAGCATGGAGCATTGTTATAACTAATAACTAAATTAAAAGTTATCTCTAAGAAAATTAAAAGTCACACCCAGTCGCGTCCGCCCGCCGGACTCTGCTTATTCTCACTTGTTGACGATGATTATTCTTTTACTTGACTCAAGACTTTTTTCAAATTTTATTGTGATCATGATTCACTATTACAAAACTTATCTTGATAATATATCTGAAATACTTAATTTGCCACTGTTAAGTTGTTGTTTATACAAAACATAGTTTTGATACTATTTATAGAAATTCAAATATTTGAAGGCATTCTTACACGATTTAACTTGTCATACTTAGGTGCACAAAAAAAAAAACTTTTCAGACTTCACACAAGCAATAAAAAAAACCTTTATTAAAACCTCTGATATGTCAAACTTATATTTGTTTTGCAGCGATGAGAATGGAAAATAAGAACATCCATCAAATTTAAAACAAGTGAATCATATCACTCACAATGATCACCACGCTTCATCTTAAGAAGAAGAATTGTTCTGTACCCACTCAACGAGAGTCGCAACTCCAAAACCAGTCGCAGCTTTCTTCTTCTCGTTCCACACTGGTCCAGCCATATCTATGTGCATCCACTCAACCTTCTCACTCACAAACTGCAACCATCAACCAAACCTGGTTCTTCGTTAGAGAACAATATTGTCAGTATTGAAGTATGTTTTTTATTTCCACTCTTATGATATCGTCACCTGTTTCAAGAAGAGAGCCGCGGTGATCGATCCACCTGCACGGCCTCCCGTGTTAACCATATCTGCCACACCTGACTTCATCATCTCCCAGTAACTCTCTTCCATCGGCATTCTCCATAACTTCTCTCCACTCCTCTCTGATGCAGCAATCACCTCCTTTGCAAGCTTATCACTAGGTGTATATATGCCTGCAGAAAACAAAAATCCAAACCGATATTCAATCATCACAAAAGAATGTTATTCTGTCTATTTTAAACACAAGACTTGTACCTGCCATTGATGTTCCAAGAGCAATAATACAAGCCCCAGTCAATGTTGCAAGGTCAACAACCTGCAAATATATTTAATTCACAAGTTGAGTGAAAAACAAACAGAAAGAATGTATTGATAAGTCGAAGAATCTTTCAAACAATACCTTATCGACACCCTGGTTGCAAGCATAGACTAGAGCATCTGCAAGTGTTAGTCGACCTTCAGCATCGGTGTTGTTGACCTGCAATACCGCCAACAATTAGTTTGGCGTAAAACTAACAATGGAAAGCTCTGAACCTTTTGAAGCTGAATTCATATGGAAAAGGTGTTATGATACCTCAATTGTCTTTCCGTTTGAGGCTGTGATGACATCTCCAGGTCTCATTCCGGTACCACTTATCATATTCTCACAAGCTGCGACAATAAAGTGCACCTGATTGTGCAAAGAAGCATTTGTTTAGGAACACTCACTTCACTAAGAAACTCAAGCTCCGGGTGATAAACTTACCTCAACACCTGGAGGCTTAATTTGACCAATGGCTTTTGCAGCGCCAAGAACAGCAGCTGAACCTCCCATATCGAATTTCATGAGCTCAATTAAGCAGCCAGGCCCGGTCTTAATGTTGTAGCCACCGCTGCAAACAAAAACCGTATGGTCAATAACCAATAAGTATTAAAAGAAAGAGATTGATGCGGCAAACAGATGCCAACTGCTCTTGTACCTGTCAAATGTCAATCCTTTCCCAACAAGAGCAAGTTTGGTTTTAACAGGGCCACTCGAAGGTCTGTAGATAAGGTGGATGAAATGAGGTGGATTAGCTGAAGCAGCAGCTACAGCAAGATATGAACCCATCTTCAGCTCTTTGCATTGTTCCTCGTTCAAGATGTTTGCAGTCATGACATCACTGTACATGGAAGCCAGATTCGAGGCCTCCTCAGCTAGTACGGCTGTAAGATAGGAAGCAGATTAGAGACAAATGTTTGAAATAAACTTCAATAGACATGATGCTCACATTATAAAAATCATGAAAAGTTTAAGGCAATGATGCTCAAGAAACAATCCATACCAGGGGTGAGAACATTGGCTGGAGAATTAACAAGTTCTTTCCCGAAAATTACGCCATAAGAAACATGTTCAGCATACTTAAGCTTCTTCTCTAGTTCAGGTCCAGTGCCAAAGCCAATGATATCTACAGATTTGAGAGATGGTTTCTTTGACTCAGACTTATACCGGCTGTCTTCAAACAAACCAAGCACTGTGCCTGTCAAAAAGTAAACAACGATTCCACACAAAGATCAGTTCCAAAAAGGTAATGAAACAAGCCCTTCTCAAGTTTTAATGGAAGAAATCACAACAACAACAACAAAACAAACACCTGAAGCTATAGCTGAAGCAGAACTGAGCTTGGATTCATCAGAAACACTCTCTGAGGAGGCGAGAACAACTGCAACACTGGTAGCTTGAGAAGCTTTAGCAGCTGCAGCAACAGCCTCACCGAGACTCTGAAAAGCGGAAGGAGATGAAGCAGATTTTCCTAGACCAATCAAACCGACCCGCTTTGACCCGAGACCCGGAAGCCTAAGAACTGTTGACTGGCCAGGTTTCCCGGAAAAATCTTCCTCAGAAGAGACATCAGCTAGAAGTCCACCCAAGTGAGCATCGAGCTTCTTCAATATGGGGTTTTCGAACTTGGAGTTCACATCCTTAGCCATATCTTTCTCCGTGACTCCAACCGCGAGTATATCACCTTTCCATTCAGTCACGTCGATCTCCTTCCCGGAAAATGAGATCTGACACAGCAAATTCGACAAATCAGAATCCAGTTAACCACAAAAATTCAAACTCTGACTATGATTGAGCATAATCGAATCTTATAAAACAACGCATTGAAGTAAGCAAATCAGTGGATCATCAACAAAGCAGTCACTAGAATCGAGTTTAAACACATAACAGCGAAATAGAATGATGCCATAAGGGGATCAGGAAGAAACCTTAGGATGATCGACGGAGTTGGCCTGAGTGAGACCGAGAGTAGCGTGTGCGATTGTATGAGCCATGGCTCTAGAAGAAGAGTAGAGAGGCGTGACGGCGAAAGCGACTCTAAGGCGAGACGGCAACTGGAATCGGACGAAACAAGAGGAGAGAGACGAAGGAGAAGAGGAGAAGGAGCGGAAATGGAAGCGAGAAGAAGAAGAAGCGAAGGACGTTACCAAAGTCACGGCCATTTGAGAAACCCACTGAGCTTCTCTTATTTATAAGGAGAAGAAGCCGCCTTCTCCTCTTGTGCTTATCTCTCTCTCTCTTGTTGCCGATGATTATTCTTTTACTTGACTCACTATTTTTGCTACTATCCGACCCGACCGTTTTCCAGCCTGTATCCGACCCGCCCGAGCTTAACCATGGACTTACTACTTACGTACTCGTTTAGCTTTTTAATTCTTTTCAAATGTGTTAATGTGATGAAGATTCATGAAATATGCTTTGGATTAGGAAAACTGCGGTAAAATCTACATAATGAATATTTCCAAAAGAAAATCTAGACGAGATTATTGATGTACAATAATACTTAATTTGCCACTGTTATTTTTTTGGCTCCAAATTGATATTTTTAAAGTTCTTTATGCATGTTCATACAAAAAATAGTTTAGATACTGCTCAAATTTCAAATATTTAAAGGAACCTTACACGATTTTCCGAATTGATAAAAGAAATTTTTAAACAGTTTCAAGTACATTATCAATTCTGTGAATCATTTGTGGATGAGAAACTGGCTGCCATAGTTGCAATAAGAATCACCTGAGCTAAGAGTCATAGTGGAACAAATCGAGATTTTGAATGTTATGTGACTAACAGTTATTACCAATTTACCACCCAGTGTCATATCTGTGACTGAGACTTGCATGAAGAGGAAGCAAATAAAACCATAACTAGACCACAGTAGTACAGTACAAACTACAAAGCATAGAGAAGATAAGGAGAGAGATGTTTCCGCAAATCTTTATTTCTGAAAAAGAAGCAACAAACAGCTCCCAAAAGCCTGAGCCAGTTTAAATACAAATGAAGAGCAAAATCAAACAGCGAGGAGAAACAAGACAGTGAAAGGCAAATCACATTTCATATCTCAGGAGCCTAGTTAATTACCACTAACTACCAAGAAGGCATTTTCATCCTTTCAACGACTTTTCAATCTAGTTCTTACTCTTACTGAACAGCAAGTGATGGATAAACTTACTTCAAATGTTTCGGCATCAGCAAAAAAGAAAGAAGCAAAATTTATCTCTAAGCAACTAGCTCAGCCTTCGATTGTTCTGTAACACCTTCCTTGGAAGGCTTAGAGATGATCTTTGGTTCTGGTTTTTCAATTCCTTGTATATCGGTTATTCTCAACTTCGTCAATTCCTGGACATAAGTGTTGAATGGTCAAAATCAACAATCATAACACAGAGGAAAGAACTAGAAGAAGGCAAAGATGAAACATACACACTGTCTAAACAAGAGAGTTATAAAGTATACCTGTCGATGTCCTCTCGTTCTCCTATAATTCTTTCTTCGTTTCTTTTTGAAAATGAGCACTTTTTCATCCAACGCCTGTCACTCATCAAGGAAAAACTAGTTAAGAATGCTGGTACATGAGTAAATCCTTCTACATTCGAAGCCCATTTTAAAACAAGCCATTCAGATGATGTTGAGATAGATGAACACTAATCTAATAACTTGTTGTCCATAAATATTCTGTAAGACTTTCACATTCTGATCAGCAGATGGTTTGAGATAGTTTCTCTCCGTCATCGGATTTCAGTAAGTAAACTCTCATCTATCCTCTTTTCAATTGTAAATTTTTCTTAAGCACAGCTTCACTAGTATTAGAAAACCCCAAGCAAGTCAATGAGACACTTACATGCTCTTCAACTACAGCATGAACAGTCGCATCTGGCAAGATAGGCCTACCAATAATTGTCTGGCTTGCTGAGCCCAATAGAAGAACCTTGGTCAGTTCCAACTGCAAAGGGACATAACGAGAAAAGCTTTAGCAACAATCATAAATCCTAAACACAAATGCAAAGGTTCTTCCTTCTTATGAGAGATACAGTAAAGTCTAGCACTTTGGAGAGAAGAATAGCAAAGATTCATGAAGAAGAGCTTGAAGCTAGCATACCTTATCATTTATGTCACAGAATTTCAACTTCTCTGTGAAAATGGAGTCCCCATTGCTTACTTTAAACTGATGCGAACCAATCTACAGGATAACAATAAACATTCAACATCAGTGAGAGTGTGAAATGAAACTAAAGGATTTATTGAGAGATCACAGAGACGAAACCTGAACAATGGCAAACACTGGTTCATAGGGTTTGAAAAGTCTCTCCGAAGGTTTGAGTGGACCCATCACCTTGTACCCTATCTCAGCCGCCTCCTCCACTTTCTCCGCCGGTGAATATTCCCTTTCTACTTCCATCTCCGCCGAATCCTCAAAGTCCTCCCCCTCCTCATCATCATCATCATCCTCTCCTTCACTGCTTTCTTCATCTTCATCAGTATCTTTTGTATTCGAAGAGAAACAACGATCTTGAGAGCGATACCAAAGACTGTACCACGGCAAATTCCTAGTGAGAGATCGATTCGGAATTACAGTCCCATGAGAAATGCTGGTCCCGGAAAGCTCGATCCCAGGAAATGAAGAGATCGATCGCGTCTGGATGATGGAGTAAACCGTCGTAGCGCGGCGGCTCAGCTCACGAAAGCATCGAAGGCTCGCCATCGGAGAGCACGAACACACTAGGGTTTACACAGAGTAGAGAGTTTGGGTTTTTGTTCTGGTCTTTTAGTCCCTTTCAGGTTTCAGAAGACCCTCTAGCCGAACCAGAGTCATATATCCACCAAAATTAGCGATTTATTTATCAAAATTAACATATACCATTAGGTCCATTACACAGACAAAAGTTAACGTATTTAGTTGGTAATCTTCATGGGTTTTTTTTATTATTATATAACATGAAGGAGGCGAAAATTGAGTCGAAGAACTCTCTAAACTCATAAATTACATATAATCAGCATTGCTTGATTTCGAATCCAATGCTCAACAAAGTCCTAGCTGATTCCATCACTTTCTCGCCACCAACATCCAATGCTTCACTGCCCTGCTTCTCACTTTCTCGTCCCAACGAGCACTGGCTTGAAGTGGGAATGTTCACCTGATCGTCTGGCCTGGTTCTCATTGATGTTGGAGCGGCTGCAGCTACGAGCATTGAGCTTGGAGGACCATGGCGTTTCTTAGGCACCGGCATGTCGTGGTTGTGTACTCCTTTGTATGTGATTATTACTGCTGTTGTGTTCTCTACTGCTGTCTCAATGTGTTTACGAACTGGACATCCCGCTGAAGTACATCGGTAGTAGTTCCTGGATGTTTGGAACAGAACAAATCAATAACCATGCGTATAAGTTGTCATATGTGTATAAAGAGATGGGTAATGAGTTTAGTTTCTAGACCTTGGATGAGGATTTCCTTTCACCATTTTCTGCCCGTATTTACGCCACCTATATCCATCACCACAGATCCCAATATCACCAGCTGCGTGTACTACGAATTTATTTTTCTTTCCAGGTTTGGAGACAGAATCTGAACTTTGTGAATTATCCTTTTTCAGTCTGAAACACAGACAAAGAGAAAAGCGAGAGAGAAGAAAGTCTATTAGTTTCATCTTTCGAAGTGAAGAGTAAGCACGGAAATCCAAAATTCTACAAACTTGCCTTCGTTTTGGCTCTGGTTCCTCCACAGCTTCGTTCTCACAGTTCCTCTTCCGTTCAACGATTGTTTGCAACTCACAGATGTTTTCTTTAGTAGAAGCAGACGGATCTGAACCGCTAGGGACAATTGTTAGGTCTTCTACTACTGTATCATCCTCTGAAACAGGCCGGACAGCTGTTGTAACTCTAATCTCTCTCGGGGAGAAGCTATTCTTCCGGGGAGGTTCATGACTATGCAAACCTTTGTTAACAATCTCTACCACATTGCCTGAATCATTGGAGCATTCAATTTTCTTAGCACAACATTCGGTATACGTACACCTGTAGTAGCTTCGTGAGCCCTTGGGACTCTTAACCTGCTTCTGTCCATATTTTCTCCAATTGTAACCATCACGAGCCGGTGTCCTAGAAACAGGAGTAACCGACAATCTGTTGTCCACCCGAGAATCTGATCTTTGCTCTTGTTTAGTTGGAACTGAAACCAGTGATAAATCTTGTGCAGCTGAAGCAGTTGCAGGAACCGAAGAAGATAGAGATGGATTCACTGTTAATGAATCTGTTGATGCAGCCAAAAAGGGAGATGTTTCTACCTCTCGGTTTTCTTCCACTTCATCAACCGGTACAATCGCACTTACGACAATTTCCTTGACGCTATCAGTCTCCTGCCAATGTGATACAAAAAGAAGTTAAATGTCATGCCTTGAAAACAGTGATTCTTGTGCTCAAAATAACCTAATAAATCAGACACACTTAAATGTAACAGATCAAACTAATACAGATAACTATTAGTCCTCTTCCCATTGTACTCGTATACAGATTGATCTTGGCCAATTATGATTACTCCTAATCCACATGAAATTGTATGATCACTAAACGAGTAACATCGAGAACACTGAAGTGAATTTTTTATTTCAAAACGTCAAGTTTTATGATTTCTAGCACAATCAATGTCGATGAGGGAATCAAAGAAGAAGAGTCACGAGCAAATTCACCTTCACTTCTCCTACATCTTCACCATTTGGTTCCTCAGACGAATTTTCTCGAACACCTAGTAAACAGAAACATCATTTCGTCAAAAATTAAACTCCCGAATTAAAAATAAAATAAATTTTGCGGAAAATAAACCGTTACCTTGAACCTGATCCTTGCCTAGGGTTTCTGGCACAGCCTCATCATGTAAATCTTCCATACACGCACCAAGTGATTCCTCCTCGTCTCTGAGTTGACTCAGTCCATTATCCAGCTCCTTCTCCGGCTCCACTTTCTCGCTCATCTCCACCGTGCATACCTTAGCAGCTTCGTCGATACCAGTGTCTTCCATGGACGATTCTCTTTGTCGTTTTTTCTCTATCTCGTGGGTTTTGTCGGAAGAGAGTAAAAGAAAGAAACGAACAAATTCTCTAGGCAAACTAAAAGGTAGCCGCTTTCCGACCGACTGATCTCCGGAATAAAACGCTGCGTTTTTGGTCGCTTATGCCTTCTCTGCTTTAAAAGTAAAAGATACCAAAAGAGAAAGAGAGAGAAGGGGCATTAATGTCTTTCAGTCTTTGTTTGACTGTAGAAGATAGTCTCTTTTTAACTTTAACAAACTCCGTTTATTTCTCCGTTGCGTCACGTCAAATCATTGACGTGTTCCGTTTAGTTTACTATGTAAATTTTTATCTAATTATTGTATGATTAGATTCTAAATGTGCCTCGAATGCACCTGAGGGAATCTAATCTATCTAGGATGTTTGTTTGTTTATCATGTGATGTGGAGTTAAATAGCATAATAAATATGGTCAATGATTTACGATTTTGAGATATCAAAGGTACATTTGTTGTTGTGTTGATTCATCTAGTTTTAAAACATGACTGACCCCAAAAAGATTAGTACAGTTGGGTAAATTACTTACTTTGTAGAGGAAACAACTGCAAGAAAAGTGGAGTTTGTTTCGCGTTCTTCCAAAAAAGTGACTGAAAGAGGAAAAACAAATTTGTACTTTATGTGTGATAAGTGAAATCATTCAGCACGAAAATAGCAAAATATCCCAATGAAAGAAAAAAAAAACGTTGTTGTTTGTATTCTTCATTTTCTTCAGGGCTTCTTCTATGGCCCAAATATTCTCATTTCAGCCAAAAAAAAGAAAAAAAGGATCAGTTAATGGGCTGATATAGAGCTGTCAATTGGTCTTGACCATGACCAAATGATCTTGTCCAGTTGGACACTTTTTTTTTGTTGAAAAAAATGACCAAGCCCAAAAGTGACCAAGCCCAAAAGTGACCAAGTCCAAAAATGACCATGACCAAATAAATATGTCCATGGACAGAGAAAAACAGTTTAACATCACAATAATCCAAAATGACTAAGACCAACATTGTAATTAGAGACATCATAAAAACAGTTTAACAAAACAATAATCCAAAAAGTTTAACATGACCAATTGCAACAATCTTAAGCTTCTTAATTCTCCTCTTCTTTCTCCTCTTCGTCCTCCTCTGGATCTGCAATTACAACCATTAAATCAAAGATTCAGTCAATTTAATAAACTGATTACTCCTTTTGATAGAATCTGAAGAGAAAGAAGCAAGAACCTGTTTGATTTAAAACAAAAAAAAAACACAAATCAACGTACTAAAAATTAGAGCTACAGAAGCTAAAAATTCTGAGACTAGAGCTACACAAGGTAGAGAACGTCATGCTTGATAAGACTCTATAATTAAACACAAGAGCTGAGCAAGAGCAACAGAGTAATTATAAACACAAATCAACACAAACCCATAAACACAAATCAACGTACATACGCATAAACACAAATCAACGTACATACCCATAAACACAAATCAACACAAACCCATAAACACAGTTACACAAATCGTGAATCAACACAAACCCAGAAAAGTTTTTCAAAAAACCAACTTAGAGAAGAGAAGAAGAGACGAAGGAACCCACCAAGCCTCAAATCCGAGATCGTCTCTGAGATCGTCTAAAATCGAGAGAGAGAGAAAGAAATTTGAGAAATGAGATTTTGATTGCAGATCTAATTTTCCCCCAAATATTCATAACCCTAATTTTTAATGATTGTTGGACAGCCCATGTCCAAATAAGTTCGGACCATTTACGTACGGGCCTAATTGGTTTTTAGTCCATATTAACCATTTTCATTTTGGGCTTGACCAAAATAAGACCATTTTTATTTGGACCGGTCTAGTCCATGGTCCCAAAGCCCATTTGACAGCTCTAGGCTGATATCTAGATAGGCTTCGGGAACGTTCTCACGGACCAAGTTATAATAGCTTTGAATTACACGAAATCTCGACCGTTGGATAGTCGACAATATCTAAAAGCATCCGACGGTTATAACATGCTCTAGTAGGTCCCACCATGTTCCAGTTGGGTTTCTTATGTTTTAAATGCCCTGAGCAACGGAAAAATCAAAAATGTCCGAGCAAGACAGATCCTTGTTTCTTCAGGGAATCTCAGTTTTTTTTTTTGGACTACAGAGTCCAGATCATCGAATTCAATTTGATTAATCATTAATCAGATTTCATTTTCTTATCCTTTCCCGGGATTCAGTGTCTTCGAATCCGATCGAATTTCGGAAGAAAATTTTCCCGGAAATTTGATTCCAGCTTTCCCGGGAAAATTTCTTGCTCAATTCGCTTCCTTTCATCGATTTCACCTATATTTCAGAAATCAAAGATAATGGGTTTATCAAATGACAGGATCAGATTCAACGTTGGTGGTAGAATCTTCGAAACGACGGCGACGACGCTCGCTAACGCAGGTCGCGGTTCTTTCTTCGGAGCATTATTCGACGAAAATTGGAATCTTTCGCAACCCGACGATCTCTTCATCGATCGGAATCCTGATTGCTTCGCCGTTCTTCTCGATCTTCTCCGAACAGGAGACCTCAACATCCCACCTAATATTCCAGAGCGTCTCCTTCACAAAGAAGCAATGTTCTACGGCTTAATCGACCACTTACGAACCGCAAAGTGGGGACCTTTCGACGGTAACAGACTCCACCTCTCTCGTTCCGTCACCGGCATAGCTCCCGGAGACGGAACGGCGATAAGAGCTGGTCCAGATGGTGGATGCTGCGTAGCTCATGGCAGCGTCGTCCATGTGTTTGATTGGATGCTTGAGGAGCACCCAACGATTAATCTTGATTACCAGAGAGTGAACGATGTGGGTTGGATTGATTCTGGTAACATTGTACTCTCTGCTTGTGAGAGATTAGGAAGAGGAGATGGAGGAATGGGATTGTTTAGCTCATCTTCTGGTGAGCTTAGGTATAAGTTTCAGGTGAGTCATGATAATCAGATTAAGAGTTATAGTGCTGGAGCTTTGAGTTTTAGTCCTGATTCTAAGATCTTTACGAGCTGCAAAGGAAGAAGCAATGAGTATGGAATTGGAGTTTGGGATCAAATTACTGGAAAGCAACTAGATTTCTTTTACGAGAGTCCTGGTTGGTCTTTAGGAGATGCTGATAAGCTGCAATGGTTGAGTGGTAAGAATTGTCTTCTTGTAGCTACTTTGTTTCCAAGGAAAGATAATTGTTATATTAGCTTGTTGGATTTCCGGGACAAGAACATGGTCTGGTCTTGGTCTGATATCGGGTTTCTTGCAACGGCGGAGGAGAAGAGAGTGAGAGATGCGATAGCCATGGAAGAGAGCAATTCGATATGTGTGGTGAATGAGTTTGAGGATCTAGGTTTTATTGATCTGAGAATGGATGGAGGAGGGAGTAGTGTGAGGTGGAGTTCTAGGAGCAGGTTGATGAAAAGCAAGATGCCTGATGAGCCTTGTTACCCTAAACTTGCTTTGCACGAAGGCCAGCTCTTCTCTTCTATGAATGATTCCATCTCTGTGTTTTGTGGATCAGACTGGGTTTTGACTTCTAGGTTGAAAAGAAGCTATGGTGGCTCCATCTGTGATTTCTCCATTGGTGGGGATCGGTTGTTTGCGTTGCACAGTGAGGAGAATGTGTTTGATGTGTGGGAGACTCTGCCTCCTCCCATCATCTGATTTCACATTTTGCAAATCTTGCCTTAGTCTGGTCTGTTTCTGTTGCTTCTGGTTTGCTTCTTTTGTTTATGTTTTAGGGTTGTTAGAAAAACTATAGGATGAGAGAAATAGCAATAGTCAATAGAATATAAACATAGAGAACATGATCATAGAGTTTTGTTAGAATTGATATTGATACGATTTTAAGTTTCCAGTTTCAGGTTGTGTTCTGTTTTGTCCTTACATGACTCTTTCTCAATGTAAGAAATTAATCCTCTTTTGACCTTTAGCTTTTAAGCTGCTTTCATGGTGGTGTGAACTGTGACCGGTCTCAGATTTCTAGGGTTTTGGGATTTCGCTCCCTCGGTTTGGACATGTGAGTGTCTTTTCGCTCCCTCGGTTTGGACATGTGAGTGTCTTTTGTTGGACAGTGCATGACTTTGTCTTTCCACTTTCCGTAAAGATGTCCCAAGAATTTTGCTTTAGCTTTCTATTCTCACTTTTTCTTTTGGCTTTTTTTCCATGACACTTTCGGAAATATTGCAGACAAAGTAAGTAGATGATGTATATATCTTCAAAGATTCTCATCTACTAAGTTTTCATCACACTACAGTACATTGCAAACTATATAGACTGTTTAATCTTCTTATAGCTAAGAAACTGATAAAAGAATTGCAATTGCTGAGATAATTTGACCAGTTTCTCTCTTCTGATAAGATTGGAAAGAAATAACAGTATAAAGCGTTGGTGAAGTGTTAGAGAAGCTTATCGCGTGAAAAGCTAACATATAACATCGGCGACTGCAAAAAGATATTGAGATTTCAAAAGACCAGTTTGAGACCATGGCGAATCAGGCTGTGTAGTTAGGCATTGCTTTCTTGAGGAAGGTTATTGGCTGAGATTCTTCAGGGGCTAACCGGTCAAAAGGAATATAGTTCTCCTCTTTGTCATAGACATGACACACAGTCATTATCGTCTTCATCAAGCGCCAGTTCCATGTAGCCAAGTTTGTATACTGCAACAACACCCCAAAAGAAGTATCCCAGGAAACTTTTAGTGTCTTCTTAACTTCCCAAAGGAACACTTTTCTGTTGTGGTTCAAATTACTGTCATGTTATTCACAACAAATTAACGGGATAAGAAAGTGTTTAGTACCTTTCCCCAGTTCTCTTGTATAGACTCGTGAGCTGCACGGAGATTGTAGCTTGGTATTCTTGGGCTAATATGATGCGGGATGTGAACGTTGATATCATGGCAGAGAATTTCAATCCTGTCACAACACAGAAACATTAGTACATATGAAACCAAACAGGAGCTCTCAGCAACTTAACCATCTGAGCAAGTGGGATGCATTACCAACTAGGGTAATCACAATGAACAGTTCCATTCAGCTGGGCCTGAGCCGCGTTCCACTCATCCGCAGGCTTGAAAGGAATGTGTGGAGCCGTATGATGAACCATTGTGAATGTGCTCATCTATAGAGAAACAATAGTGCGTAACCAACTTGGTTTTGGTTGCTATATCGAAAAAGAGGGAATAGAGAAAAGCATAAGATAGAAGCATTTACCCAGAAGTGATAGCCCAACCACGGCATTAACCAGAATTTTACCCATCCCAATAAACCAACTTTGTATACGATCAGTGGCCACCCAACGGCCATGAAGGCGAAAACACAAGCCAAACTTATCTTCACCCTATTCACCTCGCTCGCTCTGAACTTTTTCAGATTGAAGTGCCAGTTCACCCTATTAGAACGCTTACTATCGTTGAGTAAACAGGTATACAGAGAAGAGAAAAAAAAAAGAAATGGAACAAATTGATCACTGTGTAAGAGTTAGTCTATATATACCAGTGAGCTATGGACAACCAAGGTCTAATTGGGCCATATCCAAAAATGATTGCCTTTCGCAGCACGGGTGATGAATCAAACTCCTCTGGTGGAACTGGCTGCCAAGCTGTGTCATGAACTAACCTACAGAGAGCAAAGCGGAATCATGAGTTCCTATCTCTCATTCTATTGTGGATATCTTTAACAGTCTAAGAAAGACTTACATGTTGGTTTTGGCGTGATGACGGTCGTGCTTAAACCGCCATGGCTCATATGGGTAGACAAGTGGTAGGAAGGCGAGAGTACCCACAATGTCTTCCACCAATTTGTTCTTTGAAAATGACTTATGTGCACAATCATGACCTATCACAAAGAACTAAGAAAGAAAAATCCAGTTAGACAACAGTAACAAGCAAACACAGAGAAGAGAGACAGTGGAGGAGAGCTTACCCCGGTAATTGCAGTTCCTGTCCATGCCCAAGCCAACGGTAGCAGATACCACGGCGATTTTGCAATCATGAAGAGCCCCAAAGTATATGAAGTCACAGATATCAACACAGACTTCCAAGCTTTGAGATCATCAATCTCGAACACCTGAAAAGAATTGTATTCCAAAGAACGAGTAAGGCGAAGAAGTTCCATGGCAATCACACATAAGGCTTATTGAAAATGCCATACCTCTTTGGGAAGTGTATCCATGATATCTTTTAAAGTGACATTATCAGGAAGATCTTCTCCAATTTGTTTGAATCCATAGCTTTCTGCTAATTGTTCCCTATCTTCTGCACTGTCAGCTGAAGGCGGTGCGACTGGAACCGCCACCGCTTTGATACATCCAATCCTCCTTTTGACAGGAGCTACACATCTTCTACTTCGACGGGTGCTTCCTTTTAAAAGAAGATCAATCGGCCTCACAGCATATATACCTGTAAGCATCCACCAACAAAAACAAAATAGAATGATTCATTCACTACATTAGGCACAAGAACTAACTGCATTCATCATAATTGCAATCCAAAGAACACAAACAAACCCCTGTAACAAAGACAAGAACTTTGCAGAGCATAAAACATATATAAACCCCGAAAAAAATTCACTCTTTATATTGCCTATCATTGATTACATCTATTGAAACTCCATAATAAGCGTACACAAGTATACTCGAAGCTCCCATTTCCAAATCCCATGTAATAAGTTTGAGAAAAAAAAGAGGGGTTTTGAGGAGAAAGAAAGAGTACCAGGAGAAACACGAGCAGAAGAAGCTGCAAGCTTAGGACCCCTAGGAAGACATTGTTGTGGGCCCTGAGAAACCAATAGCAAAGAAACAAATTCATTATGGGAAACTCATCAACTAGCAGAGATGGGCAATAGAGAAGTTGGAAAAATGAAGCCTTTTGATTTTGGCTAAGGAAATTGAAAAAAAGAGTACCGTGAAGGCGAAGAGAGAATCAGCAATTCTGGAAGCCATTGGACAGGACGGAGAAAATGCAGAAGAAGCGACCCCCGAGAGTTTCTCCAACAATATGATTTATGAGATTGAATGGCTGTGAAGAGCCCTCACCTCTTCAAACTTCTTGAGAAAATTGGACTTCCACAATTTTAAGTTGGGTTTTTGTTTTGTTTTGTTTTTCAGAAACTAAAATTCTGCATACTCGAAAATCGAAATAACGATTAATAATTTAATATCGAATATCCCTTTTTTTTTGTATATCCGAAGAGAAATAAAACAAATGGTTATAAAAAATACAAATGGTTAAGTAGTCTTATTATTGTCTTTGTTATAGGGTTTTCAATTTCAATGGTTAAGTACTATTGCAAAAATACTATTTGACACCAAAAAATAAAAAGGTATAGATATTTTTCTGTTAAAGATAATTAACATTTTTAAACGCTAAAATCTATACATTAAAAATGAAATTTTTTAAAATCAAATCTAAATATAACATATGTCCTCATATAAACCTAATTTTAGGTCCTTCATTAAAAAAAATACAAAAACAAACTAATTTCAGGTAGGCAAGTGGGAAAAAAACTGATTTTTTTGGTTAAATTTTCATTCTAAAAAAATCAAAAAATAAAAAACATTAGTATAGATGACAATGATTTTTAAAAAAAAATCAGAATTGGAGTCTATGTATATTAATTTATTTTTTTTGGAGTCTATGTCTATTAAATTTAGCTTGTTCACAAATACAATTGTTTTTTTAATGAAAGTTCTACTATATAAGTTCAGTTTCGAGTTCGCGATTTTTTAGTCGCTCTCTTTTGGAAAAATCATTGCCAGCTACACGAATTATACGCCAACACATCACCACACATGCAAACTATTTTAATGTCTCGCTAACTACACGAACTATTGGTATTACATACGGACATCCCCGAACTATCATCGGTTATGTGTGCAACACCATAACCATCATTTTCAGATAATATAAATGTCTTGTTAACTACACGAAGTATTTCTTTTTTTTGTCAACTACACGAAGTATTTTCCATCAAATTTTTTTTAAAAAAGTAATTAAAAAATAAAAAATAACTAAAAAGTAAATATTACACTATTATAAATTATATATATATATATTATAACTTTTAATGCATTATAATTTTAAGTTAAATTAATTTAACTAATTTAATATTTATTATATTAAATTGTTAAAAATTTAAAATAGTCACTTAGTTAAATTATACATCACTATAAGTTAAATAAAACTATATAATATATCAATGTAAATTATATATACCATAACCATCATTTCCAGATAATATAAATGTATTTTTAACTACACGAAATATTTCCATCATTTTTTTAAAACTAAATTACAAAATGAAAAAATAACTAAAAGTAAATAATACACTATTGTTAATTATATATATGCATTATAACTTTTAAAGTTTAAATTCTACATATGCAGTATCCCTTATAATTTTAAGTTAAATTAATTAACTAATTTTTAATGCGCACATATGTTTTATATGAAATTAATTTAACTAAATTTTTAAAAGTGTCACTTAATTAAATTATACATGTTCATTATAGGTTTAAGTTAATTAACAAATTTTTAATGAACACATATATTTTTTATGGAACTATTTTAGTCTTTATTACATTAAAATTTTAAAGTTAGAATAGTTATAATGTACATATATAATTTACATTGATATATTATATAGTTTTATTTAACTTATTAGCTAGTTTTTAAAAAAAATTGATGAAAATACTTCGTGTAGTTGACAAAAAAAGAAATACTTCGTGTAGTTAACAAGATATTTATATTATTTGGAAATGATGGTTATGGTGTTGCACACATAACCGATGATAGTTCGGGGATGTCCGTATGTAATACCAATAGTTCGTGTAGTTAGCGAAACAATAAAATAGTCTGCATGTGTGGTGATGTGTTGGCGTATAGTTCGTGTAGCTGGCAATGATTTTTCCCTCTCTTTTTTAAAAACG